AAAAATATTAAGGTTTCGCTTAGTTATTTAAGAAAAACAGGTTAATTTTCGTTGATTTTCGTTGCCAAGAGAAAGTGACCAGCTCGCTTGTGTAACCAGCCTGCTTGTGAAGTACGTTAGTTATTTAAGAAAAACTTGTTGATTTTCGTTAATTTTCTTGCCAAGAAATTCGTGGGCTGTTCGCTTGTGAAGTACGTTAGTTATTTAAGAAAAACTTGTTAATTTTCTTTCTTAGCATTTTTGGGGCGTTCGTTTGTGTGGGGCTTTCGTTTGTAGTTAGGGTGCGCAAATTATGTAACTAGTACGGAAACGCACTGGCAAAAGGCGGGGAATACCCCACTCTCGCAGTTCGAAGTGGACTTCTTCCGCTATGCAGAGAACCTCTTGGTTGGTGCAATTGCGACTTGACCATGATTATCAGCTGAGATTGTGCCTACATAGCCGTGCCAGTTCGTGCCCCATCTCGAGGATTTTAATCTCCATCATCGCGTTGTGCCAGAGACTCCAATGCCTTCAGTCCCATCCAGAGCCGTCAGCATGGAACCCCGTTGCCTTCCCCCCAACACAACATTGATCAAATTCCAAGAATTCTGTTTACGCGCCAAAAGTTTGTGCGGCGAAGAGAATCTCGCAATCATTTCGAAGTCAACTGAGCTAATCGATGGCGACTATATGAACCCGTGCAAGGCGCACGACATGCACTCCCTGTTCGAACGCGACGCTTTCGTTGCTTCCGCTGTCATTTGGCCCCGCGACACGCCCGAAGTGCAGAGCATTGTGCGCCTGTGCAATGAGTTCTCTATGCCACTATGGCCTTACTCTGTCGGCCGTAATACGGGCTACGGCGGCACCGCGCCCAGAGTATCGGGAAGCATTGCAATGGACCTCGGCAAGCACTTGAACAAGATCTTGGATGTGAACGTCGAGGGAGCGTATGCGCTTGTGGAGCCGGGCGTTACCTTCATGGATCTACATGAGTACCTCATGAAAAACAATCTGAGGGAACATCTTTGGGTCGACGTATGAGCCAGCTACTGTCCCGTTTAACTAAAACATTCTCTGACATACAGCAGGTTCCAGATCTCGGCGGAGGCTCGATCATCGGTATATCTACTTCTTACCCTAAATGCAAGCGAACTCTGCTAAGGAGGCGACAGGGAATGCTCTCGAACGCGGAGTTGGCTACAGTAAGTTTACCCTCAATGCCCAGTGGCCTTTTGTTGGTTATTTTTGCTGACTTCCCTGCCTTACGGTAGCGCCTTATGGAGGTTAGTAAATTTATTGTATCTTCTGCTGGCCTAGAGCTTAGATATAACTGTGCGAAGATCATTGGATGATGCATTGCGGCCTCGAGGTTATCCTTCCTGACGGCGAGCTCATGCGGACTGGAATGGGAGCACTTCCGGACCCGACGATAGAAAAGCCTGGCGTTCCACCTCACGAACAACCTGGTAATCGCTGCTGGCAACTCTTCAATTACGGTTTCGGCCCATACAACGACGGCATTTTCACGCAGAGCAGCTTAGGTATTGTGGTTAAAATGGGTATCTGGGTCCGTCTTTACGCACATTCCAAGTCCCACCTGCCCTCTGTCACCTCGCGCTTACAAGTCTGTAGTTGATGCCAAATCCTGGTGGTTACCAGGCATACATGATCACATTTCCTCGAGACGATGACCTTGAGGCTATCGTGGACATCATTCGGCCGCTCCGACTGGTAGGCGACGCTTCGTTTTAATGCGTATGCGGCTAACGAACCATCTTTACGCAGCAAATGGTCCTGCAAAATGTGCCGACGTTACGCCACATCCTTTTGGATGCAGCTGTCGCAGGCAACAAGTCGTCGTATACGCAGAAGGAGGGTCTGTTGAATGATGCTGAGCTAGACGATATTGCGAAGCGTCTAGACCTTGGCCGATGGAATTTTTATGGTGCTGTCTATGTCCGTCTTTCTTATGAATTTGTTCTCAATTATTCCCCTGCTACTGTTTCGCCCTCACCGACGAACAATTCTACCACCGAGTGTTGTCCAGCCACGCTAACTTTGGTGTGCGCAAATAGGGGCCAGAGCCGATTCGCAACATCCTCCTGGAAACCATCAAGAAGGCCTTCCTCGCAGTCCCCGGCTCGAAGTTCTTCCTGCCCGAAGAACGTAATGAACCATTCAGTGTTCTGCGCACGAGATCCAAGACACTGCAGGGGATACCGACAATTGATGAGCTACGATGGGTCAAGTACGAGCTTTCGCAACTCAGGCCGATATGCATGTATCTGATTTGTCACAGTTGGCTGCCGAATGGAGCCCATTTGTTCTTCTCTCCCATTACGAAGATTTCTGGGAAGGAAGCAAACCTCCAATACGAAGTAACCAAGAGCCGTTGTGCGCAAGCTGGTCTCGACTTCATCGGCACATTCACAATCGGAATGCGAGAGATGCGTGAGTTTGCTAAGCCATTCACTACCGTCCTATGATGCTCATTGTCTGTAGACCATATCGTATGCATCGTCTTCGATCGAGAAGATCCCGAGTCCCGACACAAGGCCCGATGGTTGATTCGAACGTTGATAAAGGACTGCGCGGCCTACGGTTGGGGCGAATATAGGACACACATCGCGCTCATGGACCAGATTGCGAACACTTACAGCTTCAACGACAATGCCCAAATGAAGTTTAATGAAAAGATCAAGAATGCGTTGGATCCTAACGGAATATTGGCACCTGGTAAGAATGGTATATGGCCCCAGCAATATGACAAGCAAGCTTGGGTGCTCGACGAGAGCGAGCCCGAGCCGATGGCCAAAGGCAAACTCTGAGGCACAAAATTGATCGGTCATCATGCTGGCGTAGATAATCTGGTTTGAACTCTATACTCAAATATGTACTTCAAAAGAGCTCGCGTGACCGTGAAATAACGTGCGTGTGGCCAAATATTGATATTATTTACGCCCACAGCATTACTGCTCGAGACTTGAAACACGGTACACTTCCTGTAGACCTTCCGCGGAATTAAGCGGAGGTCAAGTCCCCATGAAGCCAGTGGTCGCGGGTCTCACCCCACACTTACCCTGTGCATTGGTGAAGATTTTCTGGCACGATTTGGTTGCGGGCGAGTGCAGCTGATTCCAGTAAAGCGCACGTTTTCACCGCATGAACATGGATGGTTATCCAAGTTGCGGATACAGTTTGAAGGTCGAATAGGAAAATACCCCACAGGCTTGGTCCCGAATGGCGTACTGGCGCGGTGCCGCCCCCACACCCATCCATCCGCCTCGGAGGATGAGCGGGGAGCGGATAGTTTATATCGATCCCGTTAGCACACTCGGCGAATACCACTAAATCACACCGACTCAACTCGTTTCCAACCATGGACAATGCGACATCATCTCCTCTTGACCTTCCAACGGTTCCTGACTCGTTACTATCCCTATCCACTCTGCCGTGGCTTTTCCGATCGCAGAATTTGATCGCCACCTTCATTGCTCTCTGGGTAGTCAATAATCTTTATCAATGTTATCTACATCCGCTGAGGGGCGTACCGGGACCGTTTCTGGCAAAGTTCAGTCAAGCCTGGCGCAATATCAGGTACTTCAGAGGAAGCTGGCACGATGATATCCTCGGCCTTCATCAAAAATATGGCAATGTCGTTCGAATTGCACCCAACGAAATCAGCTTCGTTGATGCCGGGGCACTCAAGAAACTTTACGGCCATGGGACGCATATACTAAAGGCAAGTACTACCCCCAATCCGCTCTTAATGCGACGCTCTTCTAAATCCCATACTTTCAGACCAATTGGTATGACACATGGAAGATTCCCAACATGACTGTCAGCTTCTTCTCGGCTACGGATCCAAAGGTTCATCGTCATCTTCGCTCGCGCGTCTCCGGCGCTTATTCGATGACTTCAATTCTTGCCATGGAGACTCTGGTCCAGAAAGTCGCAGACGAATGTTGGCAACAGTTCGGCCGATTCGCTGATTCAGGAGAGCCTATACCCATGCATCAGTGGGCAAATTACTTTGCTTTTGACGTGGTGGGACAGCTCGCCATGGGCGGAAAATTGGGATTCATCGAGCAAGGCCGAGACGTCGGTGGCATCATTGGGTCCATCCACGACGGGTTCTACCTCATGGCAAATATGGGAAACGTGCCTCTGCAGATGTTCTGGTTCAACAACAGGCTGGCTCAGTGGGCGATAAAGAGCTTTGGAGGAACGCGAATGAACGCATTCTCAGTCTTCCTCGAGTGGCTCGAAAAGCGAGTGGATGAGCGACTAAACAACGGGCTAGGGGATCGACGGCGGGATATGCTTCAACGCTTTGTTGAAGCTAAAGACGTGAGAGGACATCCTGTCAAAAAGGGCGATGTCATGATTGAAGGCGTTAATATTCTGGGAGCCGGAGCGGATACCACTACCATCGGAATCTTGGCCATCCTCGGTGCTCTACTTCTCCACTCGGAACAGAAAGAGCGCCTGCAAAGGGAGATTGAGGAAGCTTACCAAAAGCTTGGGCTGGGTGACGGCCTGGAAATCGGCTTCAAGGAGGCGGAAAAATTGCCGTTTCTCTCTGCTGTCATCAAGGAGAGCACAAGGCTTCATCCATCCATTCAATATCAGTTGCCGCGGTATGTTCCTAAAGGTGGTATTCAAATCGGCCCGTATTACCTGCCGGTAGGAACCTGTTGTGGTATAAGTCCTGCGTCGATGAACAGATCAAAGGATATTTTTGGGGATGATGCCGACGAATGGAGGCCGGACCGTTGGATCGCAAGCAGCAAAGAGGAAGAGAGAGCTATCAAGGAGAGAAATTTACTTCTAACCACTGTGAGACGACCCCCCTACCTTGTCGCGTTGGGAAGAGTTTTGTTACTGACGGATACAGTTTGGGATGGGAAACCGAAGCTGTGTTGGGAAGAATCTTGCCACTGTGGAGATGTATAAGTTCACCGCTCAGTTTTTCCGCCACTTCGATGCCGAATTAGTAAACCATGAGCAACCTTGGGTTACAAAAACCCAGTGGTTCGCTCTCCAGACGAAATTTTGGATCAAGGTCAGCCGGAGGAAGCCCAAGACTTCCGAACCCGACAGTGGCAATGACAGCCTGGTCTCGTGAACATTTTAGGTAGTTGTAACATGGCGGATCTACTACCCAGTATGTACCAATGGACAGCGTGAAATTGACACGAAGTTTGATGTCTTCTCTTATAAGCAATCAATCTCCAGCATCATGGTATGACCTGGAACTCGTGCACTTCTTGTCACGGTCGGCATGCTCAAGTGTCAAACAAGAGTAGATGTGACGCAAATATATTGAACTGAAGAGCAGGAGGGCTGCTTCGAAGGCTAGAAGATATACCCCTTGTCAAGGAGCGAGGCGCGAGGCTGAAAGCTGATGCAAAGCATGTGACGCGGAACGCTCTTGTCACATTACCCCCTTCTAAAGCTCAATTTTGCGTACAAAAGGGAGCTCCAAATTGAGGTAAAGAAGTAGAAAACAAAAATCAGAATCCCCGCTTGCCTGCCTACAGGGTGTGTCCTACGAGCAATCTATCGTATCGAAATGCGTCAAGGGGCAATTCATAGGATCCTCGGATATCACTATTGTTGGGACTGGAGGCAGAAGGGAACCCATTAAAGCATGCTTTTACAGGTTTCCGTTCCACTACGACGGATTTGGACGCTGCCACCAGAGAGAGGGCATGTTAGTACACACCCGCAGATCCTGGATCCAAGCAGTAACCGGGAAGGCGCCATCCAGCAATTGCCAAGAGACCCGGCCAGATCTGGAAGAGCAGACAGAGGACGCGGAGAAGGCCTAACCAAAAGGCGCTCCGGATGTACAATGAAAACGAGAACGGCGCTGAAGAGCTTGAAGCTTCCAAACGGGAACTGGCCACAACCCAAAAGGAGCTGGCCAAGGAGAAGACGAGGGCGGACGAGGCAGAAGAGGAGTTGAAAAACCTTACACACAAATTTCAAGATGAGTTGGGGAGGCAGTCGGAGAAGGCAGAAGACAACATCAAGACCCTTAAGACGGAATTCGCCGAGCGGGAGAAGAACTATAAGCATGACCTTGCTGATAAGAAGGCGCTTAAGATTAAGATGGTTATGGAGAGAAAGCGGCCTGACACTGCTGAGGAGACTGTCAAGTACCTATAGCTGCAGCTGAAGACTCAGCGCGACTAGCTTGCGGCTTCACAGCAGAAAGCTTCCTAAGTAGACCAGCGGATATTGAATATTTGCGCCGACAGAGAAGGCGAAGGACCCCCAAGTGAAGAGGAAGGCGGCTAGAGATGGCACGACGCTTGTTGGGCAAAGCATCGCGAAGGCTCGACTAGGGCAGTAAGCCCGGGATGCATTGCTGGCTGAAGAACTTCCAGGGAGCATGGACGAGCTGGCGCTGTCCCCGTTTCCAACTAGCCTGTGACATTGACGAGTTTGGACGTACTAGACGAAGAACACAATGAATCCGGACGCTAAGATGCATACAGAAGAAGTCATGGAAAAGGAGCCCCAGGCTTTTGGACAGTATCCGTCATGGACGAGCGTTCTTCTGGCTCCTTTTTATGCTCATTGTCTCCATTCTATTCAGGTCAGCATACCCGGTTCTGAGCCTAGGAATCCTTCCTCTCTTCCATTTGCCTTCCAGGCTGCTTTGATGGGGCGGGTGCCCACAATGGCTTAATGTCCTGGCCAAATGGCTTGCATTGAAGACCTGAACCACCGGAGGCGTCTCGTTTTAGCAGGCGTATCGGAAGCATCTGCTCTTCTTTCTTTTCTTTCTTTTTTTTTTTGGCGGATCGACATGAGAGCCAGGAAAAGTCCGCATAGATATCAACGAAAACTTTCCAAGTTGGTTCAACTTGCCGACGTGCGCGTTTGATGAGATGCCTTCTACCATTATCAGCTACGCGCTACATCTTTCGGTATTCTTCCTATGAATCGTTACTTCAGAATTTGTGCTGCTCTGCTCTGTCTATAGCCCAATCGGGTACGGCTTTCATCCTTGACTATCCAACCATGGTTCTGGCATCCGTTGTCCACGACGTCGTCTCGCGTGCACTTACCCTGAGATTCAGAACCGTACACGCGAATTTTCTCAACCACAGCACCATCCATCCCCTTAGTGCTATAACAGCATCCCACAGCTCCTAGCCCTCCATCTCTCCATCCTCACTCTCACTCTCACACCCTCTATCCTCCATCCCACAGCACCACAACACCAAATGCACCCCATCCCAAACCAAAACACCACTTTCTCCTTGCCCCCCATCACCCCAGGCGCCACCTTCGCCACGCCCCGCCAGGAGTCCCCCAAGACACCACCAGCCATGGACACCCCCGCCGCCTACGAAGCTGCCATGCGGCGCCTCCTGAAGCACGCACCCGCGCCCGAGCGCGTGCCCCTAAAAATGACGCGGCCAAACCACATATCCCCCGCCTACGCGCTCTGCCTGTACAATGCATACGCCGAGTGCAGGAGACCCGTGTTCAGAGAGAGTCTGCGGAGCGTGGTAGTCAGGAGGGTGGAGGACAGGCTGAGCAAGGGGAGCGTGAGGAAGGTGAATGCGGGGTTTTTGGAGAGCGGGGATAGAACGGTTGGGTGGCTGCGAGGGACGGCGGTTGAGGAGGTGAAGAAGCCACTTGAGAAGAAGGCGAAATGTGAGAAGGGTGATTTGAAGAAGCATGGCGGTTCCCGAGGTCTTTCATCACAGTCTACGAACGTCGCCTCTCAGCTGCATCTCGAGCGCGCAAGGGAGGATGTGATGGTGCAGCTCGCGAGGAAGGAGCGGTGCGAGGGATGTGCGTCCTGCGAGAGCAAAGCAAGCAGGCTCGAGAAACTGCAAAAGGTGCTTAGCAGGCAGGAAGCGGAAGCTAAAAGGTTGAGGGAGCAAGAGGAAAGAGAGCAGGCGAGGAGAGAACACAAAGAGAGGAAGGAGAGGTGGGAGGGGGATCTTGAGGAGAGAAGAAGGGTCGAGACTGAGCGCGAGCGGAAGAGGATGGATGAGGAGAGGCAGAAGGGGCAGGTGCGATCGGCTTGGCGGCTGATACGGTGTCTTGGGGGAGGAGGGAGCGCTGGGTATGGGCGGGGCTTTAGAGCGTAGCTGGAGGAGGGCTTAGGGATAAGGTCGGGGAAAGTGTACGCTTTGCCGGATAGCTTCAGAGGGAGCGATGTTGACACGAACGTACTAATACGGAGTATACCCCAAACACCTGGCCGTGAGGCAGGATGAAGAATGCGTTCCATTCTGCTGCGCCGTCTAATCCTCCAGCCTCGCCTTGGGCGGCTCAATTTGCGGCTGCGGGTCCTTCAACCTAATTTTCCCCTCCGCATCATACACAATCTCTCTAATCTTGACGCACCTCAAATGATTCCTGCCGCCAGATAACGTACTGTCATGATAGAACAGATACCACTTCCCCTTAAACTCCGCAATGGAGTGATGTGTCGTCCACCCAATGACCGGCTCCAGTATCCTCCCGCCGTACGTAAACGGACCTAGCGGGCTGTCGCCGATCGCGTAGCACAGGAAGTGCGTGTCGCCGGTGGAGTAGCTGAAGTAGTACTTCCCCTTATACTTGTGCATCCACGCGGCTTCGAAAAAGCGCCGGTCGTGGTCGGAGGCGGGGATGGGGGACCTAGAGGCGTCTAGGATCACGACGTCGGTGACGGGCGAGGCGAACGAGAGCATGTCGTCGCTCAGCTTGGCGACTTTGGCGGAGAGCGCGGCGCCATCTGAGGGCTCATTGGCGCCGAGTTGGGTGCTGTCGAAGGCGCCGTTGGCGTAGCATTGGAGTTGTCCACCCCAGAGACCGCCGAAGTAGAGATATGCCTGGCCGTCGTCGTCCACGAAGCTCGCGGGGTCGATGCTGAAGCTGTCCTTGATGGGTTCGGGCTCTGGCTTGAACGGGCCTTCGGGCTTGTCCCCTACAGCTACGCCAATCCTGAAGATGCCCTCCTTGTCCCTGGCTGGGTAGTACAGGTAGTACTTCCCGTTCTTCGCCGCCGCATCTGGTGCCCACAGCTGTTTCGAGACCCAGGGTACGTCGTCCGCCTTAAGCGCGACGCCGTGGTCTGTAACAGGCCCGCCCACCTCCTTCATGCTGAAGACATGGTAGTCGCTCATGTCATACTGGTCGCCATTGTCATTGTCCTTGATATCCGTCTCGCGGTCGTGGGAGGGGTAGACGTAGAGCTTGCCGTTGAAGACATGCGCGGAGGGGTCGGCGGTGTAGACGTGGGTTACGATGGGGTCTTTGTCGGCCATGGCTGCTCTGCTCTGTCAATTCTATCTTGTAAATGTGTTGTAAGTAGCAATGGATCAATGCCGCTGCCCACTGGCGTCGCGAAGTCTTTAAGAAGCTGCCCCACGGCGAGGCTCAAGAGCGCCTCCAATTTAGCCATATTAGCCATCGGAAGGCGCAGCCCGGAGGCTTGGGAGTCTCAAGCTTCATCAGGTGAGGTCATGAGTGCGGTGGTTGCGAAGGATCAAGATCGTCTTCGAGGACAAAAGAGGGTCGGAGGTTCGAGGTAGACGGGCTGGGTTTAACCGCCAATTCAACCGCTGCAGCGATGCCCCGCTGAAAAGAGAAATGCCTCGGGTTGCCGGAGAGATCGGGCAGAAATACCTAAGCGCGTGGCCTCAGAGGAACTGCTGAGGAGACCGATGGCTTTCCGAGCGCAGTGGTGCGATTTTGGAAGGATGCATGGTGACGCGACTTCTCGCGAATGCACGTGCTTCTCAATTCACTCAAGCCATGACTAAGCAGATCGATAGAACAAATGGCACACGAAAACGACAAGTGTCCGAGCTGGATTGTAAAAGCGTATGACTAGCTATCCGTCATAGGTAAAGCAGACCTCCAAATCACCAGAAAAACCAACGCAACGGATGCACGAGCGAGACTCCTGATAACCAAGCATCCTCAAATGCACACTACCTCCCGCACCAATTTCCCATGCAAACCCGCCACTACACCGCCCCCGGCTCAAACCACACCGTCCCACACACGGGGTATCGGTTCGCCTCATCGCTCTCACTCGCAATCCGCTCCTGCAGACGCTTCGCCCCAAACACATGGACCTTACAAGGCGCGCAGCCGACGGCCTGTACGGGTTTGTGCTCGCCGTTGAACATGAAGGGCGCGCGGCAGATGCCGCAGGTGGCGCCGTGGGGAGCGTATATAGGGGCGGCTAGGTTGTTGGAGAGGAGGGAGGTGAGGGTCCGTGGGGAGGAGGCAGTGGTCGCGTTGGTGTTGTTTTGGGTGGCTTGGTTGTCTTGGGTGGCCGTGTGGTGGAGTGGGGTGTATGGAGCCGGTTGGTCTGGGGTGTTTTGACGTTAGAGAAGGGATGAATGGAGACGTCCTGTAGGTGTTTGGCGGGGTATGTTGTTGTACTTCGCTCAGTTGTAGAAAGGTTTGAGGAAGAGGAGACGTCAAGATAGATGCTGGGTGGGTTGAGTAGTTGGTCTTGCGCGCTGTTGTGCTCGTTCTGTGCAGACTGAGTAATCTATTTGCTCTTTTACAGGCGCTGGGAGAGCGCGGCAAGCTTCCGAACGTCTCTACCAGTGAATACTAGTAAGGCATAAGTTATTATGAGAGAAACTGGGACATAGTAGCACGCGCTGTGAGTGAACGGATATATGGATTTTGCTATCAAGTATGTACAAGAAAGTTCTGAGTCCGGTTCTGCTGCTCTGAACGGCCCTAGTTCACGGGTCTAAGTACTCCACAATCGACGCCGCCGTCGCGTTATGCATCGGGAAAGTAGGATGCAGATTGTTGAGCCAGAAGTACTCGTTTACGGGGTAGCTGCAGTTAGGGCTGGAATAGTACCATGTAGGCGCGCCACTGTATGCTTGTCAGCTTTTGAAAGACCAGACGCATGTTGAATGAACCGGGAAGGAGAAAAACTTACTTCGCATAAGCCTCGCAATAGCCGGTTGTGTTCTTGATCCCACTCGTCTGCGGGAAGACGGTCGGATCCTCGAGCGCCGCAGCGTACGCGCCATGCGTATCGTGGATGAACATGTTCGCGGAGTCGTGCCGTGCGCTGAACTTGTCCGTCATGTTCTTCAGCTTCGCGTTCCACGTCTCAAGCATCTTGCCCTCATTTTCAATCGACCAGTTCCCACTCTGCAGCGTCAACGGCGCAAGATTAACCGGCGGAACAGACAGGAACAAAAAGTTGCGTGCGCCCGTCTCGTACACCTGCTCCAGCAACCCGTCGTACACAGCGAAGATCTGGTCCTGGATGGCGGTAGCATTGGCCAGCCACCACGAATTGCCAACGTCGTTGATACCGATGAAGAATGCGAAGAGCGAGTCAGAGGCGGTCCAAGGAGCGGAGGAAGGGTGGGAGCCGTAAGTGGGAAGGTACTGGTCCTGGACTTGCTGTTTCATGGAGATGACGGTCGGCGCGTATGGTACTACGATCGCGCTGTCGACAGTGGCGCCTCCATAGGCCATGTTGTACGTTTGGAGGTAGCTTTCATTGTACGTGGTTGTGAGGAAGCCGACCCAGTTCGGACCGCTGCTTAACTATCAGTGCAGGTCAGCGCGCTTGTGATGGAGGAATTACTTTGACGATGTCCATCCTCTGGGCTATTGTTAGTATATGTAATCAGTTAGAGATAGGAAACTTACGGATACGGTGGATTTCCCATGGGATTTGAGGGATTCGGCTGCGTTCCGTTGACATCAAAGCCGGTCTGGGTGTACGAGTCGCCACTAAGATATGATTAGCGTTCTGTGCGAAGTGAAGGCTCCCAGTTACTTACAAAACAAACATGTACTTGACATTCTTCCATCCGGACCAGGTTGACGCATTCGCCGGGAACGGCGCGGCAAGCCCTAGACTCGCCAGCGAAAGAGCGACAACAATCGACTTGACCATGATGCTCGGAGTCAACAGCAGCAAAACGGAACAATCCAAACATCAAAGGGAACATTTTGACTTAAGTACGCACGATGGAAATATAGCAGTACCAGGCTATCCAGGATTGCGGCTCTATCTGGTCCATGACGGGAGAGAACCCGGTAGAATAGATTAAACTATACGCACCACTAATCTGTGGGGTATTCTACATATTGAGGGGAAACGCTAGGGAGACGCGTGGAATGATCGAAGAACAAATGGAAAAGCTTGTTCGTCGCGCCATGCGGGTGTTTTAGATCGACGTTATGCGGGACGCAAATGCAAGTGCGATCTAGCGCTTGGAGCTCCGTTTCCGTGTCTGGAAGGGAAAGGCGTCATGTCGATGCTAGATAGGGCAATTGTTGGAGAAGAGAAAGATGGAGAAATTATTCTGTGAGGTTCTCTCCACCATGGGAGAGTTCTCGACTAGTGGAGCAGTTGAAGCACAGTGTGCGTTGAAGCTCCGGCCAAGCCAGTAATGACGTTACACGGCCCGTCGGTAGATAGAAAGCCTCGAGAGCTGTATAGGTCAAGGAAAGCTACGCATACCATGCAATCTACCTCGGGCGCGCAATTCTACGCCTCTGCTCTGGACGGATCGCAGATGTGATCTCCAGGATCAGATATCTGTAATTGGAGTAACGCCCTGGAGCGTGATTCCAAAGTCTGGCCGGAAACGATGCCATCGCAGGTCGTTCCGTGGGTTGCACCTCGCACGAGGTACAGGTAGGTCCTTCCGACGCCGTCGCGGAGCTTGCGGGTCGGGGATTTGATTGCGCCGGTTGTCATGAGATAGGGCACAAGAGTCTAGAAGACAAATCATCTATGGGCCCCAAAGGGCGGAAAGGCCGGATGGATAACTGAATCGAAAGAAAAGACCGAGGGCGCCGACTGGAGCAAGGAAACCCATTGTCGCGACGTCTCGAACGGCATATGGCCATCCGAACAGATCGGCTTTTCATCTTGGGGCAACTGGTGGAGCGTGTGATGCGCGTGTGGGGGTCCGCCGTCACAGGTTAGCGTGCACACACGTGGGAATTCCACGTGCTCTCGGACCGCCCAGGAAGGAGAAGGCCGGGGGGCGTTGATGATAGAGGAAAGCGTCGTCGATGAGTTGCTGAGTTGCGCATCTAAATGCGGAGGCCGGGGTGAATAATGGTGTGGCTGACGGGGGGCTGACACTGCTGAGGGTGGCGTAAGGCTGAGCGACAGGGATGCGAGCGGACGTTGCACGTTCCCAGCCGCACGGCGCAGAGGGACGGCGTCGCAGCGATATTATGAAGGCACCCCGACCGCCCAGCCGGCATTCTACAGCTGGCTTTCTCAGACCAGAGACCTTCTTACCGCTCGGAAAATCGCGCACCGAGGACGCCGCGAGACGCCCGCGACTTCCGCTGCCCGCCATCTCGCCGTCGTGCGCTCGTCGGCCGTAACTGGTCCCCGAGCCCGCAGGCGCGACCTTGGAACAGCAGGTTTCTGCCAGCCGGCCATTGGAGCGTATATCGCCCGAGTATTCGCGACAAGACGTATCCTTTTGCTGTCCTGCTATGTGAAGGGACGGTGACGTGGACCGCCGCTCAAATCGCCGCTTGCGCCGCCATTCGCTAGCCTGTTCACCACAGCTGCCCGTAGCCCAGGCCCCAGGCATCCGCTGTGCCCCAGGTTAAGAAGGGCCCCACCACGACTGAATAGTCGCGACCACTCGGCCTCGAAGAAATGGCTGGCATGGAGCAACTCGAGGTCCACAGCAAGGCATGTCCTCTTCCCCGCCGCATCATTCAAGCCTAACATTTGCTAGTCATACCTTGTTCGCTGGGTAAACGTCTCTGCTGGACACACCATTTCGTGGAGCATACAGCCGCATAAGAAGTCGATTAACTTCGGTGTCTTTAAGCACCCTGGAGCGCCCAACGGCGTGGCACCGAACCTGACCTCTACCGCGACCTTCGAACCTCCTCCTACGCCCGCCCTCGAAGTCCCCGGTGCACGCGGCCGCGGCGGCTCAACCTCGCGAAATGACAAAACATTTGTAGCCGAGAAGCTATCGGCAATTGGGCTGAAGCAGGTGCACTGGGTCGGAAAATGCGAGGCTGACAAGGTGTCCATGGGGACATGGGATGTACCCGAGGGCGAAGGCGGCATGTATGGGCTGGTGTTCGACAACACCTTTTCGAAGACGGTGTCGAAAACAGCGACATTCGTGCTGATGACGTACCCCACGAACGCGCCGCCCAAGTCTGGTCACCACATGCACTACGCCCAGAATTTAGCAGGAGCGAGCTCGATCAGTCTCGGAGCGAAGTCAAGCCCAGGTCTAGGGCCGGTTGCGGACTCCTCGGAATCGTTACCGCAGTCTACACTCACCGATCGCCCTAAATCCTCACACCCCTCCACCAACGCTGCCTCTGTGAGCTCCAGCTTCCTCACAGGCGTACTGCAGAAGAAAAGAAGGAAGAGGAACCAGGGATATGCGAGGCGTTTCTTCTCGTTAGACTTCACATCATCTACGCTATCTTACTACCGAAATGATCATTCTTCAGCCTTGCGCGGCGCAATTCCTCTCTCGCTGGCCGCTGTTGGAGCAAACGAAGAGTCGAGGGAGATTTCAGTCGACTCAGGCGCCGAAGTGTGGCATCTCCGCGCAAATAACGCTAAGGATTTCAATATGTGGAGAGACGCCCTAGACCGAGCGTCTCGGACTGCGGGGGCCTTAGCTTCACCAACGCTGCAGATTCCGGATAAACAATGTCGAGCACCGCATGCCGTAAACGAGACGGAAGAGAACGAATGGGCAAGAGTGGAAGCTCTGGTGGGCAGAATTGCAGGCACAAGAGATGCCGTAAGGAGACTCGCACAGGACACAGACCCTAAGTACCAGTCCATGCCAGGCCTGGGAATAAGCAAAGTGCAAGATAGCTTGTCACCAAGCCCCTCCGAGGGGGATTTGGTTGACTACTTTCATGATGACAAGGGCGACGGCAGAAAGGCCTTTTGGAAACGAAAAGCCAGCAGCTCTGGCGGTCATAGTCCGTCGAGTTTGTTTCGGAGAAGCGTTTCTGCTCAGACCGCTATCGCATCTCCGGGCGCTATTCCTCCAGTCCCACCCCTACCGAACGGAAATCTATCTGTACCAAAACGACATGGCCACCTGAGTACACACCAGCCACAAGAAGATGGTGTCCATGATCACTGCATGGCCCTACTTCGCGACCTAGATGTGGTCGTCAAAGAGTTCAGCGAGCTTCTGGCTGAGAGTCGGCAAAGACGCATGCCGGCGCCTCTTTCGACTGTCTCCTCAAGACGCAGTTTCGACTCGCAGGAGTCTGCGGACGAGTTCTTCGACGCCACCGATGGGGACACCGTCAAGTCCCAGCTCCTGACCATTCGGCGCGACAGCGAAGAGGAACAGGAGCGTGATGATGTATCAGATGGCGAGTCTGAATCTTCATCGGAAAACGAAGGCGCTGGATTCTTTGAGAAGCGCATGTCTCGCGAAGTCCCTTCGTTATTCCCCACAAAACCGAAATCTCTATCACCCTTACCACTAAAACCTGTTCAGCGTCGGGCTAATGTCCCTGCCGCAAAGTCGCAACCACCCAGCTTGATAGCCTTCCTACGCAAGAACGTCGGAAAGGACCTCTCAACCATCGCTATGCCCGTAACCTCCAACGAACCCACCTCCGCCCTCCAACGTCTGGCAGAACAGCTGGAATACAGCGAGCTTCTGGACGCAGCTGTAAACGCCTCTGCAGAATCAGGAGAACGCCTCGTCTACATGGCCGCCTTCGCCATCTCCTCCTTCAGCAACGCCCGCGTCAAAGAACGCGCGACCCGCAAACCCTTCAACCCTATGCTCGGTGAAACCTTCGAGCTCGTCCGCGAAGACAAAGGCTACCGTTTCATCGCCGAGAAAGTAGTCCACCGCCCCGTGCGCATGGCCTGCCAAGCAGAATCCCAGCACTGGACCTTCATCCAATCGCCCAACCTTTTGCAAAAGTTCTGGGGCAAGAGTGCAGAACTGAACACGGACGGTCGCGTGCGCATTTTCCTCCATGCGTCGGGCGAGCACTACAGTTGGACCATCGCAACTTCCTTCCTGCGCAACGTTATCGCGGGCGAGAAATACGTCGAGCCCGTGGGCACCATGACCATCATCAGCGAGACCACGGGCGCGAAAGCAGTCTGCACGTTCAAGGCAGGCGGTATGTTCGCCGGCCGCAGTGAAGATGTCTCCGTCCAGGTCTTCGACAACACGGGCTCTATCCTGCCCATGGGCGCGCAGGGGAAATGGACGCAAGATCTGCAGTTTACCTCAAACGGCCAACCTACCGGCAAAACCGTCTGGCGCATCGGCAACCTCGTCGACAAACCAACGCAGCATTACGGATTCACTACTTTTGCCGCCTCCCTGAATCAGATCACCCCCATCGAAGCCGAGCACCTCCCTCCCACAGACAGCCGTCTACGCCCCGATCAGCGCGCCGCCGAAGATGGAGACATGGACCGCGCGGAGGCACTGAAGGCAAGGTTAGAAGAGAGGCAGCGCGCCAGAAGGCGCATTATGGAGGAGCACGGCGAGGAGTGGCGACCGCGGTGGTTCACGAAGGTGGGCGCTGCCGAGGCGAGTGCGCTGGGGGACGAGGAGGTGTGGAGACTAAACGGGGGGAAAGACGGGTATTGGGAGTCGAGAGAGCGCGGCGAGTGGGACGGTGTTACCGAAGTTCTTCAGGTGTAGTTCTTTGTACTCTTATTTTTTTTGGTTTTGAAAATGGTGGGGTTGGGTTGAATGGCACAATCGCATAGATTAGGAAAAAGGGTAGGGGTTGGACTGGTGGTACTTGTCGTTTCCATTTGTTGCAGGATATCCAATGACAATCCAGATCGGTTTCTTCTGTTGCACACAATTCGAGCCAAAATTTCACGAGAACCCATGCAGTGGACATCGCAAACGCACGTGAAGATGATTCTTGAATTTTCTATACCAGCTATGCAAACGGGGTGGGGTATAGCAATGGAATAGCTAGCTATGCAAAGCTACCGTGATGAATCTCGTACTATGAGTACGCCGAGAAAGTGGAAGAAGACCGTTCCGCCTTTTATGTCTCCAAATCCGAAAAGATCCCCGAGTCAGCCTGATTCCGCCATAACGCCGAACAAATGCAAGTACTGGGTCTATCCAATGTTTCGCACGAGTCGAAAGTAAGTCCGATGGAACGGTTGCTCTCTCTCGTTGGGGTCGTGTGGGGGTCGAAAGTCCCAAAAGGCAGACGAGGAGGGACGAGGGAAAACAAGGGCCAGGCCTTTTCAAGGCCGTCACGGAAGATAATCGGTGAAGGGGTCCGAAGTCAGTGAGCGGCTTTGCTCAGATGTCAATATCGACACCAATGTCCATAGAGGCAATGATGTCATCGTCCATCTTCGGCTTCCTGAAGGTCGGCAGGCCCTTGCGCTCCGTCTTCTTCTTCTGCGGCTGCGGTGTGGTGGCCCTCGACGAGTCTCCATCGAAGAGAGCATCGACCTCAAGATGCTTCTTCCGGGCGGCTTTCTCCTCGGCCTCTTTCTTAGCTGCCTCTTCAGCCTCCTTCTTCCTACGCATCTCCTGCTCTGCCCGCCTACGATCCTGCTGTTTGGCGTGCCGCTCTTCTAGAAGAGCCTTGCGAACACGCTCTTGTTCAAGCTTCCGGTTCCGGCGGTTGAGCTCAGCGAGACGAGCTGCTGCGGCTTCTGACTGGGTGGGGATCTTGGGGGCGGGGTTATCGGAAGCGTGATTTGAGAGAAGGTGCTCGTACTTCTGGGCTTTGGCGATGCGGGCGTTGATATCGTCGTCGGTCCAGAAGCGCTCCTCAAGGTTCTTGATGTCCTCGAACTTCTTCTTAAGAAAGCTCTGTGTTGGTACTTTCGTGTTGGTGTCTGCGAGGGACTGCTTGTAGGTCTCGAGATCGGTGTCGGTGAAGCGCTGGTTGGACAGGAACTGGAACTGGTACTCCTTCTTCACAGTACCGTGTTGGCAAATGACATACTGATCCGTCGCAATACGCTTGCCGTTCTTGCCTTCGAAGACATAAGGCTTGCCGGTGGTAAAGCCTAAAAGAGGGTTAGCCAACATCCAAATCATCAAGGCAATGGAGCGTACCCTTGATCTGTGCCATCTTGTACAGAGTCCTTCGTTGAGGATCTTGACCAACACCAATGCGTCCGAAAGTGCCCGTCATAGCCTCGTCAAAGCCCGGGTAGAAGCAGACTTGCGAGAAGAAGCCACGGCTAACACGAACCGACTCGAAGTGTACAAGGGTCGCGGGCTGCTCTTCGCGAGCGACTGGCTTGACACCCTCGTCCCACTCCACTTCGCTCTCGCCCTCCGCATCCAGATCAGAGCCGCCGTCCCGATCTCCTGAGCTTGAACGCCGATGACCATTGCGACGGTCGTCCTGGCGCCGTCGCTGCTGACCACGCTGCTCGCGCTCGCGCTTGTATGCCTCCAACCGGTCATTCGTCTTGGCCTTGACTTTCTGCCGGCTGCTCTTCCGCTGAGAATCCTCGGGCTCCTCGGAGTCAGCCTTCCGCTTCAGCATGTTGGCCGCGCGCTTGGCTAGGTCGGCCTGGAATTTGGCCTTGCTCATCTCTTCTGCTCGTTGACCCAAGATCTCTTCTCGCTCCAGCTGTGTCAAGGCCATGATCCTTGCCTTGTCCCTGGAGTCGATGAACCTGCCCTCGAGCGGGTACGGCACACTGGGGTCTCTCGTCGGAACGTCCTCTTCGCGGTCTGAGTCGGACTCGTCCATAGCGTCGGAGCCAAGAGAGGAGTGGGGCGATGAAGCCGCAACCGATGAACTGGGTGGCGTCAACGGCATGTAACGAGCGGTTGAGCGAAAGGGGCACGGAGAAGTCGGGCAAAGCAAGAACGGAGCGGGCCAGAGATATATCAAAGGCGAGTAGAAGATGAGGGAAGGACGCAGAAGTGAAAGAGGGAGCACTCACGCTTCGCCTTCCTCAACGTCAGCATCTTCGTCCCCGCCAGCGAGGGCGAAGAGCTCGTCGTCAATATCATCCGCCGACATTATGACAGCCGCCGAACGTCAAAGGTGAAGTCGCGAGAAGCGGGGTGTGAAAACAACGGCGGTGTTACAGGCGCAATCGCGGCCGGCCGTACGATGTCGGGGTGCGGGTGAAGACGTGAGGAGGAGCAGAAAGTTGGGAGGAAGAGGGGGACGGGCACTGGCAGCTTATGAGAAGACGCGCTGGGCGCAAATTCGCGCTAGGCCCGAACTGGGCTAGGCAGGCGGACCGTGCCCTCGCCCGCCGTCGGTTCGCCGCTGGTGACGTGACACCACCATTTTCGAGGTCGACTTTGTCACCGCAACCGGGTACAATAGGCCCTCCGCCATTCCTTTCACTTTCCTTCCTGTACAATAGATTCAATCGTTATGTCGACTGTGCTTCTTCCTACGCGAACATTGGCCCGCGCCGCCGCTCATAATCTCCGATATCCCGTCTGCGACTTGCTCGCGCCAAGTACCATCGCATGTGCATCGCGGCAAAAGGCGCGAATACACAGCACACCCTCAAAAACCTCAGCCGCCGCCGCCGCCATCGAGCCCTCTCCCTCTCCCGAAACCACCAGCAATGGCACCCCAATCAAGCCCCTCACTAGGTCCCAGCGCGATTTCCTCGACTCCGCCCTCCGCGTCAACCAGGCCGGCGAGCTCGCCGCCGTCCTCATCTACACCGCGCAGACACCGCCCCTCCTCCGCTCACACCCGCACCTGCGCCCGCTCATGAAACACATGCACGACCAAGAAGCCGGGCACTTTAGCTACTTCAACTCGCTCCTCGCGAAACACCGCATCCGGCCGACCGCCATGTACCCAGTTTGGCACGCGGCCGCCACAGTGCTCGGGTGGGGAACAGCGGTAATGGGCCGCGAAGCAGCCATGGCGTGCACAGAGGCCGTGGAGACGGAGATCGGGACGCATTATAACGAGCAAGTTAGGGTGTTGCTGGACTGGGCGGAGAAACTGGAGGAGAGAGGGGAGAGTATGGGCGACGAGCTAGGGACGCTAGTGGGCGAATTGAGGAGGATTAGGGATGAAGAGTTGGAGCATCTGGATCATGCGGTGGAGAACCATGCGAAGGAGGCGAGACCATATGAATTGTTGACGAATGTTATAAGAGGCGGTTGCCGGACAGCGATTTGGATTAGTGAGAGGGTGTAGTGTATGATAAGAGAGACTTGTACATATTGTACTATACCGCTGTATATATGGCATCATGTAAGACGAATCAAGATTATACGCGATCACATTCGGTCAATGGAATTATGAATTGATGAAAATGCTCTGAATCTGCCATATACCGGAGCCCCGTCAGGCGCCAAAGCAAGAACCCACATTCTCAAGACACCGAACGCCATAGTATGCTGGACAACGCCGATACCTGAACTGCGCCTACTCAAACCCACCACCTAGCGCACTCAGCACGCTCCTCTTCCCCCTCGCCTTCCCCACCTTCCTCAGTGCGTCCTTCCTCTTCTTCTCCACCCTCTCCACCATCGCCCTTCTCTCCGCCTCTCGTGCCTGCGCATGAATATTGCTCCTCCCTGTGCCACCCCTTCTCACACCACCTTCAACCGGCGTGCTAGCCCCTGAGCTCGACCGCTCGCTTACGTTCGAGAAGTTGCTCGTCGCGCGGCGAAGCAAGGAGGGGACGCGGAAGCCGGGTTGATGGGGCCCCGCGGACGGCGAGTGGAAAGCGAGGTTACTTGCGTCGGTGGTGGAGTCTGAGGATGTGGATGTGCGGGAGAGGGTGAGGCGGTCGATGATGGGCTGTTTGTGAGTAAGAGGCGCAGGTGCTGGGGCTTCCTCGCCGTCTGAATCCGAAATATATTGCGAGTCGGGGACCATGATGCGGGGGTCTTCGAGCAGCTCCGAGACGGAGTGTTGAACATCGGCGAAGGACATGGGTTTCCTTGTCATAGCGTCGGAGGCAGCGGTGCGGCGGAGATGAGGTGGTGGACGGTTCTCTTTCTCTTGAGAGTCTGTGGATTTGCGCTTCAGAGGGTTGGCTGGAGTAGTGGTGGTCGCCTCGTTGGCCTGGGAGTCTGGGATCGAGATGTCCTGGCTGCCTTCCTTGTTTTCCTCGGACTGAGACTGTGAGGTCTCCGCAGCCATCTCTTCGGGAGCATCGAGGAAGTCGTAGTCAGGGTCATCGTAATGATCCATAAACGTCTTAAAGAAGGCGGCTTTCTTAGCGTCCTCAGCTGCGAGACTGTCAGCATTGTATTGAGATGCAGAGGAATGTCAGCTTACCGATCTTGCCGATACGTTCATCAGCAATCAGTGCCTTGGTCATCTGTCGGAACTGCGCCTGCTTCTTCCGGCGGCGCATCTCGGCCTCGTCTTCGTCATCGGAGATATCAAAAGCATCCGCGCCAGCTCTTTTCCGCAGGTTGCCACTCATGATATCTTTGTAGAGCTGGTTAATGTTCTTTTCGTCATCCTTCTTTGCCTTCTCGCTGCGAATTGTTAGCGAGGACTCCATGTTTGCCTACGGCACCAACTTACGCAAAGTATGCAGCGATCTGTCGTTCATCGACTTTGATGTCATTCGAATCAATCATCTTAGCAAGTTCTTCATCCTCTTCTCCGCTCTCTTCATCACTTGCGCCTCCAAGCCCAGCGTACTCATCTTCGGACTCTTCGGCCTGCTCTTCAACGGCATCCTTCGCCCAGGACGTCTTCTTGTTGAAATTGTCGATCGCTCGTTGCTTCTTCGCAGCCTTCTTCATGATGGTGAAGACGTCTTTGGCTTTAGTAGGTTGCTCCTCGACTTCAGGATCTGACCCGGAAGCAGAGTGATCCTCGTCAACATCAGACAGCTCGATAGGCGTTTCCTTACGTCCTCGACGAAGCTTCCCCTTCCTCTCCACAATCGGAGACTCGGCAATGGGCAGCATGACAGTCTCGACAGTAGAGGGAGGTGGAACAAGACCAGAAGGCGAGCGAGAGAGGAGGAACCCAGCATCCTGGGTGGGTTCTGGAACATCCGACAGTTGGGTGCGTGAGAAAGCTGGTGAAGTCTCAATGAGCTGGCTGATTCCCAGGTTGATTTGCGAGACAGGGCCTTCTTGCGAGTAGCCCTGCTGGGAAGCGAGTGTTTGGCTGTTAGGGACCAGGAAATCCATCCCTTGGCTGAAGCTTGCGCCAGGCTGAGTATCTGGAAGACTGCGCAGGAAATCTAGCGAATCCTGTTCGGGTTCTTCAGCCGAACGAGCCTCTTCCAGGTTCGCCATCGTGCCGGCGAATGCTTGTGTCAGGCCGAGGGCTGGTGCTGGGTTGCCGAAGCCAAATGCGGCCATAGCATCGTCTTGGGTTGCTACTTCGGTGGGTGAACCATGCCTGGGCGACTCATCCTCGCTCTCATCCTCTTCGTCAACCACGACATTCCTGGTTCGCTTGGCGGGTGCCTTGCGAACAGGAGCATCATATTCCTCGTCCTCTATATCCTCGTCATCACGAAGCTGCTCCTCCAGTGGGGCATTTTCAGCCTTGTCTTCGTCTTCGTCTTCGTCAGCCATGTCGTCAACCAAGCCATTGGACTCCTCGACAGTTTCATCCTCGAGCTCCTCTTCATCTTCCTCTTCAGATCCAGATAGCTCAACCTCAGCTTGGTCCTCATTCTCGTCCACTTCTTCGCCTTCAGCAGCGTTCTCCTCGCCGCTGGCGGCGTAATCTTCGTCCTCAGAATCGTCGCTCGAGACTAGCCCATCACCAATCTCTCCATTCTTCTTAGCTTCTTCTCTTTCGAGTTTAGCAAGCTTGAGGTCTTTTTGCCTCTGTTTCTCAAACTGAGCAACCATATCTTCGACCTCCATCTGTCGCTGCTCCCGCTCCTCCTCGGTTTCGACGTGGATACCCTTTCGCCTAAGCTCCTCGATCTTCTCTTTGCGCTCCTTTTGCGCTTGCTGGCGGCCCTTCTGTGCGAGGAGTAGCTGCAGCTCTGCGTTATTCATCGACTTTCGACCCTTCGACGTGTCCTTTCTGGGGGATGTCAAATGAGCGAGACGACGAAGGTGAAGCAACGCCGGTGCTTCCGCCCTCTGCTTCTCCGGAAGTCGATCGAAAACAGGAAATCTGCTCCTAGGCTTGACGACTTCCAGGTCATCTTCTGAATCAGACAATTCAACCATGGCTGCTGCCACGGGATCCCTGAGTTTCACCCGCGCATTCTGAACGGTAACCGTGTTTGACTGCGCTAGTGATGGATTCAGTGGTACATGTTGGAACTCTGGGGCTCGGCCTTTGCCCTTGTCGATCTTTGCAGGGCGTGGTGACGCGCATTGATCCTGAGGTGTTGTTGCCGCGGGGGTTTCTATGTCTGTGTCCGCGACGTCTTTCTCGGGTACATCTTCGAAAGCTGGAGGGCTCGTAGGTGGCGTATCGTGAGTCTGGTGGCCTTCGACATTCGGTGACGGAGGTAGTGAGCTGCCATCGGGAGTTGGAAGCCCTGCCGTTTCCGAGATATCGTTGCCCTGGTTGAATCCGAATCGAGCCAGAAGGTCCTTTGCGCCATACCTCTTTTTCGTCTTCGCTTGATGTGTAAGCTGCATACCTCGACGGATCTTCTCTTGCTCGCGGACCATCGCCTCCATGGCTTTCTTACCCGCCTTTCGCGTAGGTTTGGACTGTTGCGTTAGCCGCCTGCTGTTCTCTCCATCGGAGTTGCTTTCTGACTCCTCGTCTGACACACGACGCGTAGTCTTTGCGCGTTTCTTCGTCTCCCGTTCCTGCCTCTGCTTTGCCAACCTTTCGGTGCGTATGCGCTTAACTCGCTCCTCCAAGTCGGTATTATGTGTAGGTTGTGTGGAGGCGTCTGAGTCCTCATCGGCCGTATCGACGCGTCTGTTCTTCTTTGCGACAGGGGAGTTCTCTGGCGAGACGAAGAGGCCGCGGGAGGATCGCCGAGATCGCACGCTAACCAAAGGTGAGCTAGGAGGGGAAGCTGTCTTTTCTCTTCTAGACAGTAATCGGCAGGTTTTGTTCGCGCGTACAGGGGCCTCGTCTTCGTCTTCGCTGCTAGGAGTCGGGGCGGCTCTCGGCCGATCCTCGTGCCCTTTGGCTTGTTCCTTTTCGGGTTCTTGCTTGCCTGGGCCCGCCATGAGCCGCTTCTTCATGCGCTCATACGCGCCCGCGCCATAGTCGTCTTCCTCGCTCGCCGACGTGTCTTCCGTGACATGGGGCTGTAGGCGTGACAGGAGTTTTCCGCGTGGAATCCGGACGGGTGCATCGTCATCCCCCGACTCTGAATCGCTTCCGGCGAGCTTAGAGAGCGCGGTCATAGCGGGAGACGTTTGCATTGTGCGTGTCTTTCCAGGGGAGCTTCTCGTAGCTTCTATCTTCGAGTCGGAGTCCACGTCCATGGGTGTTCCTGTTTCGTTTTCGAGCAATGTGGAGCGTATGGGCGATAGTTCGCGTGGTGCCATTGTGAAAATGGACGAGGAGCTGGATAGTTCGGTGTAAAGAAGATACGTTCAACTAGCTTAGAGCTTGTTAGAAGGCTGCAGCAGGCATTCTGGAGGCTCGTTGGAAAGAATAGCGGTGTCTCTTGGAGAATTGGCGTGTAAATGGTCGTGGCGGGGATTGCATTTGGAGTGGAAAGTTCAACGCGTACGCGAAACGCGACGTGAAGTGGCCCAAGCTCAAGCTCGACGCCCCGCCACCTGTGGCTCGTTCAGCCTCGAGCCACTTCCTCTACTGTCAGACTCACCTCACTCCATTCCTCCAGTCCCTCGGCTCCCACTCTCGCTCTCTAAGCACCGCAGAGTGCTTGGCAGACAGGAGAACGGCACGGTCAGGTTCGACAATTGAAACATGCAACAGCGGTCAATCCTTCCAGCCATGTCTCACGGTGTGGAAGTCTCTCCACTGCGCTCCTCCGCCAGGAGTCTTCCAGGATCGGATGGCACCGCCGAACCTCAGTCCCAAAAGCTGCTGATTCACGGGTAGCGCCCCCAATTCCAAAATCCCCCACAGCACCAGTCCACAGTGATTGGGTCGGCCGCGGACGGATCCACCTCAGGAAGCCCAAAGCTTCTTGGAGTTGAATATCGAGAATAAGAGCGGCAAGCGGTTACTGACAATAGATCTCGGCAGAAGAGGATGGAAGGCAGAGACAAGGCTTGTTTCTTCAGCCCTTGCTATCGGCACGATTGCTTTGGTCAGTCAGGGCAGCGAAGCTGGCATACTGTCAAATACGCTCCATCCCACGAGCATTCTTCAGCTGTCGAAGTAATTGCCCACTCCATGCAGGCGACCTTCGTGTTCTGCGGCCTCTTCGGGAGGAATGGCCTCACTTTCGGCCCCGTAGACTGCGCCGCCCATCGCTGGTAGCAGGCTGATGTCATCACCATCGGCAACCGATGAAAGGTAATTTCCCAGAAACCTTGGGACCCTGCTAGGTCACGAACATATCAGCACTCGTTCATGCGACATCATTCCCTGGCCACCAATTTGCGATTGTCAAAGAGCTTATGAGTTCCTTGGCTGGCAAAGTTGAGCATCCCCGAAGTCCACGACTGGTAGTCTGTGCCGGCAAAGTACCAGGACCTCGGCTGGCCTTCGCTGTACAGTGCACTGCAGCGCAACCCCGAATTCCAACAGTTCAGCGCTAATTGTCAGAAAGTATGTGGCTCTTTTACCCGGGTGTTTCGTTTTCATCAGTCGATTGTATCCAGTACGGCTAGGTGCCCGGGCTGATCGGGTGCGCCCAGCGATCCGGTCATCTCCAGTTCGTTGCCTCTTCCCCATCAAACTCATTCGGGTTACCTGAAAATAGCATCAGCTTCCGCTTACGTGCAGTTGAAACACTCGTACCCCAGATTGAAGGGCTTTCGCCAAGGGGAGAGACAGCACCAGCGAGGAAATCGAGCGCGAAGCTGGCAGATCTCCAGCGAGCGATCATCTGACGCCATGCAGAACTCCTTTCTTTATTTCGTCCTTTATGGACGCTGACGAATGTGGAGAAGCGCGCAGAAAGCAAGATGCACGCCGGCGCGAGTGCACGTGACGGGAATGCCGATCCATTACGCGTCCACAGCGCGACTACGGTTCCAAGCCAACCTGCTACACGTTGGATATTCAGGAGCTCCATCGGTGGCACGGCTCTTTTGTTCTCTTCACAGTCGGCGAGGCTCCGCGAACGCGACCGTCCTGTGCAACTCAGTTCGCTTCCACCAGGCTCAAAACATTGCCTTGTTCAAAAGTCGCAGGTGGTGCGCAGACAGAACCACCCAGCAACAGCAACGGGTACTGAGACACGTCTCGGGCCAATCGCCATGGCCCGCGGGTCATTATAGAATTAAAGGTTTGTTAAGGTGAGGCATAGCCGGCCTCACCAGCGCTGGGGCACGATGAAGCGAAGGCTGGAGATGCTGATTGCGACACTCGCTCAGGCAACGACAAACTCGATGCGGCTCTTTAGGGCTGTGCTGAAGAAGCTGAGAAAGTGCACGATGGTGTTTCTTGTCGCCGCGCGGTGGGCGAGTAGAAAAGCCGTCTATGTTCGGCCTAGCGCTGTTTCATCGCGCTGCCCCTGAGCAAAGCTCCCGGCGCGCGCTGGAGAATCGGAAGCCCAGCGGCGCCATCGCAGCCGTCGCGGCGATCCGCTGCGATCCTCGAGCACGCGCATCTGCACGCTTGTCGCGCTCGAAAGCGCGCCCGAGGGCCATTGAGGCCGTAATTGCCTCTTTCCCGCGCAGCAGAGACACAGGGCTTAGTCGTGGAGTCCCCGTGCTAAATATACCCAGCCCTGCGCACAGGGATGACAGCTTGCATGCCAAGCGGGTTTCATGGTCGTCCCGATGAAACGAGTTATCCTCAAAACAAGAGCCATCCGCTCCGCCCGGGAGATTGGACGATCAATGACTTTCCTGACGGCCTGAGATCCAAGCGTACACCTGTCCACCCAACTAACAAAAGCGCCGCACCTTCTCGAACACTTCGATTTTGAGCACACGACTGCCTCATCTCTCCCCAGCGACTTCATCACACCTCCCGTCTACCCTGGCCCATCCGCAATTTCCGGCATGAGAGTGGACTCTGCGCGCGACTTTGGATAACATGGAGACCGACGATTCTCAACTCCTCCAGTACAGCACCCCCCAGCACAGCAATAGCTTCAAGCGCCCGCGTCGTAGTCTGCAGAGCTCTACGCCCCTGAGTAGCGTGACGGAAAGCGCGTCGCCCTCACCTCGACTCTCGGGCCAGGGGTCGCTCACGCCCGAAGTCATCGACCACATCAATGGCTTAAAACACCTCGACGACAAGCAGATACTGCTGCTTCTGGAAGCGGCTCGCAATGGAGGTCAGTGTTTTGCGGTGTCGCGCGCGTTGTTTGCTCACGCTAGTCTAGATCGTATGCGCCTATCCGGTGCCGACAGATCGTCCATGTCGACCATCGGAAGCCGAAACTCCTCGTACTTGAGCGTACCCTCCAGCAGAGTGAACAGCATGCTTTCCGATCCCCGCTCTTCCATCGCATCCACCGACTCGTCCTTTACCCACTACAGCGCCGCATCGTCGCGACTGTCTACCGCCTCCTCCCGCCTCTCTACCATCTCTACAACTTCGGCACCGAAGAACTTCGCTTGCACATTCTGCGACAAGGCTTTGAAGTCGAAGCCTTACTGGAAATCGCATGAGGAGGAGTTCCACGAGCAGAGGCTTACCTGGCGGTGTCCCGACTGTGAGCAAATATTCCATGCTGGGAAACGGTTCCGAGAGCATCACACAAAGCTACACGTACAGCGCCTTTCAGTATCCCGCTTTGCGACAAACGCTAACATTGGCAGGGCTGTGAAAATTGCAAGCAACCAAGAGAAAGTGGTCAGCCAACCAGCCGAAAAGCGTCGCCGTGCGTCAAAAAATATGAGATCGTTATGCATGACAAGGACGCCTGGGGCTGCGGCTTCTGCGGCTGTCTGCTGACGACGTGGGAAGAGAGATGCGAGCACATCGCCATGCATTTTGAAGAAAAGAAGTCAAAGTGGAACTTCACCAACGTTATCCTCGGATTATTGAAGCAACCGGACGTGTCGGAATCCTGGGCCAAGCTATTGTCGCAAAGGCACGGTGATCAACAGAGCTGGCCACGCTTCACGTGGGAATCGAAAAAGTGCAACCGACTAAGGTACAAGCTGGAGACAAAGTGGGACACTCGGGTCTTTGACGTCGACAAGGTCGTCCAGGAGACGTATGAGTTGGCGGAGATTGAGTCGGCAGATTCCACGGAAACCGCAACCGAGCCTACGTCTGAGGCAGCAGAGACCACGGAGCAAACCGAGACTGTCGATTGCAAGATGGAACCGTTCGAGTTTGGAAGTGAGCAGCGCCTCCAGAGCTCACATGGCCTTCCGCCTGAGAATACGTTGATGGATCTCGATCCAGTGGAAACTCCGCAGACCATGCATCAAGAGTTACACCAATCTCCATGGCCCGTCACCACCGACATGTCACAGAATAACATGACCGCCGATGATGGCATGAGCACTTTCGGGGGATTCAACGCCAACATGGCACACATGTCGACAGACTTCTCGCAACCGGTCAATCAGGGCTTCCACTCCAGCTGGCCGAACGCAGGGTTCGTATCGACGCCGGACCTCGTCGCCTTCCAGCAACCGAATTCGTACATAAACTACAACGCGGCACCGAAAGAGGTCGTGACCGTCCCAACGTCGCAATATGCCCACTTCGCGCAGTACCCGAGACAAAGCATGCCACCAAACTTCGGTCTGCATCATTCCAGTAGCACAGGCTCGCGGCGATTCGTACCTAAGCTGATCAACATATCGAGTCCAAGCCACCGTGCGACACACTCGGATCAGCCTCCACCACCTCCACCCAAAGATGATCACACCAACCGATTCTCCAGGATGATCATGCGAAGGCGGCCTAGTAATATCTCGCAGCATACTGTCGTCTCGCATAGGGATATCGGATGGAATGACGAGCTCAACTGGGGATAGAAGCTTCACCAATACCCCATCGGTGGAGCTCGATACTAGCCGGCAGGTTCCGGTACCGTACACCACTCTCCTTGCCTACAAACAAACAAACAAACAAAGAAAGCCTCACTGAGAAAGTGATTCCGAACCTCGTCGTGGAAAGGCTGTCGGATAAGACCGCAGCCGTAATACCCGAGGGCGAGCACAGTGTCACCTCAACGGAGAATTTCCATTACTCTTATTCATGTCCCTCTTTCACGTCAAGCCTGGTGAGAAAGGCTGTAGTAGGGTATACCCATAATGTATTTTGCTATTGACTGATGTTTGGCTATGTCAACTCTTTCCTCGCGCCCTGTTGAGCAATACTGTGGAGCAGCTACTATTGTAGTGTTTGGACGTAATACCCCGGAACTTCCCATACTGCTACTGCCTCAGTTCATGTACGTGGTCAAGAGATATAATGAGTTCGTGTTTATAGAAATTGAATGCTTCAATGAGCTTTATGTGCGTCTGTTGTGTCTTTGCAGTAGATTCCCGATCCGACTTGCAGCTAACCAATCAGACGTGCAGCTGTTACCTGCAGCCTTCCCCGCGGACTTTATCTTGTTCTGGTTCGCCCTAAGGTAGGCCTTTCTCTCCGCACCGTTATCACACCTAGCCGATTTCGCATCCGCTTATAAATGTCGCACTGCTCCTATATAGGTACTCTGCCGTCTGGGCCGCATTTCTTCCATACCGGACCGAGTCACGGATCCTTCGCCTGTTTTCAAACAGAGACGCGGATGAACTGATAAAGACCAATCGCCCCGCCAGCTCTCACTATTGACCCATATACCCGCACAATCGAATTCACGACTCCTGGTACGTCTCCCTGGCATCCTTGTCAAAGAAACAACAACCTTTCGCGTCGACGCTCTCACCTTAGCGACCATGGCTATGTCCAATGCTACTCAAGGCGCCATAATACTCACAGTCTTTCTCCTGCCCATCGTCACATATCTTTACTTAGCCCGCAGCCAACAGAAAAGCTCAGCCGGCCCACTTCCCCCGCCAACCGAGATCACGAATATTTTCATCCATCCTATCAAGTCGTGTCATGGCCTGACGGTACGATCCGCACGTCTACTTCCTACGGGCTTAGACCTAGGTATGTTTTCCGTCAACTCAACTCGCCCTTCGCCACACTGATCATACTAGACCGCCAATGGATGTGGGTTACGTACCCGAACTACGAGTTCTTGACTATCCGCAACTTATCGAAAATGACCCTCATCCGGCCCACCTACAACGCAGAAACTGATACCCTGGCTGTGACCGCGCCAGCACCGGACTCCATAGACGAGAAACTGCATTTCGAAATCCCAGCTCATCCCTCCTCGGAGTGGCTCTCCGCGAACACCGAAGTCGTAAACGCCAACATTTGGGGCCACGAGACATCCGCTCACGCTTACTCTCCATCCCTGACCGGCCCCTTCAACGCCTTCTTCGGCAAGGAAGTCAGACTCGTGTACAAGTCGCCCTTCTCAGACTCCCCACGGGCCTTGGTATCGAACGGTAAGAAGTCTGTCCTCGGCAGAGACGCCTCAACCATCTTCCCAGACCTGATGCCCATCCTCGTCGGCTGCGAGTCCAGCATCGACGAACTCAACACACGCCTCCAAGCCGCCGAGAGCCTGTCCATCGACGTGCGCCGCTTCCGGCCCAACATCCTGGTCAAGGGCGACAAGCCGTGGGACGAGGATCGCTGGAAGACTATCCGCATCACGTCTAAATCCGGGAAGGATGTTTTTACGTCGGATGTCACGCAGAGATGCGCGAGATGTCAGGTTCCGAATGTGGATCCCGAGACGGCGGAGAAGCATAAGAGGCAGCCGTGGGATACGCTCATGAAGTATCGCAGGGTGGATGAGGGGATCAAGTATAAGCCTTGCTTTGGGATGTTGTGTGTGCCAAGGGGAGAGGGCGGGATGCTGGAGTTGGGGATGAAGGTGGAGGTTACGGAGGTTACGGATAAGCATAGGATTATTTCGGGATTTTGAAGAGGTGGATACTGGCATGGCATGTAGGTGGCGTGGCGGATAAGTTAGGGTTTAGTGAGGAGTTAATTTATCTGTAGGACAGCTTTTCTGACTCAGGAGACCCGTTTGCTTTAAGGGGTCAGACATGTCAACCGCAGAGGATCAAACAAATAATTAGGTGGCGCTCCGCGAAAAAGACGACACTACGTCTGCTTAGTAGGTAGCGCCATCACCGTTTTGAGATGCAGCATTCCCCTCCCTCTCCGCCTCTTGCCTAGCCACCCCTACCCTCTGGCTCCCCAGCGACCCCATCGGCTCATTTCAGCACCCTCTCGCCAACCCCACTGCCAGCCGGAAATACACCATGACAGATAAAGCCGTCAAGATGACGCGCAGCCACATCGGCAGTGACAGCGGTGCAGCCGGGGCGGCAGTACCGCTCGCATGTCTGCGCTTCTCAGCTCTCACAGCCTCACCCTTTAGCGCTTGAATCCCAGACTGTCTATCCACAAGCCAGTGCATTCGGTCGTAGAAGTTGAGCATCTCGCTAGAGAGGCCTTTGGAGATGTATAGTGCGCGAGTTTCGTTGCGCTCTTCCCGTGTCCAGTGTGCCGTAGCATCGCGGAATTTTGGGGCGAAGACCCGAGCTTCGAGGGTGTTGATAGGGAGCTGGCGGGTCGCCGTCGGGGATTGGATATGCGGTGGGACGTCGCTTTCGTTGGTATGTTCAGGTTCCTGTTCGGTCGGCTGGCCCACGCTATTCTGGCTTCCTTGCTCGTGCGCATTCTGCTCGCTCACATCCTGCTCTCCTCCATGCCCTCCCTCATCCCTACCGACCGGCACGCCCAAGAATCCCTCAGCCAAGTCCTCGAACAAATCCACGCTCTTCCGAATCTTCGCCTCTACGTCCCTCATCATCTCGATCCTGAAGTCATAATCCACACTCGCTCTATACTCGTTCCTTGCGCTCGCTTCCTCGGAGTCCACATCGCTAGTCCTGCTGGCGCTGGCGCTGAGCAAGACGGTACGGCATAGCGGGCAGGTGTTCGCTTTGGCCCATGGACCCGTGATCCATTCTAGCAGACATGTGGCGCCGAAGACGTGACCTGGGCAGCCAGGTACGTCGGTGATGCGGAGGGGGAAGTGAGAAGCCGCGTTGAACGACTCGTGGCAAATGAGGCAGCCGGATGGGCTGGATGGTGGCTTGTAGTCGGAGGTGAGCGGCCGGAGGTGCTTCAGGGACCAGAGGATGAGAGAGCGGGTGTGTTTGCAGGACATGGTAGGGGAGGGTTGTGGAAGCAGCTGTTACGTCAAGCCGGGAGGTGGAAGGAGAGCATGGGAGTCGGAGGCAATGTCGAGGTGTCCAGCATGTAATGTTCTGAGAGCGCGGTTGTGGTGGTTGCTGAGATGCCAAGCTTGAAGTTAAACAAAGGGCAGTGTGCTCCGGAGGGAATCGGTCGGCGAACTCGCACGTATTGGACATTTGTTAAAACCTTTGAATGCCCTCAGGGACGGTACCTGGGCAATACAAAGGACACTGTTTCATCGCCTCGAAAGCCACCTTCCCTTGGCAGGCGCGACTAGCAACTTCTCTCTTTGTTACCGTCCGAAGACATGAAAGAGTATCACGATGCTTCAGTTCAATGTGAAGGGTGGATGTCCTCTTGCGATCTGTCCTTAGCTGCTGCCGGGGAGCATCTTTAGAGCAACTTCTTCGCCTCCCGGGAGCTCTTGCTCAGCTGCGGGGCCCACCGAAGAGCGTTCATGCAGGAATGAGGTCAAGGCTTCGTTTGGTGGTTGAGGTTTAGTGGCTGTGTGGCGCAGCAAAGTGGGGCTGTGTTAGTTTGGCCTTTTCCCGTCTGATTCGACAAGACACAAACCCAATCATCTGTCATGAACAACATCAGAAGCTGCCAGTGCGCAATGCAGGTCGAGTACCATCTAGCTGGCATGAGAGCTGTACTGCGCAGATGCAGGATAGCACGCCTGCCCCGTCCGCTCCCAAGGGCGCTGATGAGCTTGCCTCTTCCCTCTCAACACTTATCACGTCCACAGCCTTACGAAGTCAAGCACAGAGCTCAGGACTTACAACGCAGAAAACTTCTCTAGCGTCGCGATTCCGGCCATTCTCATGCCGCATCGACTCCGCTGGACCTAGTGTTGCTGCGATTCGAGGGCAACTCCCATATCCGTCGTCCCCTACTTCTGCCGCCCTGGAGAAGTTATCGGGGCAGGACGGCTCTCACGGTCGGGAATTCTCTGGATATATGGCGTGCGTAGCAGCTACCCTGGAGGCCTTCGCAGGTGCGTGCAATGGAACGTTTGCTTTAGGTCGCAAGACGGAGTCCCCACGAGCTGCGCTAAGCCTGTCCGGGATGGCGTGGGTTTAACCCCGCGCCAGGGTCGACCTCACTCCAGGGCTTTTCACGTCTTATTCTCTCCTTGCCCACTTCGGACTACGCAATGGCGCGCCGCCCCATGGATGAAAGCGTTTGGCACCACCATTGAGAGATTTCAAATTCCAGTGGTTCTATCTATCCACCAAGGACCGAAAGAGCGCGAAGGCGTCGTCGTCCATGACGCATAACCCTCTTCTCCCGAGCCCAATCCATCGCTACCATTATAATGAAGGCTATGACCCGAGCGTCACCGCAAAACATAATCAGCCGCCCTCGCCCATCCTCACTGCACCAGGACCCATATTCCGCCTCTCAGCCTCATCGCCTCACTCCACGAGAACTACGGCCTTCGATATCGTATTGTTCGGGTTGAATTCTTCTTTCTCTTTACCAGATGGGAAGAAGCACTTATGGCTCACCAGTGCCGCTCTAATATCTGCATTTGGTAGCGGTTGGTCCACCGGCTGGACCGCAAGAGCTGGGAAGAGGCAAAGTTTGACCCTCTTGGACCTGCAGTGGACATCATGGACAGGGAATCCCTCGACATCTTCCCCCGGCATGCAGGAGGGGTCAAAAGGCGTTCCCGGGCGATAGAAGTGGATCCTGTATTCCATCGGGCTGATCATGACTGTCTTTTTAAGTTCAACGGCCCGCTGCAACCACTCCTGCGGATCGTTGAGGGCGGTGAGCCCTGGTGCTGAGGGATACGTGTTTTGCAACGCCTCGAGGAGCCGATCGAACAAGGATTGCACACGTCTCTGGACTGTCTCCTCAAACTAGGCGTCCTTAAACAGGAGTTGAGTCGCCGTAAGATCGAGATGTTTCGCCGTGGCGATTCCCTCTGTCTCTTTCGTAAGTCAGTCCACTTTCGTGATGTAACGTATTACATACCTGTGTCCCTAATTTGCTTGTAGAGGAGTACCGTCTTAATGGTGTCTTGCTCGGTACACATAGGCTCTGGGGTTAGGAAAACCCATTTGCATAGTAGAGAGCTCAAAAGGAGCTGAACACTATGCGGGCTATCCAGGTGGGCCATCAGGCCTCTTACCCACTTCGAGATCTCCACTTCCTGGACTTTACCATCAACAAGATCGTCAATGCGTGCCGCTAGATAGCCCACGTTGAAGGGAGACGGGCCAGATGAGTCTGGTCCAAACCCAATAGCATCTACAATGCCTCTTCGCATGGCCTTCCACTCTCGGTCAAGATGAGCAGGAGATGGAAGGCCGGGAAAGCTCGCCTCTTTGAGGAAATCTTGTCGCCCGACCAGCTTCTGAGCTAGATCCCGGTACCGTTTCTTTTGCTCGTCCATTGCGATCAGGTCTTCGAGCAGTCTTCCTAGCTCGGCTCCTCCCGGCTCTTGGACGAAAGTATCCCTGATCCTCTTCATTCTGTCCACTGACTCCGGTGTTTCTCCTCCTTGCAGGGCAATCACTTTCCCCATCAGCCAGCAGAAACTGTCAAAGAGCAAATCGACCTTTGCGCGTGTACTCCTGTCCGCGCTGGCAGCCGCCGTATCGTCGTCTACGTGCACGTGGAAGGTAATACCCTTAGCCGTACTTCTCGAGCAATCCGGGCTCAGCGGGGACGGGTACGTGGCTTCCGAGACGGGCGTAGAGGATGCTTCGAATGCCGAACGCACCCTTTGAACATGCTGCAAGCTGTTCGATGGAAGCGGCAGTCGTTGGGAACCCATCACATTGGATTCTCTTAGGGGTTGGCCTGCAGCTTGTCGGCGAGTAAAGAGGGGGCTTCCATTCACTCCTCGAAGTATAGCGAGGTGGCCGCCGGATGCTGACCTGTTCGGTTTCGCTAAGACGATGCGGTTCTCGACAACAGCTTGGTCTCCCTCTGTGGCTTTGTCTTCGATTGAAGAGATGCTAGTCGCTCTGCTCTCTCCCTGTAGCGTTTCTGCGTCTTCGGCTTCGGCTTGATGGATGATTCCCTGCGCTCAGGTCAGCCACTGCGTAGGATAGGGTGAAAAGATTCGCCCTCACCTCATGCTCTTCACCTCTACAGAACTAGCTACATCAACACCTCCTTTCGCTTGCGAAGCCGTAGCACGCAGCTGTCCGATAGGCTCGAAGCCCCATTCTCTACGCTGAGTATTCATCTCCCTGAGCCAGTGGTCGCGTAGATGGCGCTTTCCGAGGCATTGCGTGCCCTCCTTCAAGAATGTAGGAATAGATGGCCTGTTCTTCAAAGCGTAACAGAGCTTGTCACTTATTTGCCTGTACGTCACTTCTTCCCTGATGCTCCCGTCCTTCCTCTTGACCTTCAAGACCTCTTGCTCGATCGTGGCTTGGTAGCCAAGGCCGTTGCGAAGGCAGTAATCGCTCCAATTGAAGATGAGGGCGACCTCGCGATCGTCCCAGTGAAGTGTAGCCTTGTGAGCGCGAGACTTGGGATGTTTCGTTCCCGCCATCCTGTCGAATCCGGGGAGTTTGTGTGGGTGTCTCCGTGGGATTTGCGGGCGCAGGGCGATACCTAGGTATAACTTGCCGATAAGAAGGCACCAGACCTGGGCGGGTGAGTGATGCAGGAACTTCCGAATCGGCTTGGTCCGGCCTTGGCAGCAAACGGACAACACCGCTCGTGATTGCTCCTGCACCCTCTGGCCTGATTGGACGCGTCGGGTGCGTGCATCAGTCCGCTTGCCCTTCCTCTGACCGCCTGGAAGCCGTTTGTGCCGCTGGCAAACCGACTGCCTTACCGACTGCCTTCAGTTCTCCAGCCCCGGATATCCCGGCTTTACTAGCCTCACACTCTTTTACAAGGAACCTGCGGACACACCATTTCCTCACCTGGAGACCTCCACAGCTTCCGTACTGCAGCATGTCGGGCCTGCTTCGCGCGACATCCACTGGTCGCAAGCGGAGACTGCAGCGACATGTCCACACGACACCACAGCCGTCCCTGAAACGTATTCGGAAATCACTATCAGTCGACCCCATTCCCAATGCAAGAGGCGAACCCACTCAGACCAGCGCAAGCCAAATTGACCACCTGGCGCCGAGTACACAAACACGCCAGCATGGGACCCCACGACGACGTGCTGCTCCTGACGGACGCGATAGCCCCGATTTCCGTCTTGCCGTTGACTTTGGGACGACACTCTCCTCCATCACGGTTGCCAAGCGGAGCTGGAAGCAAGACGCTGTCCTTATGGTGGAGAATTTCCCCGGTGACAAGCGCCTCGATCGCGATGGCGCCCAGGTCCCAACCGAAAGCTGCTACTTGAAGCGCAAGATCGAGAAGCGGACGACCGCAGGTGGCCCGCTCGAGCCAGAGGACAATCGCAGACAGGACGCCGGTACAGGCCGCCGCCCAAGGCTCAAGGCTGCCAAGGTTGCATCCCCCAGAGTGTTTGGAACGCCATCCCCCCTCGAATGGCCAGACTCCGCAGACTACCGCTTTAGGCACCAGGTGCAAAGATTCCTGGAGCTCACCGAGTACGATGCGCACCACCGCGATATCGCAACTATGTACCGGATACGCCAGCCAAAGCTACTTCTTGACAAGAGGCCACAAGGAGAAGAGTCCAGGAAAGAGTTGCAGCAGGTTCTACAGCAGCTCAGAGCGAATGGCTTTATCCGCGAAGATGAGGACGTCATCTGTGACCTTCTAACCAGCTTCCTCCATCACTGCAAGGACGTCCTCCAGACCGATCATGGCTTCAACGATAGAAGTACTGTGGAGGTCACATTCACAGTTCCTATATGTTGGGGAGTCAACGCAAATGCGACCATGGCCAAATGTCTCACAGCCGCCATGAGACGGGCGGAGTTCGGCGTTCCGGGGGACTCGTCCCTTCCTAATCTATTCATGGTAAATGAAGCAGAAGCTGCCGCAATACATGCTCTGCACTCGGGATTCCATGACCTTAATCGCGGCGAGACCTTCATACTCGTCGACTGTGGCGGCGGCACTACCGACCTGGGCATGTACAGGGTTGCGAGGTCATATCCACTTCGCTTGGAAACGGAACTCAGCAATCCAAGCGGAGCAGCAACCGGAGCCAGCGACCTTAACGAAAGAATGTGGCAGACCGCATTCTTCAACCTTTGTGACGAGCACTACCTGTGCGACCCAGAAGAAGGCGTGACCATCCAGAACATCATCGACACGGAGATTATGCCGAATTTTGAGAGCGACTTCAAGAGAGACTTCAAGGATGGGAATCGGACCCAAAAGTTCTCGTTTCGGATCCGTGGCCTGAGGCCTAGCGAGACTAATCCCAGGTTACAGCAAGGAGCCTTCGTTCTGGACTTTGAGGACATGTGGCGCATATTTGAGCCTTCACTTCTCATCATTCAACAGCTCATAGAGGATCAAGTTCTGGTCGCCGTACACAAAAATATCACAGTCGATAAGATTGTGCTTGTCGGAGGCTTTGGTGACTCTCCCGCATTGAAAGGATTCCTGCAGCGCAACCTCGAGAGGATTAATGCGGCTCATGGAAAGGACATCCGACTCATTACTACCCCTCCGTAAGATATCTTTGAGAGCTAAGATTTTTGCTTGCTGACTAGCTTCAGGAACACGGGAGCAACTGGTGTCGCCACCGGAGCCATCATGCGAGCTCAAGATAAGAGATATGGCCCTGAAAGGATATGCCACTGGAGTTACGGCGTGCTCCGACATGTCGAATGGGATCCGGCCTCCGATCTACATTACATGTGCTCGTAGAAGAAAGAGAAGGGCTGGTTCGATAACATTCTCGAGATTAGGAACACTATCCTTTGGGTTATATAAGTAGTAAGTTGAACATCGCCTCATACAAGTCAAGGATCGAGCTGACGTGTGTACTATAGGGCCAAGGACCATTGCAACGAGAGCACCGCAATACGTTCAAATCCACACACTGCTTTGAGCCAAGGCAGAAGACTTGGGGGGCGTGTGAAGTGCTATATGTGTCTGAGACGTGCACCGAGGACTATTATCAACGAACGCACCCGAAGAACCGGGGTACGTTCGCCTTAGCCCACGGCAGCCTATGCTGAGACCACTAATCATCTTCAGGCAAGATTGCCATACATGGAAAGATTGAATTCGATCTCTCTAAGCTTCAAGGTGTTATCCCCATAACGAGGCCTAAAAGCCACGCCGAAGGCAAGGCACGCTATGAGGTCACAGTCCTTATCGACATAGTAGTTGTCGACCGAGATCTGAAGTTCTTTGTCCGCTGGCCCCCGACACAGGATGGGGATATACTCAAGGGGTCTCAGGAGACTTTCAGCATGGTGGCAGCCTTTGAGCCTGGGACGGCTTAAGGCGCAAGACATGGCTCAGTTGGATATCTCTCATCTGGCATCCCATGAATTGGCATTAGTGTTCGGCTGGTTTCTATGGTGAGACTTATGGAGCTCTCCGAAAGTCATCTATGCTGCAAGTTGGGAGCACATGATTGCAACAGATCCTCATTAATTAAGTGTAATATTAGCGGGTCTATAATGAGCACATGCGTAGTCTTCTACTTGAACCAATCCGTACAGCCGCATATCCCTCAACAGCTCACATGCACTGCGTTCAGCCTCACGAACACAACGAAGCGGTAACGGTCTCTGTGCTCCTCGCTGTCCCTCCAACCTCCGTGATAGTAACCACCCCGGCCCCCACAGTCGTCGTCGAAACGCCCAACACTGTAGTCGTGCTCACACCCCCGGAGGGAGTCACAGTGACAACTTGAGTAACGCCAGCCGTGACCGTGGTGTGCGGAATAGGTGGATACGTGTAATCCGGTCCCGCGCCACCAATCGCACGTTCCACCACGCCCCTAGCTTCTCTGGGGGAAGCCGCACGCGGCCGTTGTTGCCTCGCGACAGCCCGCTTGGCGGCGGCCGTGCTGCAAATCCCGAATTCAGGCTGGCAAGTCGCGCCGCAATAGTCCGCCGTGGCGCCGCAGTATCCATACTCCGAGCAGCATGTACCGAAATCGCTGCCTACGCACGTCTGGCCCGTAGTCCCGCCGCACGCACCGTCCAGCGAGACCTTGAGCGTGGAAGACGGGAGCGGCGCGCTGCCAGTCGGCGTAGACGTGGCGTTGCAGGCTCCGAAGAGCGGCTGGCATCCGGGCCCGCAGTGATCTCTGGTTGAGCCGCACCAGCCGTACGCTAGGGTTTTTGTTAGAGTGGAGGAAGGGTGGGGCGGGGGAACGTACGGGAGCAGCAGTCTCCGAATCCACTTCCAGCGCACACATAGCCGGTGGTGCCTCCGCAGGAGCCGTCTAGGGAGACGGGGATAGTTGATGTGGGCATGGCGCTGCTGGAGACTGGAGATGGGGTGGTGCAGGTCCCGTATTCGGACTGGCATCCTTCGGTGGTTAGGCAGTAGATGTCGCTGGCTCCGCAATAGCCGTACACTAGTATACTGTCAGCATATTTTTAGTGTAGCGCGAGTGCATCAACACACAGGAGCAGCAGTTTCCAAACGTCGAGCCTAGGCAGGTCTGTCCAGTGGAATTTCCACACTGGCCGTTGAGAGAGACGGGAAGGGTGGCTGTTGGAGATGCGCTTTCTGATGATGAGGTTGGAGACGCGATGGTAGATGTCGCGTTCGCACATGTTTGAATCAGTTCCTTGACGGTTATGGTGGTTGCTGCTGAGCCAATAATGGTTGTAGTTGAGGCACCTGAAGAAGCAGTCTCGGTAGCTGTAGAAGTGAATTCCGTGACGCTGTACTTATGTCAGCAACGGATCCGTCCACTTCACGATCACTAATGACTCACGTGGACGTAGACGCCGTAGCTGCGGACGCGGTCGTGGTCTGGAGAAAGGTAGCAGCCACGCTATCAGTAACGAATATTGGCGAAGCGACAACAAATACACGCGATGAGATACTCGGTGCCCCAACCACAACTGGTTGGCTGAATCTGAGCGTGTAAGTTCCAGGGGCGAACTGGTTATCGATGGCGGTCGGGCATTCGATCCCGGAATACGTAGTCGAGCCGCCAACAGAAGGAGTGATCGACGGCGGCGCAAGCACAGAGCATGTGGTCGTCTTCCCTGTAAGACCACTGGTAGTCACAATGAGGGGCGTGATGGCGTAGGTGGAGGTTCTTCCAAGTGCTACTGAGCGGGTGGGGAATGAACAGACAGTGCCATTAGCTGAGGAAGGTTAGCACAAGTATGCGATATACCCAGGTATCACGTACTGGATGTGAAACTGCCTACTAGGCCAAAGTAGTTCGTGTTCGCCGCATCGAAAGCGAAGGTCGGTGTTGCTGTCGTGCCAGATATCGAGGTTACGAGGTCTGGGGATCCGAATTGACACCCAGCCATTTTATTCAGGTACTTTTGAACTACGGGTATTAGAAATTAGATTTGTAGAAGAGACGAGACGGCTAAGGAAAGCCAAGTGGAATGAGAGTGAAAGAAACCCGGCTGGAGGTGAGGCCAAGCTTGCAAGATGGAGCTCAGCATTGAAACTTATATACTTGTATATATCTTATTATTGACAATTCCGTATGCGCCTCCGAGGAGGCCATGGCTCACTCTCCCGAAGCAGTCGGTCATATTCTTGGCATGCATGGTGTAAGTTACGAATCGGGAAATGTGCTCTCTGGAGTCGGGCCGGAGCTCTGCTAGCGGCTTCGGATGAGTACTGAGCATCGAAGTCCTCTGGGTAGAGGTATACTAGAATACCAATCCAAGGGAAGTCAATGCTGGATGCTTCTTTCCGAGATCTCCTCACGAACCAGAAAGCGCGGCTAGCTGCGCGACGACGACGCGCAAACAAAGCATTCGAACGCATGACCCAGGAGATACAGAAAGCTGGGTTCCCATCATAGCTCAAGGTTCATATATTGGGTCAGCTCTAGGAATTGCGTGCATCGTGTGCACGGTCGTCGAACCGGGTTTGCTGTTCTAAAGCAGGAGCGGCCCCGATAGTAGTTGTAACGATACTTGGGCATCATATTGATGCATAGAGATGTCTCTCTATCGCAGAAGGCACCAGGCATAGAATGATGGCGCCGCGAGGCCGTGGGAGGGGCCATGTTCATCGTGAGGAGGGAAAACTGCTCCGAAACTGTGCTCCTGAAGTCGCCTGATGCTCAATAAGGAGCCAGAACAAGGGTGTAAGTCGGAAGAAATAAATGAGAAGACCGGGTCCAGAGCGTGACTTGCGCATGTTCTCTCAGTGATGGATTGATGTTGGGCTGAGATCCGACGCTTTGGTTCAGGGGCTAATCATTGCCGAGGCTAGTGCGAGCACGTGATAGCATTTCCTGTTTGATCTTAGCGCATAACAAGGCGACCTGACTTAGCCACAAGCAATCCTCAATACAAGCGACTGCATTTCTGACGTCTGCGGAACTCGCTCGTTACGCTATCGGCTGTGATGCCTTGGGAGAGAGGTCGGGATACCCTGGAGGACTTAGTGAACGGATGGGCGTTTCCTCCGCGTAAGTGTCGCCTGCTTCGCGAATTCTTCTCGCTTGATGTACATTGGAACCACATCTGCTCAGGTCCTAATTCGCCCGACTGTGTGGCCAGACGTGTGTTCGCGGAAATATCGACCGGGGTGTGGCAGTCCGGCATGCGCCTTCTGTGAAGTACATCAGTGTTTGCGAACCGAGAGATTGCCATCGTACCGCGCGAGCATCTTGCGTCGGGATGGGCCATAATACCATCTGACTGCGGTCTGAGCCACCACATGCATAAGGATCCGCTGACACTACACGTAAGTAGGCTCCTATCGCCGGAGATCATGGCCTGAATCTTGGAACGGATTTGTATGGGTGCCACTTGCGGGAATCGGCCAGATGTATTGCATTTGGTGCTCTAGCTCAGGGCCCACGCTCTTCCTACTGTCCAACTCGGGAAGCCTTGCTGTGCCAGGTGTTCTGCCCTTAATCGTAGCGGAACTCCTGTCCTACCAGCTTCTCGCTCAAGGCCCAGAGCTTATCAGCAGTGTTAGAATCGAGCGCGTGCGATGCAGTGGTAGGGTCAACATTGTTCTTCGCGAAGCACTTTCCGCTTTTGTCTGTCGAAGAAGTCAGTGCCTTTCGCAGGTTGCTCAGCTCGGACCCTCACCATCAATAGTCCTATCAAACCCGGTCACGACATAGGTCGAGGCCCCCGCTGCCACCGAAGTCCATGGAATGTTGTCGGCGAGCGATCCATCGGGCTTCCACCACCCTGACCAGCTTTAGCGAGGACCTCTAGGAACAGCCATCGGACTTACCCATCGCGACCCTTTTCTCGAACGGAATCTCTCGACTCAGTGCAGTACCCGGGACAGCTAACGAGTTTAGCAGAGTCGATACTGTGGGCGCGCATACTTACCTCCTGGATCTAGCGAAAAGCTCCGGAGGCCCTTAGTCTTTAGTCTGTCGGTCAGAGAGACCGAGAACAGGATGTTTGCGGTCTTGGATTGCCCATAGGCTACGAAGGGATCGTAAGACTTTCCATTCTAATTCGAGAGTAATCAGCCAGGTCCATCCGTGAACACCTCTGGCTGGGTATGGCTAAGCCCACGTTCGGGCTTGCCGCTCGTGGAGAGGCTGGAGATCAAGCTTACATCGAAGTTGACATCTTCTAGGTGAACAGGACTGGCTTGATGTCCGGCGCTCGAGACATTCACGACGCTTGCTCCAGCGGGAGACCTGAGCAGAGCCGGCACAAGGAGGTTCGTGAAGAGAAAGTGACCTAGATGATTAACACCAAAGTGCATCTCGACTCCTTGTTTCGTCGTCGTGAACTTGGGAAGCACTGCAGGCCACTCAGCAGACTGCCCGCTCATCGAGCCAGGACCACCCACTCATTATCCCAGCATTGTTGATCAACACGTCCACCACTGCGGTTGTTTTGAGGATCTCGGCAGCCGCCTCCCGCACGGAATCAAGGTCCGCAAGGTCCATCTCTATCCCTTTCACATTGTTGGGGGCGGTCGAGCCTGCTATTGCAGCGACTGTTTCATCGATAGTCTCCTTACGGCGGCTGGCCAATACTAGAAGCTTGGGGTTGTGCTTGAAAATCACCCGGGCAGCTTCAGCCCCAATGCCTTGAAAAAGTTAACCAACGGTAGGTCTCACAGCCTTGGTGAAGAGCCTTACCTGAGGGAGATGCACCCGTTATGATGACTGCATTTGCAGGCTGTGTTAGAGTCGTTCCAGATTGGACCATTTGATAAGCGTGATACTGACCTGTCTTGCCGGCGATGTCCCTTGCCAGCGCTGCGGCGACCTCCTCCGCAGTCGCCTCGGGCGAGAACCTCCCGGATTGCTCAACATGCCGGCCCAGGACCTTCTGACGCGCCTCTTGATCAGTAGAGAACGCAGTCCCGTGGTGAGACATAGTTTGGTAATCAGTGACAAATAACTGCTGTATCTTACTTCCTAATTCGGATGCCCTCGGTTGACGACGGCGGTGAGGTCTGCGATGAGTGATACAGCATGGCAACACGCCCTCTGCGCGATTTATACACGGAACTCACATGAGGGTACTCGGAGTTCCGAGCGGCATCGTGGAGTTAAGAAGATAGGAACGCCCGTTCGAGCAAACGGTTTCGCACCTTCTACGGCGGAGTCAAGGAGTTAACGGCCTTGCCACCGTCTTGCGCTGCTTTGAGGTTGCGCAGGGCGGACGGGAGGGTAATTGCCGCTGGTGTGGGTAGGCGTGCATGCGTCATTGTGCGCAGCCCAATGTAGGTCGAGCTTTGGGCCTCTGCAGCTGGATACTTCGATGATTGGACATCACGAACGACGGCTACAAGGGGACGCTTGGAGATTCTATCACGACGGCGCTGCGTGATTCCGTACTGATTCCATTCTTCGGCCGAAGAGAGTGGGCGGTCAGGCTGTTGAGACCGGTATGCTTACGCATCACGAGCTGGTCGGATCTCATTGGCCTGGGATGAATTTAAGCACGAGCGTTAACCGAATCTGGATTAGTGGGGCTGAAATGGCGCGTTGCAACTTTGCGGGAACTCCCCGCGGCATTCCTCCACCGCGCCCTGCACCCTGTATCGCGATTCTCGTTCCCGCCGCAGAACGGCATCTCCGCCCTTCTACGAAGGTCTTGCCCGTTGCCGTTTAACGCCGGTCGTGCCGTCCACCGCCGGGCTTGCTCACGTGCGTCCCCCTTCACGGACCAAACTCGGCTGGCCGCTACCACAGGATGAATCATCCTTCTCTCAGCCGCTCATTCGGTCGCCAAACTCTCCCAATGCGGTATATGTTAATACAGCCTTCCAATAACCGAGTCACCGACGAACCGACAACCAACGGGTCGTCACCTGGCGTCTCCCTGGCAGGGCATTGTGCTATCGACATGCTCACGCATAGACGACTGAGCCCCTGATCCAGAGCGGTGTTCTGTGGCGGGATTAAGGTTAAGCTTAGTTGCGAGGGATTCAGCGGCCGTATGCTTGTTTACCTCTCTGCTGGGTTGCTATTCTCGTCCACATTATTCAGCTACCCCAAGAAAAGGCCTGACAGGGAATTGGCCCCGTTTTTGGCTAGACCTCTATCCCCGAGATTCTGGAATCTGAGCATCGATCATTATATGTATTAGACCTTGGCGATCGTTTCCAAGGTTGCTTTTCCGCTAATCAACATATCAAGAGCCAGCAACTCCTTTTCGATTTCTATACTCCACTCCTTCGGATTCTTGCTGTTCTCATCTGCTGGCGCCATGTTTTCTGCACCTGCTATTCAGACTCAACCTGCATCGCGACCAGGAAGGAAATCGAGAAGCCCCGGCGTAGGGGAGGAATCGGGGAAGAAGCCCAAGAAACCCAACAGCGAGATTCGGAAGCAGCAGAACAGGATAGCTTCTAGGAACTATCGTACGTTTCCATCGCATCCATTTAACGCGACCTTTAGCCTGTGAAGTAGCTAACAACTTGCTGTGTAGGAGAAAAGCGGAAGCGAAAGCTACAGTACCTCCAGCAGCTTCTCAAAGACGGAAGTTCCAGCGAACAGACAGCTCAAGATTCAGAACAGGGCGACGGATCACCTATAATGTCGCCAGAGTATCATGCCCCAGTGCCGGCTGCCGCCACCTTGAGCCTTCCTTCGAACAACGGCTTCTCCACTTTGGCTTCTAGCCCAGTGCTAGCGACGACTGCGGCCTACGATAGCCACCTCCTCGCAACGTCGCAGCCTTTCTCTACCTTCGAACCAGCCTGGCACACATCCATTTACGAACCAACCCCAGCTATCAACATCTCATCGTGGAATGTGCCAGCGTGGATGCCTGGCCTAGATTTTACCCCGCCAGTAACATCACGACCGGAAGAGTTCCAATTCACGCCTCCTCACTCACACCACTCCTTCGAGCAGCTCCCCACACCCCCGCGACAACCACATGAGCCGGCGCACCGCTCTGACCTCTTTCTTATGGACTCCTATGGCCACTGCGGACGAGTCGACGTGCATTCAAGGCCCGTATCTCCATACCATCACCCGCGATACCACAGGGCGCCCTGAGACGTCACTTGCAGCCTGTGCACAAAGGGACGTACGAGATTCTCGTATGGGAACACATACACGGCTACGGACGACCCTCCATGCGAAGCGTATTCCCACGATTCAAACTCCTCTGTTTCTCCCTGGGGCCTTCACTCGCCTCGCCTCCCTATCTTCTCCTCGCCCTGTTTTCACGACGACGAAATAGGCTACTAATACGAGGCACCGCTAAGCCGAATCCACGCCAACATGCGAGCTTCACCCCCTGTCGGGATTGTGGGGGCTGGAACGCCTAATCGTCCCTCAAGCTTACATTGGCCCTGGCTACGGCATCCCTCACTCTTCTCCGCAATTAATTACGCGAATGGGAAATATCAAGATTGGACGAGAGGAAGACGATCCACTGCCGAGGCAGGCTGTCCAAGACACCACACGCCCAGCTCAGCTTAGCTGACGCCAAGGGTAGTCGTCGCACAACAATCATAGATGGGAAGGCATCAATTTACACCGGTGTGAATATGCGGAGTTCTATGTGCCGTGCTTGCTATGCGGAGTGTGTTACGATGGGCGGTATTGGCGACATATTATCAAAGTACGGATCTGGATAATGGGCGCGCGAGCCCCTCGAGCTTTCACGCCACACACACGACACTGATATTTCAATCTCAGCTCTGACCGTACATCTTGCAGAATCTTCTACACCGGGCCCTGCCTTTCGGATACGTCAAAATGCCGCGCCTGCGCTTCCCTTGGCTGAATCGCAAAATTGTCACGTCTACATCAACTAAGCCACTACGCGCTGCCCTCCACCGCTGTCGCACGCCCGGGGCATTGTACCGTACGTGGAGGATTTCTATATCTTCCATCCGACCCACTCGCCCCCGGCTGGTGCTATTCGATCGCAAATCGGGCCCATACTGTCGCAGTTCGCGATACCAAGTGTCAAGGGCGCCTCCACCCGCGAAATGTCGAGACAGCGATTACAGGGGAGTCCTTTGATGCGCGAGTAGTTTGAATTTGCTTGAGGCACCGGAGGGAGAATGATGCCCCAGGCACCCTGCCGGTTGCTATATGGATAGAGGCATTAACCTCTTAAACCGCAATTACAGGCGCGGCTGCTGCTTCAGTACACATGTCTATGATACTTTGTTGATGTATATATTAGCTCTAACTATTAGAGACTAGGGGGTAGATAGTGATCGAGGTCCAGATATCCATGATGATCCATATTTCCACTATGTTCATGATTACGCGAACCGGAATACAATTAACGACCAGGAATAAAGCATTTAATAATGCCGCCTTACAATGAGTGTAGTGAAGGCTTGGGCTTTTTTTTCTTGAATCCCTGGACTTAGGGCGCCGGAAACGTCAGGTGTCTGGTACTGACCTCGATGCAGCGATTTGACTGCTCTGCCTAAGGCACCAGCAAATACATTTTCCATTGCTTCGGTTGGTTTCTTGCGCTTTCTCCCGTCGTGGCCTCTCGAGATCAGTCGCGCAATAGAGGCCCGCTACACTAGTCCCTTTTAAGAAATCTATGTGAAGTTTAGAAGCTGGACAGTCATCCCAGAAGACATGCGGAGGCTTGACAAATAGGGCAATCATGAAAGACGGTGAGATACTCTGCAATTTCTAACAGTCCTCGTGATGGAGTATATTACTCTGGAAATTTAGACGAAAGTACACGTCACGTGACATCACTGTTCACCGCCGCTACCTCCCCCAAGAACGGGGGTCCCACGCCACGTAATCTAGAGGTATAACTGAAGCTTTGTGGGACGTACTTGGAAATACTTGACTGTTCCAATGAAATGTTGTGAGAGTATTATATTATTGTGGTTTTCTTTTACGGAAGCTTTTGATTGGCAAGCATACGAAAGCTATGAAAAGATTTCCTGGTATAACAGAGATGCGAACCTAAAGAGCGGATCGGGGATGCACCGACTTGTCCAATACCTATATGATGGCCACACATTTTCCTCATGAAGATCCCGCACAAGGATGCCGAAGATACTTAGTGGAACCCCGTGTCGGCATACCCCGGGTCAAACAAGGTCGTGACAGGGAACCTCTCCACCGTATTTTCCTGTGGCTGGCCACCGTATTCAACCCAGAAATCTAGCTCTCGATCGACGCATCTAGCATTAACCTTGAACTGGAGTTCCCAGCGGCGTTCGTCCCTCTTGCCTCCCCTGGTACGGAGAGGCTTCGGCTCCAACGTGTGCCGCAGCTCGTCCGCATTCCATTGAATCAGACCAAGTCTGACTGCACCTGGATCACATGGTAAGTTAACGTGTTTGCCGTGGTATGTGCAACCCTTAACGCACCTCTTTTCCTCGCATCTTCCACGTGAATGAAATTGGGAAGACGGTCTTCGCATTCCCATATCTCTTCCCTGCAGTCCCACTGTTCGTCGTTACTGAAGATATGTTTGGAAGAGAATTCGCTAAGATGAACGGGTTTCATTGCGGGAGCGGTCTGTGAAGGGCTATGTTAGATCACTGTGTTGCAGAGATTCACTAACTTACCGTATCGTCCATGTCGACCTTGGCGATGAAGGTTTGCAGTCTGCTGAACCAATAGTACTTGCCGTCGACGCCTACCTCCGCGGCATGCTTATGTAACTCTTCCCATTCCTCAGCCGTCCAGCCTACACGCTTCTGCCAGGGGATGTGTCGGCGCAGCATCACGTGCCGACGTGGCCATTTCTTCGGGCCCAGGCTCTTGTCCAAGGACCTGAGAATGGCGCCATGAGCCACAGCCGGGGCAGCGCCCCTAGCATAGATACTGAATTTAGTTAGCAGTTGCCTTGAGTTGGAGAAGAGAAGGTTCACCTTCCTGCAAACTCATAGCTTGGCCGGATGATTTCGATATCGATCCCGTGCTTAACCTTGTACTCCTGCATGAAATGGCGCAGGCGTATTTGGACAGCTTCCGAGTCCGCGAAGCCCCCTACGGTGACGAGCTTGTCCACCTCTATGTTTGCACACCTTGATTCATCAAGGTGCCGTTTTAGCAGGCGCTCGATCCTCTGAAGGGTAGGCTCGAACACTTTTCTCAAGACAGCCCTGATCATCATGAGCCACGACAGTAACATCGGCAACAAACGCAGGGTGAGTCACTTACTGGGTAACCACCATCATTCCATCGCGTGCCCAATCAGTGCTGTAATTTGCTTCGAGTCCAGGAAGAGGCAGACAGCCGATAATTTCCATTTCTCCACATTTGGTTCTCTTGATATCTGACTCAAACGGCCGCATAAGAAACCTATCGACAACTTCATCGAAGGTGAGGTTTTCCGGCGGTTTATAATGTATCGAACTCAGCATTTCAATGGCCACTTTGCGAAATTCGTGATTCACATTGGATGATCCACATGTATCCCCTGACGCAGATTTAGTATCGTGCCAACATGCGCAACAAGGAACCCACCGTCTGGGCGGACAACCTTTCTTCCCAGTCGTAACGGGTCAGCACTCTCGGTTTCAAATGTGCAGATGTCAGCTGTGAGGCCTCCCAGGTCTAGGATCACGAACACCTCTCCGGGCTGTACTAGTCAACAAAGAACAGTGCAGGAGGAGCTTGATGCTTACTTGGAGCTGGGACTTTGGCACCGCATACTGCGCTGCCGCTTCTGCCTCAGACACAGTGAAGAACTTGTACTCTCCCGTAGCCGGTGCTCTCGGAAGACCGGCAAGCCCCAGCGACGTCTGCATTATCTTCTCCAGCCTGCGAGCCTCGAAGATGGCCGGGATGGTAAAGATGTACTCCACTTGACTTAGCGGAGTAAGTCCGTGATCATTTTCGAGGACCGTCTTCAAATGAGCGAAGAAGGCCACAAGAAAATGCCTGATGACGGCCTCTTCGTTTGGGATGATCCGGCGGGTGATCAGCTTCCCCAAGCTTTCGCGCAGGTTTGCCTTGACCTCTCTGGTCTCTCCTCTTTCGTTGCTGTCCAGCAAAATCTTCATCCCTTGGATTTCACATTGTCGAGCCAAGTCACCGATGAAGTCTCGTTGTGTTTGGCCGACCGGGTATCCCCACTGAAAGCCAGATGGAAGCCCTTGTGCCATTGTGGTGGATTCCACATTGACCGGATATCTTCCGCCAGTACCATGCGTTCTGTCTCTTTGCGTGTCATCCTGCTCAAGGTACGACGTCACAGTTCGCACCCCCCTCAATGAGATGCCGGTTTCCGAGTGTGGCTCCTGTGGATAGCCACTGACGACGTGAATGATTGGTTTTCCGTAGTCGCTCTGAGCTTTGGGATTGCAGACTGCTGCAACTGTGTAAGTTGCTCCGAAGTCAATGGCAACTTTGAGGCGATCGTCGCAATCTGGTGCAGTTGCAAAGATAACCGGCTTGTTTTTGCTTGTGGAGGGGCCTTTGGAGACGCGTTTGGGGACACCTTTCGGGGGACCCCTCGAACGCTTCATTCGGTTCGGATTCCGGAGACCGGCAGAGTCCATATCTAATCGAGGGATATGGAGAGTATTGCCAGGCGAGTTGGAGTTGGTTCAAAGTAAGTCTAGAATTCTGTGTCTAGAACACGTTAGCAAGTAAGCTCCACCTCTGAAGGGGGTTAGCTGACCAGCCTCCTTGCCTAGCATTGACGAATCAAGCTAGACCGTGGGAGCAAGAAGCTCACTAATAAGACGAAAGGTGCTATATGACAGCGAACTCAAAGACGGCGGAGAACTGCCTAGCTAGCAACAGGGCGGCTTCTTCGAATATGATCCAATGCACCCCGTGAGGAAAGGAATGAGAGAGAAAGCCGTTGAAGCACAAACAATAGGAGCGGGGCGACTGGGAGATGCTTGCTTTTTGTGCGCCATGCATGCATGAGGCATATCGGTGACACAAGCAGCCGTGCAATTGTCGGTCTGGTCACTCAAAGACCCAATCCCCATACTATTTAGCCACGTGAAGCCCTCACCGTAGGTTGGTTGAAGAGAGAAGCATGATTTGCTGGTTACACATACGTTAGCTGTGGCACCTACACTAGTCCGTATCGGCACAGTACTGATTGCCGCCCCACCCAGACTCCGGTCAGCCTGTTTTCCAACCGAAACCTCCTTGTCCAATACTCATGCCCATCCTTTGCAATTACACCACAAACAGCTTCGACATATCGATAGGAAGCACACAATTGTCATGGACACTCCGCACTTCGACAATGCAGAAAAGGCACTCCTGTTTGCGCTGCTTGACGTCCACCGAGGCAAAGCCAACTTCTTCAAGGCGATCGCCGATGACATGAATCGACACTTCAAAACAAACCGGTTTTGCAAGGAATTGTTGCACGCCTGGTTGTCATCGGCTGCGTGCAGGGGGAGAACGGAGGATAAACTGAGGGAGATGAGGGAGAGAGGGAGCGACAGCTTAAGGCGCGGCACCCTTCCAAAAGAGTACTTCGATATGGCGAATCGATATCGGCGGGAGTATGGTCTGGAAGGACTCCATCCCGACTACATGTCTCGTCGTTCCGGAATTTTACATGAAAAAGGCGATCGGGCTGCGAGCCAGAGCCCTTCTAAAAGCCTCATAGTCAAGCTCAGAACGAGGCCTAGGATCCGAATTTGGCTAAGGCCTCAAACTGCCCCGACACCAAAACGAAGGTCTTCCAGGCTCCAAGCAATGCGCGACGCGCACGGGCCCGAGAAGAGCGGACACAACCAGTCTCAGCAACATGGGAATGACAGTCCATACGTTCCCTCTACGGAGATTTCCGACAACTCCGACCAGAATGATTTCGCTCCGTCTTTCACTCGTACACGGGCATGCGGAGCAAGAATTCCCGATACGAGCACCACGCTGCCAGTCTCTGAAGATGCGGGTCCCATCGTCATTCATGACGACTCTTATTTCACGCCGACGACGGGTCACGCATCCTCCACCCACAGAGAACGAGATGACCAGTCCGCCATGAGTTTTCATGACTGTTTCCCAAATACCAACTCGAGCACTGGAGCGGGTAGTGATCGGACCGACGACCCCGCCCTAATAGCCACGAATGTGCTACTCGACTCCGAATGTCAGACGCTGAGGGCCGAAGTTGAGATATTGAAAAACCAGATCACCTCGCAGAAGCATGTAATAAACGAATACGAGCATAAGATAGCTCTCGAGAGTCAACGTAACAAAGATTTCGAAAGGATTCTCAAAGACAATCTTGCAGATAGTTTGGGAAGGATCCTGGAGCATATGCTTACGAGAGACCGGGAGCGAGAACGCATGGCAAAGACTTTCAACACAGTCTTTGGAAGCTTGGAAAGCAGAGAATTCCCCCGGAACCCCTCGTTCCCCGTCTCACGACAGATGTGGACGCAGCTCCGGGACTCTATCAAGTGCACCCTCGGTGCCAGAGAGCAGTTCTTCCCGAAGCTTTGTGTCAGCGATCTTCCAGATGCTTTGCGAGACGAGTTGGATGTGCTCTTAGCAGAAGATGCCGGAACTGGGGAGCATTACGCCAAATTTCTGAGCGAGGCAAAGGCATGGCAGGTCATGAGAGCTCTAGTCGGGCGCCTTCTATGCAGCTGGGTATTCGAATCTGCCTACCCAGACTTCCTCAGCGGTATGTCTAGGCAGTTGGAGAAGGTATATACATTGGTTGCAGTCAAAGGTGAGAAGCTCCAGTTCACTACGGTTAGCCACTCCCTAAATTAGGGAAATTTTTCGAAAACTGCGTCTAAAACAGGGGTCTAGTTAGAGGCGGTTTCGGACAATTCCCTGAATTAGGGGTAATTCTTGCCGTGGTGAGCCCCAGCAAGATGATCCATATCTAATCCGCCTCTATCTAGACGGCCCGACAAGAGTCCACGAGTTCCACCTCGCAGTGTGCAAGCTCCTCACCGATGACGAATCCTTTAAAAAGGAGGAGCTTCCTCTAAAGGCCACGCAGTGCGCGAACACTATCCTGCAAATATCTCTCCCACTCTTCGAAAACGCGGCCCAAAGCACACGATTCTGGGGTCAAGAATACTCTAGCTACTGTCCGCTAAGCGGACTACAGTCCTGCTTTATGAAGGCGCTGGAGTTTAAAATCTCGCGCCAGCTCGGCCCCATGGACCTGCGCTTCCGCATCCAATGGATCTCCGCGGGCACCCGGTATGATGAGGAGTGGATGACATGCGATTGCGAGAGCGATATTGCTCGCACCGGCCGGGAGGGATTGAAAGTGAAGCTCTGCCTGTTCCCCGCGCTTATCCAATTTGAAGAGCGTGAGCGACGTCCCGAAGCAGGCCCAGCCGGGTTAGCGTCCGCGATCGTGTACGGGCAGAAGTTCTCCGTGGATATCACCAACCAGCAATTTGCAGACTGCGTCAAAGAAGCGGGACTTGAGGGCGCGTTTCTGGTAGCTAAGGCTACAGTCCTGCTGGATTATGGGGCGAAGGTGTAAGCCTAAGGGAGGGAGGTGCGTCGTGTGCGTTCAAGGAGAGATTTGGTGGGGATGTCAGCCATATTTCCTTGGGACTTCAATGTCGCTCACTGGTGCATTCCTTGTGGCCAAGGTAGCATTTCTAGGTCTACATATGTGGGAATGAACTAATCACGTGGATCAGCATTAGGTTGGGAGGCATGGACGGGCTTGTAATACCTAGCAACCTGATGTGGAAGTGTCCCATCCATACCGACTAACTAAAGCACAATAAATACCCCAGGAAGGCCCGTATTTTGAAAACAATAAACTGTCTGGCATGAACAGTACATCACCGCTGACATTACTTCACCACAACGGAGACATAGTCACATCGGACTCGACCGCTCACCCATACACAGACGCACAAGGTTCAAGAATTAAACTCTTTCTCTTTTCACAATCATAATGTACACGTCTGAATCGAAAGGAGGCCTGGCTCTCCCCCCTTCACTCATCAGCCAATGCCTCCTAGGCAAGAAACAGGAGCCATGCATTCACAAGTCCCGCAAACACAAACCCAAACCAAACCCACTTTTTTATCCCGCGCTCACCCCATAAAACAGATTCCAGATGCGCTTACTATTGTTCCAGTGAAGACCGTACCGAAGCGGCCGTACGTGCATCAGACACATCTCCGCGTACGGATCCAGCCAGTTCTACTTGCTGCTCGCCACCACGTTGCGGTAGTACTGCGTGCTCAGTTGGCATGAGTGCTTCAGCCAGAGATCCTCCGTAAGTGGCAGCTTGACGACTCGCGAGCGCTCAGCGGGCTGGATCAAGGTTAAAACCAATCCACACATGTGTGCACGGGCATCCGAGCAGATTCAAACGGGAGACATACCTTGTACTTGGGGATAAGATTCGCCACGGTTCCGGCGATCTCAGTGAGAGCCACCCGCTCCTCAAGCCCACAGCCCTCCCAGCGATCCCTTGCTACAATCTCCAGCGCATGCTGCAGCTTCCCTAGTAAGATGCTAATCCGCTGGTTCAGCTCCTCATCAACACGATACGACGAGCGTTGCAGTGTAAGATCGAGCAGCTCGATGTAGTCGAAGTAGATCTGGCCACCCTGGCTCCAGCCAGGCACCGGCTCCTTGCGATGGCTCGAAGAACGCCCGAAAGCATGGTCAGCAGTCGGGCTGTTCGTGGGGGTGGGGAGGAAGCCACCCATGAGCTCGCGGAGGGCGTCGTAGTCGCGAGAGATGATAGAGTCGGGGCCGACGCTGCGACATAAGACCTCATGTGCTTCTTCAAGCTCGTCGGCCTTGATGAGGTGCATGGCCTGGCGGAGAGCATTGCCTTCTGTCTTGGCTTGGAGGGCTGCGGCGGCGTGCATCCACGTATCAGGGACCTTAAGGTCAAATGCCACATAGTTGAAGACTTTGTCGGTATCGCCGAGGGAGTAAGTACTGGAGTACTGGTTGAGGAGAGAACGGATGCAGTGCTCGCGCATGGCCGGGTTGGAGAGGTGGGTGTAGACCCAGGCAGCTGTAGTCCAGTCTTCTCGGGTGTGCAGGGAAGCTGCATAGGTGAGGGCGAGCTTATCACCAAGCTCGACCAGAGGATCCTCTGCTTGGTCATCCTTGTCGGCGGAAGATGCCTTGGATGACATAAAGGATGACCGGAGACCTTCGGCGTCACGAACAACTGGCATGCCAACCTTGCGGGGAGTATCCTCGTCTGCGTCGTCCTGACGTGACTTGAAGAGTTGGAAAAGTTGGAACGAGAGGCGGGCGTTCATGGGGTGGCCTGAGACGTTCTCCGGAGCTAAGACATCCTCGATGTTGGCGGGTAGCTCCATTTTCCCAGAGGCATAGAGCTTCAGAATGCCCCACAGCACATCCTCGCGGTCGTCAGCCTCAGGATCCTTCCAACCCATGTCGACGCCTTGCTCAACGAACCAAGGGGTCGGCTTGGCGTCTTCTTTCCCATCACGGAGAGCATCAGCGAACTGTGCAACGGCTAGCTCAATGGGTTCGTCGGGCATGGTACCGTACCATAGGCGGAGACCGAAAGCACGACGCCAATCCAGCCCAAAGCGACTGGAGATGTTGAAGGTAGGGGCCTTGTTCTCACGACCACCTCCGAGCTTGCCTTCTGACTGCGCGCAGTTGCCGGCAACTAATTCGTGGAGGGTACGGATGGAATCATCCATCTCGGCAAGGACATCCATGCGTCGCCATTCTTCGATCTGAGATGTCATATCTCGGCGTGTCGTAGCGTCGCCACCGATCTGGGCCACCATGGTAGCCAGGCGAAGATCCAGCCCTTGCAGAAGAGCGTGGCAGGCATCGGCAACGGAGTTGCAGCTTAGATATACGAGAGCTTTCTCCTCAGCGGTCTCAGCTTCTTGAACGTGCTTCATTGCATCCTCGTAGACCAAAGTTCTCCAGAATTCCGAGAGCCTCTCCTTTCGGAAACGTTCCTTGTTCTCCGTGAAAGACTCTTGAGTCATGTCACTAGGGGCCTGATCTAGGTCGTCAAAGAGGAGTGAGAGGAGCTTCCATGCTTGCTGTTCATGAACGCCCGCTGTTGTACCAAGCGGGACAGCGTCCGCCATCTGCTCGAAGGTCACAGGGGCGGGGTCGGTCTGTAACTTCGCAAAGGGAGCTCCGTCAGTGCGGAGCAAGACCTTCGTCCACTCCTTCTGCAGATTCACGGTTGGTGGCACAGCCTACTCGTGGTTACTACCAAGACACATGAACGATGAGCACTCCTGCAAACTTACATCAGGGAAAGTCGGCAACTTCTTGAAGCAAATGGCTTTCTGGGCTCCGACAATCGGATCTTTGCGAGCGGAGAAGATGTCGTCATTAGGGGTTGCGGCACCCTTGTCTGCGTACACAAGTGTTCCGTCCTCGCTAAAGTGGGGCTTATTACAGCTATGGAAGTCTTTGTCGGTGCCGGTCAACTGGTCGAGATCGTGCGATGTCTTGGGTCGTTTCGGATATGGTAACTAGAGACAAGAGTTTCAGCAAATCTTGTCCCCATGTGAATTCAAGCTACATACATGATGGACACTAGGTCCAGGGCGTCAATCTAACAAGGAGACCCGTGATGGAAACCCAAAACGACTTGCGCCCGACTGAAAAACATATGCTGGGGAAGGGGAAGTCAAACCTCAATGCCATGTCCCGTCCTCTTCATTGAAGAGTCCTTTCGCTTGTCCATCTCGCCGAAGAGGGAACCCGTCAGATCCATCAGATTCGGTGTCTTCAGGGTACCATTGGTTGACTGCGCCAATTTCATTGCGTTACCATCACGCTCTTGTAGAACATGGCCCTGGCTCTCACGTAGAGCTTGTCGATCCTGCTTCTTTGGGCTGATCGTGCGCTGCAGCGCGTTTGCCCAGTCATCATCGAACGCCAACTGGACCTTGGAGGGCGTACCTATAGTCGGTCGCAGAGACTGGTTGGCTTTGAGAATCGACTTGGGCTTGACTGAATCCTTCAAAAGGTCTGGACCTTTCGCGGTTGGTCGCTCCGTGGTATGAACCGGTCCAGATACAGAATCCGCCATGCTCTGGTCTTGTGCCGATTCAGACCCGCTCTCTTCGGTGTAGTCTTGCTGACCATCAAGCGAACCCACGGAGCGCTCCCCTAAAAAAGACTCGCCTTGAGTTTCTTCCATCTCTTCATCTTCCTCGTAAGCAACTTCGTCTCCGAATTGTCCTGGAACATTGGCACGCTTGCGCATGCCCTTCTTGAAGTCAAAGGTATCATCCGGGCTGGATTGGGTCGGGCTGGCGAAAGAGTCGTCTTGAGGCGTGCCAGCCAACTGGCTGTCCCCAAGCTGAGCGGGGGTGTCGGGTGCGGCGCTCAACGGACTAGAGTCTTCGTCATCGTCGTAGTCGAAACCATACGACGAGAAATGGGGAACAGAGAAGATCCATTCGCCGGTATCGACACGGTAGTCCTCGAATTCAGTGTTATTCACCCGCTTTAGACGTTCAACATGCTTCGCATCCTTTTTTCCGGCCTTGTTGCGGGGCCATGAGTTCCCGAGAATTACGCGAGATGGATAGTTCAAGCCCGAGCCAAGTGGAGGTTTTGGCACGCTGCAGTGCTCGCCATAGACGGTGGCATTGCGAGCGTTGAGCAGAACAATGTCGGCGAATATCTTGTCCAGGGGAGTCTCAGACAGATTCACCGGCTTGCCCTTGTTGAACTCTATCTTGCCAATCTTGTCACGACCAACGACGAAGTTCGGAATGCTCTCGAGCTCGCGCTTGCTCATCTTCTTCAGCTGGTCCATGGGTGGCTCTGAATAGTATGGGCCCGGTTTCGGATCTAGGGCCTGGCCATTTTGGATGTTCAGCGAGGCAGAAGTGCGAGGAGCTAAAGGACCGTTTTCGGGAACAGGTGTAAGCTCCTTGCCGTTAACCTTTTCCATCTCTGGGCGTGATGACGTTCCGTTTGTTGCCTCGCTATTGATAGTAGCGGAGGAGGCTGTTGGTGAAGCATCGCCAGATTCGTCTCGCACAACTAACGCGCCACTCGCTGACCCGTTGACTGTGGTTCCGTTCGTCAAACCGTTCTCGCTGGGGCCGGCAAAGCTCACACGCTTCGCTGGGGAGGCATCATCGAAGAGAGAGGGTCGCGAATTGATCGAGCGGTTGATATTCAGCTTCTTGAGGCTGCCGCTGCCGAATGAGCGCCCAGTTGTTGAGAATGCACCGGGAGCGAGAATGCTCGTGTCTGGGGTGAAGCTGTTGCGTAGGTTGCTAGTCGATAGGCTCTTTCCGAGAGAGCGAGAGATGCTGCCACCGCTAAATATGCTGCCATTGAGAGGGCTGGACTGGCTAGACGCGCTGGTTGGCGTGCCATAGGTCGAGTATGTGAATCCATACCCACCGGGCCGCTTGTTCTGTGGAGTTAGAAGGCGCGTCGACTGGGCGGGATTCAATTTGTGTTGGGGAAGAATTGCGCTCTTCCTGTTCTTCTGGCTGCTGGACAGTGGGGTAGCAAGCGGACCGGGGCTCTGAGTCGGCGTAGCAAGGCCAGCGAAGAGGGCGTCATTCCCATATGGGTTGGTGTTCATGGAAGTTTGCAGTAAAGAGCTGCCCGAAGCGCCGAACAGACTGCTGCCGGCGGGCTGTTGGTTCTGCGGCTGCTGGTTCTGACTGGAAAACAGCGAGCTTCCCAAGGCAGGCTGGTTTTGGTTGGTCTGCCCGAGATTGCTGAAGAGCCCCCCGGTACCAGCATTTGTAGCGGTCGAGCCTCCAAACAGACCAGCTGGCTTCTGTTGGGCATTGGCAGAGCCGAATAGGCCGCCACCGGAGCTCTGCTGAGTGTTCTGGGTCCCGATGCCACCGAAGAGACCTCCACCCCCAGTTCCTGTGGTGCCCGCTGCTCCACCGAAGAGGCCTCCTGTACCGGATGTAGCAGGCTTATTTCCGAAGAGGCCGCCTCCTTGGTTCTGCTGTGTGTTGCCAAAGAGTCCGCCTGACGGTTGCTGCTGACCCGCGTTGCCGAATAGGCCTCCTCCTCCGGTAGACGCGGTGGAGCTACCGAAGAGACCACCCGGCTTTTGTTGGTTTTGTTGGCTCTGGCCGAAGCCGCCGAACAGACCGCCAGACTGCTGAGGCTGGTTTTGGTTCTGCTGGTTCTGGCCAAAAGCGCCGCCCGTGCTACCAAACAGACCACCGCCCGTGCCGGAAGTTTGAGTGGTCGAGCCGAAGGCAGGGGTGGAAGACGTCTGAACCTGCTGACCGAAGAGTCCTCCGCCGGTATTCGACTGTCCAAAGCCGCCTGTTGAGCCGCCGAAAGGAGTGGACGTTGTGTTCGAGGTACCGGCGCCGAAGCCTCCGAAAGGCTTGTTCTGTTGCTGGTTCTGTTGTCCTCCGAAGGGCCCACCTCCTGTTGAAGAACCAAAACCGCCGCCACCAGAGCCAAAACCACCGCCTGTGTTGGAGGTGCTACCAAAGAGGCCCCCAGACGTGCCTGACTGCGGCTGGGTGGTAGTTGTCGAGCCGAAGAGGCCTCCTGGCTTGTTTTGACTGAAGAGGCCACCGCCGCTCGTGCCGCCGCCGAATGACGGCCCCGTGTTCGAGCCGAAGCCTGTGCCGGCGCCCGTGTTGCTAGTGTTCCCGAACAGGCCACCCCCGGTGTTGGTGTTGGACCCAAAGCCGGTAGAGGGTTGGGGCGTGCCGAATCCTCCAAATCCTGTGCTCTGACCGAAGGCGCCCGCTTGACCATTCTGATTGCCAAAGCGTCGGCCCTGGTTGTAGTCCACCACCCTCAACTCCTCCAACGAGTAATTCGTATACGGCTGCTGGAAGGTGATGGTCTGGTATTGTTGAGTTGCATTGGCGGTACCGTCTTTCTCGGTAAAGGCTTGGAAGGGCGTGCTCCCGGTGCCGTTGTTGGGTGTGTTGGCGCTCGATGAGCCAAAGCCGCCCGCGGGGGAACCGAAGCCGCCTGGTGCGTTGGAGCCAAATCCACTGCCGGTGCCGCCGCCTCCTCCAAACAAGCTACCGCCAGTTCCCGTCGCGGATGAGCCGAACGCAGGCTTGTTCTGGCCGAAGAGCCCGCCGCCGGAGCTGCCGCCGCCGAACGGTGTTGAGGTGGTGCTTGACGTCGCTCCGAAACCGCCAAAGTTGGTGCCGGATGTGGAGCTGCCACCGAAGAGGTTGCCGCCAGTCGAGCCGAAAGGTTTTGAGCCGAAGCTGGTCGTGGTATTGTTACCGAAGCCACCTAGAGGGGTAAAAGTCAGTCATCGTATCTAGACACAGATAAACAAAATATAAATCCAACGGCTGGACCAGAAGTTGCTGGTAGCAACCGGAAAACGCGCTGGGAGCGGCGTTGGCGTGGCGATATCGCCACCGAACTGTCGCGCACGAGATGCAAGACAGGACTCCAAAAACGATGACGCGATGCGACGCGCAAAACTTCGACGTACCTCCGCCTCCAAATGGAGAGCTGGTGTTGGTGTTGCTACCGAACGCGCCACCACCAGTGTTGCTTGACTGGCCGAAGATGCTGCCGGAGGTGTTTGTGTTCGATCCGAAGCCTGGAGACGCGGAGGGCGAGTTAGAGAGGTTGGACCGATATCGCGGCGGCGCTCATCGTTTCGGTGCGCATCGTCGACCGCAGCGCGAGGGCGAGGGCGAGGGCAAGGTGCCGAAGCCATCAGAGGAAAAAGAGTGTGCACTTACCTGAACTCTGCTGGTTGGAGCCAAATCCCCCAAAGGTGGACTGCTGGTTGTTGTTGGAGCCGAAGCCCCCGAAGCCGCCAGACCCAAACGACATGTTGGGGCTGCCGGAGGAAATCGCGCGTAGGTGTGCTCAGGCGTAGGAATAGCAGTGCGCGCGGAGCGTTCGCGGTGTTGATGTTGCGGGTACGCTGGGTTGCGGGTGAGGTGAGGTGGATGGAGGGCGTGCGTTGCCCGAAAGGTGGCAGAGAAAACGCGCCAAGCGTGCGAGCAAGCGCGGCGGGGCTTGCAAAGCTGTAGAGCGGGTGAATGAAAGGAAGGGGCTCAGAGAGCAAGCAGATTAAGTAGTAAAGAGGCCGTCATGGAAGGAAGGAGCAACGGAGAATCTGTGACTTTGGGGAGCGGAGGCGACGGCGTGAGGTCGCTGATTTGGGGGTTCAACTAGCGCCAAGCCACTAAGGGAGGGTCATGTGATGCATTCACTGCGAGAACTGCGCCTAAGCCTAGCTTGTATGCCCGAAGCTGACAAAGAAGGAGATGCGATTGACGAACGGGATGGTTTATATTCTGGGCGGGATGTACTGTAGGCTGCCAGCGCTACTGTTTCCTAGAAGTACCTGCTGCTGCCTGGTGGATTGAGGCCGCTCAGCCCCAAAATCATCGCACATGTCTCGATCTTGAAACATTTACCAACTTGATAGACGCGTCTGGGCCCCGACGGTGGCGAATAACACTTTGTTTCTCCGCGACGTTCTTCGGGTTGCCTTAGGCAGACAGATAGACGATTGGGAACCATTGCTTCACTTCCAGAGCCCGTTATGCGTTGTGCTAACTGCCATACAGTCGTTTTTCAACCCGATCACGGTGCTCTACTTGACTGAGTCACGTCGATGTCAATATCTTGTCAAACCATGAATGTCTCTGCGAAAATGTGCCCCGGTCAGACACCCAGCCCAAACTGTCCTAGCGCCGTCCCAAATCGCGCCAATAAGCCGTCAAGCTTTCACCCGAACACGCGAACGCGTCCCGGTCCCAGCAGCATATCTGAACCGCACTTCTAAACAAAGAACTCCTCCCACGAAAACAATACCCATTCAACGCCCACAGAACCTCCTGTATTGCCCTCACAGTCCATCTACTCTCGCAACACTCGCGCCTTTCCACCTACTTCGAGATCAATCAACCTCGCGCAACCAGCACACCCTGGCCCAACCCCACCGCAAAGAAAAGCTCCAGACCCAAGGAGAAGAATACATGGCAACATCCTCCACCAACCCACCCCTTGGCCCACGCTACGGCCTCGGCCGCACGACCGGCAACGCACCGCCCACGCAGCCGCCCTTCACCACGCCCGCCTTCCCCTCCACCAAGAACGCGCAACGCCTCGAATCCGAGCGCCTCGAGCGCGAGCGCAAAGCACGCGAAGAGCGAGAGCGCATGGAAGCCGCGGGGCAGAACTCACTCGCCGAGCTGTCGGAAGAGCAGCGCGAAGAGATATCCGAGGCGTTTAACCTGTTCGATCTGGACAAGGATGGGTACATCGATTACCATGAGTTGAAGGTCGCGATGAAGGCGCTGGGGTTTGATCTGCCGAAGGCGGAGATACTGGGCATACTGCAGACGCATGGGGTGCAAGCGGGCGCGCAGCAGGGCGGCAAGGCGAAGCAGCCAGTGGGCCAGTATCAGACGCCGCCCCGGCTTTTGCTGTCGTTTCAGTCTTTCCAGACACTCATGGCACAACGGATACTCGCGCGGGACCCACAGGAAGAAATCATCCGAGCATTCGAGCTCTTCGACGAAGGAGGGAAGGGCAAAATCACGCTGCAGGACCTGACAAGGGTAGCGAGGGAGTTGGGCGAGGGGTTGCAGCATGATGAGCTGGTGGCCATGATTGAAGAGTTTGACATGGACGGGGACAATGCGATTAGCAGGGAGGAGTTTATTAACATTTGTCTGGGGTGAGATCCGGACCGGTGGTTTGAGTTTGTTCTGATCTTTCGGATGACCTTGGTGGGCTGGCAAGGTGTTCTGGCGTCAAGCGAGCAGGTTCAAGAGAAGCATTCTGGTAATGGCGAAAAGGTTATGATACCAATGTCGCCCTCAATGAGGCAAGGCCATGTTCAATTTTACCATCATTCGCACTGAGAACTATATGGACAATTCAGTGACGCAGACCGTCGAAGACGACACAAAGGAAAACTCGTTGTACAAGATCGCTCATGCTCTTCTGCCTCTCCTTTCCACTCTACTGTCCCGGCGAAATCAGCTGTCCACGCTTCGCCGCGTCATGCGCCCATCCACCAGCCAACGCTTCGCCACCATGCTTAGCCCCATAGTCCTTTATCCTGGCCTCCAGCTCCGGCCTGAAGTGCCTAATAAGACCCTGCAACGGCCACGCAAACGCCTCGCCCAAAGCGCAGATAGTGTGGCCCTCAACCTGCTTCGTCAGCTCCTGGAGCATGTCAATCTCGCGCTCTCTCGCCTGCCCCTTGTAGAAGCGGTCCATGATCTGGTGCGTCCACTTCGAGCCTTCTCGGCAGGGTGTGCACTGGCCGCACGATTCGTGGTGGTAGAACTTGGCAAGACGTTGGATGGCGCGGACGACGTCGGTTGACTTATCCATGACGATGACCGCTGCGGTACCAAGACCAGACTGTGAGTCTTTGAGTGCATCGAAGTCCATAAGCTGCTCGTCGCAGATGTGCTTGGGGAGGATGGGGGTCGATGAGCCACCAGGGATGATGGCCTTGAGGTTGTCCCAGCCGCCACGCACACCGCCGCAGTGCTTATCGATCAACTCGCGCAGAGGTATCGACATCTCCTCCTCGACGGTGCAAGGATTGTTGACGTGTCCAGAAATACAGAAGAGCTTCGTACCCTGGTTACGCTCACGGCCAAAGCCTGCGAACCAGCTCCCTCCTCGTCGGCAGATGGTCGGAGCTACAGCAACAGTCTCGACGTTGGCGACGGTGGAGGGGCATCCGAACAGACCGACAGCGGCGGGAAACGGAGGCTTTAGGCGCGGCTTTCCGGGCTTGCCTTCTAGCGACTCAATAAGTGACGTCTCCTCGCCACAGACGTATGCGCCCATTCCTCGGTGGATGAAGACATCAAAGTCGTAGCCGGAGCCGCAAGCATTCTTGCCGATAAATCCAGCTTGGTATGCTTCCTGAATGGCACGCTGCAGAACGGTCGCTTCGTGATAGAACTCTCCTCGAATGTAGATGTAGGCAGCGGTGGCGTTCATGGCACGTCCGGCAACGAGACAGCCTTCGACGAGCTTGTGTGGGTCCTTGCGCATGATCTCGCGGTCCTTGCAGGTTCCGGGCTCTCCCTCATCGGCATTGACGACCAGGTAGCGGGGCTTGGTGTCCTTATCCCAGTCCTTGAAGTTCATGAATGACTGCTCAAGGGTCAATACTTGTACGTCGCTATGGCTTATCGTTCTTTGCGTACCCATTTCAATCCGGAGGGGAAACCAGCACCACCTCGGCCTCGCAGGCCAGAGGCCTTGATCTCAGAAATAATCTATGCTGCGTCAGCCAGCTCATAAGACCCTTACAAATATTTACACACCCAATCATGGCCCTTCAGCAGAATCTCCTTCGTCTTGTACCAGTCGCCATACTTCATGGCGCTCTTCAGGTCCGCGCCATGGTGACCGTACAGGTTCGTGAAGATTCTGTCCTGATCCTTCAACCCTCCATATGTCCTCTTCGGTGCATCCTGCACTGTGGCCAAATTCCTCCTCTGCGGTCGCGAAGGTGTGGCGGCGGTCGAAAGGCGTGAAGCTGCAACAGCTGCCGGGAGAGCTCGATGAGAGACGGCGCACAGCGTCTGCGTGGCGGGAGCATGGCGGGCGAGCATCTTGGGCACGATATCGAGCGAGATCCGTGCAATTGATGCTCTGTGGCCTCGTGGGCGGGCGTTGTCGTGGGTTAGGTGGCGGCGTGAAGTTCGCGATGATGGGTTTCGGATGACCGCTCTAGTCTTGGCGCCTGTGATTGGCTGCTGAGGGATCGTTGACATCAACCGACTTTGCGCGGAACAACACCATCGAAGCGGTCGTTGCAGTCTTCATCACGGCGAGCATGCCTAGCCAAGTTCTCGTTCCATCTCCTGCTTGTGCATCATGAGCTACTCTCCACATGCAAGCCGAGATGATAACCTCCAGCTTCTGAAGTCCTTCGCGTACCAGGCCGCCTCTTGTTATCGTCGCAGCTTTAACGACTTGGGCCGCCTCAAGCATTGTAGGCTTCTGGCCTCATCGAAATATGCAGTCCGTAAGGTTTTGGGCGCGTGTGATAAAGCATAACTCCCTCTGAGGCACTTCGATGCGCTTTACGCCTTCCACAGTAGACCGCCATCCCACTCTACTTCTTTCACTCCTTCTTAACTCACTCCACGAGAGCCTGCGCCTGCTAGGATTATTTCCCAAGCTACAGCTCTCATCCAACCCCAAGTCCCTTTCTCCCTCTCGACACAGGCGCGAAGGTCATCCCGAGGTCTCGAAAAACCACTCTAAAGGCCTTTCCACTTCTAGTCTGCTGACGTACATAACATTCTCACTTCTACAAGTTCTACCTCGCTGCCCCGCTTCCACATTGTTTGCACGTAACCCTCTGTCTGCCTTCAGGCTCAGCAAATCTATCCCCAGCGCATTCATCTCAACCTTCCCACCCCAGCCCCCCTCACCATGGCAGGCTCCCAGGCCAACACTCCCGAAATGATCTCGGACGGCAAGCGTATGCGCATGCTCTGGCAACCCGGTGACGGCGATGGCGAGGCTGCCCCACACCTTATCGAGCGCAGCACAAACACCATCAAGGGCCACCCCACCTGGAAAATCTTCACCAGTGACATCCAGCTGCCCATCATCCGTGGCAGCAGAGATGAGCCACCGCACTATATCTATCTCGACGACAAGGCCTGCTACCTAGTCTACACTTCCAAGCTCTACAGCAACGACGAGCTGCGCAATTTCTGGCCGTTCGACTTCGACCACCAAGGTAACATCAAGACGGGCAGGAAGAATAGGGGCCGTTCGGCTTACTTGGATGACTCGGAGACGGAGTTCGCAAAGGCGCCGCTGAGGGGCAAGAACAAGTGGTATGAGTTTTCTGGTGAGCCTGAGGTTGCGGAATATAAGCCCGTGCGGCCGAAGAAGGCGACCAAGATGGAGAAGATTGTTGCGGCGGAGCTTGCAGAGGAGGCCCACAAGGCGGCTCTGGAAGCACAAGAGGTCGACGACCAAATCCATTCTGAGGTAGGCCAAACTGAGGACGAGGATGGTGTTGGCCACGTCACAACGGAGGCCGCTGCTACAGTCGAAACGTTAAACATGGACACGGATGGCATCTACCCGTCTCTTACTAGCCTTCGCCGACCTAACTTGACGCCTTCTCGTCCCGACTCGAGCAACAGGCTCCAATCTGACGTGCAGACTTTCGCCACGTCTCCTCGCACCCTCGCCTCTTCTACTCGAGCAACATCCAGCGGCCTGGGTACCTTCAACCCCAAGCGTGCTTTCCGCGAATCATTTCCCCGCAAAGAAACGGACACCTCCCAGAGCACGCCGCTGAATCGCACCTACATCCAACCTTTCGAGATCAGTTCGTCCGACACCAGCCCGCCTACTCCGCCATCGAAACGTCTCAATCTGGGCTCCGACTTGGCGCCGACGACACCTTCCTCTATGCCTGCCTTCGGCGGCGATGGATCAAATGATGACGACGACGATGCGATGCTTGTTGAGCAAGCTCTTGCTTCTGCTTCAACCTTAGTCCCTGCTCCAGTCCACACAGACGAAGAGCCGTTGATGATGCGGAAGCTCCGTGCTCAGAACGCCCAACTCAAGACCCAACTAGAGAAAGAGCGGGAGACCGTCGGAGACTTGAAGCATGATAAGAAAGCTCTCGTGAGTCCCTTCAGCTCTCTCTTAGCAACATACTGGTCTAATTGCTAAATACAGCGGTAGGAGGCCTACGCCGACGATCTTGCGAAGGAACGCACGCACTACCGCAGCGTTGTGGTGCAGCTACTCGCCAGTACTGCAGCCCACCAAGTTGACCTATCAAACCGCGTAGTGGCCTTCCAGAAGGCCTCCGATGCCCTGAGCGAACTTGGCGATCAGATCAAACTTCAAGCTGACACTTTTGCCAAAGAAATCTCACCGACCATAAGGCTCAGTGAGGGTATGGGTACCGTGCTTGATGGTCCGGGAAAGTATATGCACGACCATGGGCTGGACGAGGACTGGAAAAGCATGCAGGAGGAGGCAAGGGAGTTGAATGATGCCATTGGAACTCCGCCTAGCTCGCAGACGAGAACCTGGAACTTTTCGTAACTTGATCGGATGACGTTCAGGCGTTAGCGGACTTTAAGTTTTTGACCCTGATGGCTTCGAAGGGTGTTTTCAGGACCTGGAGGACTTTAGGGTTCGTCCCGCATCTACACTCCTCCGGTCGTTTCCAGTGGTTTTCCTCGGACACTAATACTTTGCCACTATTTTCCCCAAACCCCGAGCTAGGTATAGAGACTCCTATGCTCCACCCGTGTATTCTCTAGCAGAATCCTTTCTCTCTTTAGTTGATCAGGCTTCTATTCGTCTGGTAACTCTTTTCCGCGGCCTACTCATGATGGTCATAGCTCGCTCTAAGATCCCTTAGTTAGCTTCATCTATAAGGGGAGAACAAGACTGATGCCCTATAACCTGCTCCGCTACGCTCGGCTTCGGGACCCGTAAGGTACTGAAGGAGCACTTGCCCCAAATGCGTTTTACCCTTGGTCTTCACCATCACGCTCCATGAACGGTGCTATCATGTCCTACCACCACTATCTAATCTGCGCGCACACATGTCGAGAACTAGGAAACTCCATGTGTTGGACTGGGCATGGCTCTCATGCCCCGTTCATCTTGTTCCTATGGGTCTGTCTAGAAGTTCATCTCGTGCGGCCTCTCATTGCCCCTCAAACTGAAGCTCGCCCCCAAATACGCCTCAAGATCAGGCACCTCTCGAATATTGGCTATTAGTACCTTGTTCACCCTTTTTTGATCCTCGATCCGCTGCGGGTCTACATCTTTCTTCTGCGGCGCCTCGCTATCCTTGAAGAAATCCTCCTCGCCCTTGCCCTCCTTTTTTTCGTGCGCCCAATACTCGTCTCCGCTCACGCGATCCAGTACGCTCTCGTCGACGCCAGTGACATTCACGGTCGTGGAGGTGGCGATGACGTAACGGTGGTTGACCCGCCGGATTGGGACGCCATTGGACTTGAAAGGGCCAGTGATGAGAAGAACGCCTTGAGAAAGCTGGCGAAGGAGAATGACGCGCTTGCCCCGGAAACGGCCTGAGAGAAGGATGAGGACTGTTCCTGGAGCGAGTGACGCCCGATATTTGGTAGGGTGCGCCGTCTTCCGAGCCTAAGGGAGGATCTTCAATATCATATTCTAACAAGGTTCACTATATATGATGGGGAAAATGCCGTTATAGCATCGACAGGGACCGTAAAGATTGTTCTTACCTTCTTCAACTGGCCTTCGTCTTCTGCTGGGTAATATTTAGATGCTTTCTGGTCGGCCATTGCGGGAATTTGGGTGTGAAAGGTTGTAAGAGAAGTAATAATTAGTGCGTTTTGAAGTTTGAAGAAGAGATATCAACACCTCAGGCAAACTTGTCTTAGTACAGTTGCGAGATTGCTGGACTGTGGGATCTCTCGCTTGGAGCCTTGTCGAGCTATTGCCGATACGCACTAGCGGACGATCCTCTAGGGACAACCTCGACCTCGGACGGCCTTTGTTCCTCGCTCTTCGGCACCAACTTTCAAACATTCGGAAATCGTAAAGCTAAGCCTATTTTATTACCTTCTCAAGGCAGCCAGGATATTTGTAGAGACGATGGCGCGCTTACACATCGTGCGGACGCGCACAAAACTCCTGGCGGCCCCCGGACGAACCCAATTAATTCAAAATACGTTTCTTCCCTCCCGCGCAGCCGTTCCGCATTATTCCTGAGTAATCGGCTAGTTCCTGAACCGGAGAATCTTAGATGCTCATGACAACCCTATCCGAGAGCTTCGCGGCTGCCTGATAGATGATCCCCAGCGACGAAACAATTGACAGCATCCAGCTCGCGGTTCGCAAATACGACCATTTCTGCGTCCTTGCGAAGACGTATGCCAGTGCATAAATGATGCGCAGGCCAAGGAAGACCAAGACATATGCGTTGAGGCAGTCTGCGTGGTCAGCCGCTTTCAAAGCTAGCCTGGCGTGGAAAGCCACAACTTACTACTGTCTCTCAACAAATCTGCGACCGTTCCCAAGATGACGGCCGTCGCGAACAGTGGGAAACTTTCGAAACTGTTTCTGGATACTGCCTCCAGCTTCTCGAACTTTGACCATGTTTCCACTGGAACGCTAGCTCTGAGTTTCGTGGTCTGGGCCAGCGTCCATGGCCGAAGGTTGTCGTAGTTCCAGTTGTTCGCTTTCGCAATGATGAACAGCTGGTGGTGATATTGATCAGCACTTGTACGTACGTACCGATCGCTGTGTGACTTACTCCGATGAAATGAGGCAGGACTGACAAGACCCAGAAAGCGATGATTCCGTAGATAGAGTAGTTGTAGATGTAGTAGTACATTTTGGCTGCACTTTTGAGGTTTACGATTCAGAAGGGAGTTGGCTTTGGAGGTACGTGGCTTTTCTTTATCCTGATCGCCAAGCCATGTCTTTGATGGACATGGCCGGTTGCGGAAAGGGACCACTGCTCTAGTCCCACTAACCACAATAGGCAATTTTCGAATGTATCGGCCACACTCTCTACTCTGTACCGTTATCGTATGTGGAGCCATGCGAGTGTAGTTATGGAACGTGCTATCCAACCAAGGTCGTCTGATTTGTACACAACACCACCTATCTTTCATCAATCTCCCATTCATACTCTTTATCTCTACGCCGCATCATATCCTTTCGTATTTCATTAACCTAAGACTTTATCCTTATTCCGTCATCTTTCCGCTACGCTACGTCCTCGGCATGCACAAACTGAACTCCTTTCAAGGACGACTCCAAGCCCAACAACTCTAGAGCTGGTCGTTCACAGTCTGATCGGCGATGTCGCAAGCCGAAGCCAGAGAGGATTAGTTCCAGTAGCTATCTCCTCAAGGGTATTACAGATGCAGCAGCTACTGGTGGGATCATCAATAACAAGCAATATGTCGTAGGAATCCAAAAATATTGTGCCGGCTTTATCCGAGGCGCAGCAGGGAGAGAGACTTGTATAAGTGGTTGCATCACTGCCTGAAGTGGTTGCATCACTGCCTGAGGGCTCCAAGGTTGGAGACGTCCGCGCTGGACTCCTGCTGAAGAATCTCTGGGTCAACCTGCCGCATCCTCCACTTGCGTATATGGGAGCCCCTTGCGAGATCAGCCGTTTACAACTCCCATTGCACCCACTCACGTCATTCGTCGCGTCCCCGAGGCGTCCATGGGAGCGTGAGAGGGAGAATCAGAGCTCAAGACAGTTGGAGAGATGCACTGCGTGTCTGGTCGAGTTGGCTTGGCTTGCGTTTTGGGAATGTTAAAATCGGTTGGGGGATGATCCATATCGTTGCCTGGACCAGAATAAGCAATGCAATTCTGGGAGAAATTCCAGGTAAGCATCCAAAGGCAGTGCGGGAATCCTGCCACCAGCTATCGGCGTCGTCATGCGGAAGTGGTTTTCCAAAGCTGGATGCGGGGAAGCGAAAGGCAACTTCCAATTTGGTCCCGGAGTCGGTGTAAGAAATCCGTCCAGGAATGATGGGAATATGAACTTCCATACCGATCCTCTTCAATTATAGGCTTCAATAACATCATTCCGAGCGTCTTCAAACTTCAATGTAACACTAATCCCACGTCTCCCTAAAAGACCCTCCCGGATTGACGAGTGACGGATTACAAGGTTGCAATACCTAGAGCCGGCATTTGAGGCCAAGGTTGAGTAGATGAAGAAAGCCAGCATCATGGGATGAAAAAGTATCCGTGCGCCAAGCCAATTTTTAATCTATGTTCTACAGTCTCGTGCGAAATTGCCCGATATGGAAAACGGGGAGAACACCATGTCACGTGGTGGCTTGCTGATGTAAGCCTTTGTGGGGTCGTCCAAATTGCGTCCAAGACCTGGGCGCTCTCTCAAAACTATCATCGCCTTATGAGATCCATCATGGCACATCTAGATACTCAATGCTTCGTCATTCTGCATCTCTCACCAACCTTGCTACCATCATAGCGCAACGATAACAATCCGATCAAAGTCCCGGACAGATCCGAGCCAGCTCCTCTCCCTCTCCGAGCTTTCCGCGCGCATGCATACGACACGCGTCCAGGAGAAAATTGTTCCCTCATCCTTATAGCTGCAAACAACACCCACCGTATCCTACGTGGGTGCCATCCACTGTAATCATTGGGCTTTTCTGCTGCCTCATCATGGCCCTTGCAGAATCGTGGACCGTGCGTCCTTGCTTTCCCAGACCACAACGCACTATTCCCTTACCGGGAGATATTGGATCTTGTTCGTCTCCATAGACCTGGGGACTAGTGCTGCTGACCATTCATTGGTGATCTCCAGTTCTACAGGAAGCGCTTACAGCATGCAGATAGTTGAGCCGCACAACGTCATGATCGAGGTTCCTACGGTCGACGAAGCGTGCATGCAGCTTCATGGAAAGAAGTCAACATGGTCTTTTCGCCAATTTCTTGCGTCATTTCCGGATAACGTGGAAGTCGATTATGGTATAAAGCTTCGAGAGACTCTCCGGTTGAGTTGTAGTATCAGCAGCATCTTCTCCACTACCGTCACTCGCACACCGACATTCGCAGCAACTCGTTACTTTGTACACAAAGTATCCATATTAAAAATAGTCCTTTTATCATTACCGGTGGCCAATGCATCCTCTTCTCCCTGTCGACTTTAAAATGGCAAGCCTCATACCTCAAGAGTACGACTTCATCATCGTCGGCGGCGGCACTGCAGGAAACGTCGTTGCCGGCCGCCTCGCAGAGAACCCTGACGTGTCAATCCTCGTCATCGAAGCTGGCATTGGAAATCCTACGGAAGTTGCCGACATTACTACTCCATCCAGAGCCTTTGCCCTGCGAGGTGGCAAGCATGACTGGGCTTACAAGACTACCATGATCGCTCGCCCCGACTACGAGCGTGTCGAGAAGCCTAACACTCGTGGCAAAGCTCTCGGTGGAAGCTCCTGCTTGAACTATTACACATGGGTCCCCGGCAGCGCTGCGACATTCGACGAGTGGGCTGAGTTTGGAGGGCCGGAATGGACTTGGGAGAATTGCCAGGAGTATTTGAAGAAGCCAGTCAACTACCACGATGACAACGGCCTCTATGATCCGGCACTGAAGAGCGTCGGGCGTAATGGTCCGCTCGATGTCTCCCACTCTAATCTTGTGCCCGAGCTCAAGCCTTTCCGCAACGCGCTTTCCTCGGCTTGGGTGAGTAAGGGCGAGAGACTGACTGAGAATATCTATTCCGGTACCATGCACGGCCTGGTTCATTGTATGAACTCCATCTACAAGGGAATCCGATCAACGAGCGGCGCCTTCGTGACGGGCAAGCCCAACATCACCATCCTAGCTTCGACGAACTCCAAGAAGATCAACTTCGACAGCACTACTGCTACCAGCGTCACCGTCCTCGTCAATGGCAAGGCCGAGCTTACCTTCCTCGCCAATAAAGAGATCATCATCTCTCAAGGTGTCTTTGAGAGTCCTAAGCTACTTATGCTTTCCGGTATCGGGCCGGAGAAGGAGCTTGCCGCCCACAACATTACCCCAGTCGTTGTATCCGAGCACGTCGGCCAAAATCTGCTCGACCATCCCATCATGCCGTATGTTCGCCGCTTGAAGGACGGTCTTGGACTGGATGGCCATCTTCTCCGTCCAGGGCCAGCGCACGATGGTGCCATCACCGCGTACAACAAGAATCGCACTGGCCCTGCTAGCAGTGGCCTGCTGGAACTTGTCGGCTTCCCCCGCATTGACTCTTACCTTGCGAATAGCAAGGAATACAACAAGTATAAGAAGGCGAACGGCGGCGTGGACCCCTTTGGACCTGGTGGTCAGCCTCACTTTGAAATTGATTTTGTGGTAAGTGATTATGCCTTTCGCACTGGAGCAGCGAATCTGACAGCACCACAGCCCATGTTCTCCGATGCCTTCCAATGGCACATACCTACTCCCCCAACGGGTGACTATCTAACCGTGATCGTTGACCTCCTCCGTCCTCTCTCTCGTAATGGCTACGTGAAGCTCAACTCCACGGATCCCCTCGAGCAGCCATACATTAACCTGAACTTCTTCTCCAACGACCTGGACCTTGTCGCCATGCGCGAGGGCTGCCGCATGGTAGACGACATGCTCACTACTGGCGAAGGCATGAGAGACATCATTGGCGAGGACTATCCCTGGCCAATGCCGCGCTACTCTGACGAGGCTATGAAGAAGACGATTCTTGAACGCTCGCAGACGGGCTTCCATCCCTGCGGTACTTGTCGCCTGTCGCAGTCTATTGAGCAGGGTGTTGTGGATCCGGAGCTCAAGGTGCATGGGACGCAGAACTTGAGGGTCATTGATGCTTCGGTTATCCCGGTTATTCCAGATTGTAGGATCCAGAACTCGGTGTATATGATTGGTGAGAAGGTAAGACCTCCCTGTGGATTTACTTAAGGAACCCGCAACCTAACGTGTTACAGGGTGCCGATATCATCAAGGCTGCGTACCCAGTGTTCTACTCCGCGCAGCCGTGAAAGACGGGGCGCTCACTGCGGCATTACGGAATTCGTAAGGTTTGTGGTTCACAAATATTTTTGGCGTTCATATAGACTATAAACCGCACACATTACTTTCTCATGCCCACATTGCTTTTTCAAGGCTGACTGACGAGGCTAACGTACCAGGCAACACCGCAAGGCTGCCAAGGCACAGCACTGCCCATGACAACCGGTGAGCCACGTGATGAGCTGACCCCACCTCAGTTTCAAAATCTCAGCGCAGTCCAATCCTCTTCAAACGACGACACAATGAGCGTTCGGAACTCTGAAGACGCGGACCTCAATCTATTCATCTAACCTTGATGGATCCTCTAAGTGTTGCTGGCTCGATTGTCGGCATCCTAGCCGCAGCAGCGAAAGTTGTGGAGCTCGTTCAGCCTTTCGTTACGAATACCAAAGACGCGCCAAAGCTTGCGATCTCCATCCACAGCGAAGTAAATCGCGTTCGAATGGTCTTGAATTCGCTGAAATCGATTTTGCAAGATCTATCGTCCCCTTCAACAGCCTCGCAATCACGGGCGTCTGTCATTCAGATAGACCACATCGTCGTCCTCTTCACAGATGGGGTCCTCATATTCTCCGAACTCGAGTCCCTTCTAGCACCGTTGAGCGCCCCGCATGATGCTCAACTACAGATCCGTCAGCGTATGTTGTGGGCGTCTAAGAAAAGCGCAATATCGGCAGTCATGGGTCGAATGCAGGGCTTCTTGGTTTCTCTCTCGGCTATATTGAATATATTTCAATGGTTCTGTATACCATATTGTCAGTTCAAAGTTACAGATGCTAACGTACCTTCACAGCCGCTCTGATATGACAGCTCTGCAATCGCAGCGGGCTCTTGAAGCTCAGATATCCGCACTTTTAGACAGCAACAATGCCCTCGCTGTACGAGTAAAGGACCTCGAAGATGTATTTGATGCTACTAGTCCCACAGAGCAGGGCATCCCATTATTTGATAGCGCGGCGCAAAATACCGACAATACAAGCATACTCAACGTGGATGGAGCAGCAGAGACCCCGACCGAGGATGCCGAGCCTGTAGAGCTTTCCGCCGCTCGGTCCAGCACGACAAGAAGAACCTCGGCCCTCCTTTTTCGGACAGAACTAGATAACTCGCGTGTATACAGGAGAGCTAACCGTGCGGAAAGCCTGTTCTCCTTTTCGACATCTGTGGTCCACTCCACTGCCTGGTCCGTGTTCTCGGGACTCAGCCTCGCGGATGTATCCGTCATTTCAGTCATTGCCCTGCCTTTGTATGCGCCCGACATCCAGAATTCTCAACACTATGTCTTCGGAAACGGTTTTGGAGTCAAAAACGGCTCAGCAGCGGCTGATGATTCTTCACTAATGTACGAATGCATAGAATTGCGGAGGATGCTTTCGCAAATCCCCGTCATAGAAGAATTACTGGTCTCACAAACCGTGGAGTACCTAAACGTCGACGTAAATGATCTCCTGTGGACATTATTCCGAGACGGGAAGTTCTTCAGATTACTTTCGGTCGTCCTTCCGAAGAAGCATGCGCCTCTTCCACTCGATGACATTCAAGAGACTGTGTCCCATTTTATCGAAGCTTTGGTCAGCGAATGGGACATGAGTTCACGAGACTGTTTTACACTTGAGGACCTGTTTGGAGACGGAATAGCCGGGTTCAGACACGTCAGTACATTCATCCTTTGCCGACACCGTATACTGAGAAAAATCAGGTCGTCAGAACTCTCAACTGCCTAATCATTAAATATTCGGGGCCGCTCAAGGTCAATACGTTCTTGAATGCGAGAAGCCAAATGTTGAGTGATGATAGCCAGGCCTGTGGATCGGGGGAAGACTCTGAACTGGTTCGTGAGTTCTTGAAAGAGGAGAGGATATTTGTGAACAAATTGGCAAAACTTCGGGCACTCGGAGCGTTTTTAGACCGGGGGAAATATTTCGCCTCTCACGATCTGGATGCGCTCTTTTCTGATCTCCTCCGAGTCCTAGAAGTCCAAACTCACTTCCTCCTCATAGTGGAAAAAAAGAAGCTGGAGAGCTGGGGCAGAGGTTTCTGCGCACATGCTTTCCTGCAGTTCTACGGAGATTTTGCACAGTATATCCCATATATTGCAAGCCAATGGCGTCGTGCGGGGACAGCACAACGTCTGTTCATCGGAATCAGGAATGTTGTTCTCCGGGACGCACCAGACATGAAGCATATGGTCGAAAGTAGAGCCATCTTCGAGTCTTGGCTCTCTCAGCCGATGCAAAGATTCCTTGCGTATCCAAGCTTCCTAAAGGTGAGACGGCATTTCAATATAAATTACCATATTTTTCTAATTAGCCAGCAGCGCCTTGAACACGCTACCCCATGGCTCGGGCGGGACGAGCAACACGACGTCGTTAGACTGGCATATAATCTTCTGCTGTCGACAATCTATGCCGTCAATCAGGTTAATACGATCGAAGACTTACACGCGAGGATAGTGCGCAGCAAGAAGTTTCGCTTAGAAGACTACGGGCAAGTCATTGTTTCAGGAGCTCTCTCTGTTTCTATTAATGGGGAAGAACGAATTGTTTGTCTCCAGATCCTGTCTCATCATGAACCTAGCTGACTAACATCATGTAGGCTCGGGTATACCTCTTCGGGGAGGTCATTCTGGCGTGCGATGACCCAGATTTCGGACAGGGAGGATTGACGTTCTCATCCAAGATCGTTGGTCAGCAGTCGTGGCTGTTTCCCTCTGCTGTGATCCCATATCGGAACAGGATAATATCATACGAAAGGAATCCATGTAAAGTACCAAGGTCCCGATACTTTAGTTTTATGTCTGACAACTCAAAGTTACACCCATGCTACGTTTTAGATATCTACGGGGTGTTAGGACTGTCAACGTCACCCTTCGGTTCCCCGATCAGGAGCTCATGTCCGAGTGGCACGATGCTATCACTGCTAAATAGTGCCCGAATTTTGTCCCAGACCGTGGCCAATAAAACTGCGTTCTAGTCCTAACTTGATCGGTTCGCAGAGGACAAATGCCGCTGCTGGCGAATCTGGCACTGTGTTCCCAGGTCGAATCCCTTGGTCAAAATGTGGTACAGAAGATCTTGTCAATCCGGAACTGAACTTTGGTAACGAGGCGGCCGCTGCAGACTGATGTTTCTAATCTACTTTTGGGGTACGCTAGACTCGGATGGATCCCGTAGGTGAATGGGATCTGCGATCAATCATTACATGAATACACATGTAATGGACATCGTCTTTCATTCTGGGTAGCACGAAATGTGTCCAACTGCTTGCTTTCAGAGTTTCTAGAGCAGCTGCTAATGTGGCTTCACAGTTCCTATTATGACTGGTGCTTGCCCATGCATGTATTACCGACAAATGACAGGAACGCAAGGAATTTGGGGGCCAAAGTGTTACTTCCGTCTCGCGCACCCCAGTTTCTTCAACCATTCTTTGCATATCTATCATCCATCAACAATAGTTCCAGCCCGCAGATGCGTTCTGCGATACAACCTAAGGGCTGCGACTCCGCACTTTGCGGCCCCCATGGACTGTTGCTTTTCGTGCGGATCGACGCCATTAAGCTGCACGCTAATGTATCTTACGCTTATCAGCATCCAATAACATTCGCGTCTCACAGGACAGTAACCAAATCCGGCGGTTTTACACTCGAAGGATTCACTCGCGTGGCCAGACTGACAGAGCTACGATGCTCCACGGCACGCTACGTGCATTGGCATTGCAGGTGCGCTCGAGAAATGGCAGACGGCTGCAGGAAGGCTGAAGGTCAAAAAGGCTTGCCGGCCCACGGAGAAGGCTGGAATGTCTGCCTTCTTTGTCTGAATTCGTCGTCCAAATGCTGCGCTGGTGGTATCTACTTGCTTTCCTCATTCGAACGATTGTCGCCGAGCTGGTGGATTCCAGTCGTACCGAAGGCCTACTGAACGAGACACTTCCGAACTTTGGCCCGGAACTACGCTTCCAGCGGGGCGGACCCCTGCCGCCCGAATCGGGAGTTGGACGCCAAAAAGGATTCCTTCGGCGAGATCTAGGCCATCTCTTCAAGCGTCAATGTCAGCTTCTCAACGACTATTACTGCAATGACGACTCGATCTGCTGTTTTGATACGGTTGATTCGACTGTGGCGTGGTGTTGCCCGAATGACAATTTTTGTGCATCAACGTATGTGTCCGATGGTGCCTGTATATGGAGCGTGTAAGTTGAATATCCGCCCAAGAGCTGCCTGTTCTACGCAGACTAATAAGGGTTTAGAACGTGGGTCACACTTTGGGACACCACTACTGAATACACGACTGCCTACTCGACCGATGTCTCGAACGTGGCCGAGACGACTGAATGGAGCACGATTGTTTCCACGGACCTCGTCGTTGTCACAAGATCAGATGTGGACACTTCCACGGAGTGGCAGACTGTAACAGTCACTGCTAATGCGGATTCGAGACGGCGTAGGGCAGTCCCGTCGCTTGCGCCCTGCATCCCTACCGCAACGCCACCTTCCAATGCTCATGCCGAAAAGAAGAAGCAGCAACATCCTCTTGCTCCTCAAATAACTCCAGCGCCGAAACTCTATCTTCGAGGCCTGCGCAAACGGCAAATCCGCACAGATACAAATACTCTAACCTCCACATCAACAGATATCGAGACTCGCGTTGTCTGGGTCACCAGCACCTCATACTATACGGAGACCTCGACGACGACGTCTATATACACCAGCACTTCTACTTATGCACTGTCCGCCAAAACAACCGTGACTTCCACCACAACGTCTACCTGGACCCCAACCCCAGGCCGGACCGCACCACCTCCCTCCACCAGTACAGACTCTGGCGGCGGCGGCGGCAGCAGCGGCGGCCAGGAGAACAACCCAAACACGCAACAATCCACAAATACCGGCTCCGGCCTCAGCAAAGGCGCCCAAGCGGGCATCGGCGTCGGCACCGCTGGCGGCTCCCTCATAATCTGCCTGATCCTCGCCTTCTTCCTGCGCCGCCGCCGCAAGAAGCGCAAAGCGGAAACCGCTCAGATGATCAACGACGCCGTCGCCGCCGCAACATCCGCAGCCCAGTCCCCGCCGCCAATGGGCCAGTACCAGCCCCCCAAATCCGGATACTTCGCAACGGGCGGCGTGGTTCCGAGTCCGCCGCCGCCATCGTCGCCGCACAGTGACGCGAGGTATAGCGATTTGATGCCTGCGACGCATAGCGGGATGGGCACGCCGGCGCCCGGGTACGAGATGTCGGCGACGCCGATGCAGGCGCCGCAGCCGCAGCCGGTCATGTATCAGTATCCGAGGCCGGTGAGCCCGGGGGGTGCACATGAGTTGTATCATAGTCCGCCTGAGTTGCAATCGGGGCAGCGGTGGTAGGTGCGAAGGTTGAGTGGATGTGGGGCTGTTGTTTGTAAAGCAGTATGGCCTAGCTCCGTGGGAAAGCGGCGCGGATCTCACCCTCACTTTTGGCACTGACAGTATCGTGCTTTAGGCGCTAGAATGCATTTACTAAGCATCCCATAGCTTTCTCTTCAATCTTTGCCGTGTTATAATCTAAAAGTTAGGCATGAGATAGATGCATGCGCGAGGCGTGTGCGGAAGGTCGAGATGGTCAAATTGTCTCCATCATGCTAGGTCTCGCGCTCGTGTCCGTAGACTGGTTGGCACGCGGGCTTCCAGGCCGGAGAAGCTTCAGATAGAATGGCAGTAGACAAAGATGTGTAACTGACGCTGGTGAATATTCGCGGGCTCTAGGGCAGGGCATGTTGCAACGAGGAAAGAGCTCCTGAATGATTAGTCAGCTTGGATCCAGAAATATGGAAAAGCGCAAAGGGTCAAAGGGACCTTAAAGCGGGTTCCCCAAACGCTGTCGGCAAATAGGGGGCATCAGACACGATTCAAGCAACTTTTTGGATGAACGCGCTTGATTCAATCGCAAATGCAGTAGTAGTACATATAGCACAATGCAATGAGCCTTCTATGCAGGGCTCCTAATATCAAAAATGCTCCCCATGCCGCTCTTCTTCCTCCTGATATAGTGGGGTATCTTCCGCTTACTGCTTCTCGCTCGTGTCCTTCTTGACCAAGCCGGCCTTTGCTATCGCGGTATCCACGCCACTCCACCTCCGGATGATTGCTTGCATGCCCACAGGCAATGCACCAAGGATCTGAATGTACTGCGCATACAACGGGACCGCGAGCTCCCCGCTGTCGCCCTTCTCGATCATTCTTATAAGGCTCTTCGCAATCTCAGCTGGCGAAATAACCGGAGCAAGGAAATTGCTCGGTGTCGTAACGCCCACAAACATCTTTGTGCTCATCTGGCCTGGTGTCACGAGTATAGTCTTGATCTCCTGCGCGGCGGGGTTCTGGGCGAGCTCGGCGCGGAGCGAGTGGTGTAGAGCTAAGAGGGCAGCTTTCGAGGCGGAATAGGCGGAGAGGTTCGCGGCACCGAGGTGGCCGAGGACGGAGGAGACGGTCACGATGGTGCCGCGACCTTCGCGCAGCATATAGGGGAGGAAAATGCGGAGGGTGGTGAAATGGGAGAGGGTGTTCGTGCGGAACGTCCTTCAAAGAGATATTAGAGTAGGGAAGGGACACCAGAAGAGGGAAACATACTGTTCAACTTCTTCGGCCGTCGTGTCGAGGATTGACTTGGTGTGGGCAATGCCGGCATTGTTGATCAGGATCGTTGGCGGACCGAGCTGCACCGCATTAACATCTAGCTTCCTCTCTGCAACTCATTAGACTCACATCTTCCACAATCTCTGCCGCAACGGCTTCTACCTGCTTCGCGTCGCTCACGTCGCATTGGTAGTAGAGCACGCCTTTCTCCTCGGCCTCTTCATCATCCACCCTCTTCGTGTCCAACACCGCGACGTTGGCGTTTCTCATGCCGTACGTCTCGGCTAGCAAGCCGCCCAAGCCGTCCACACCACCGGTTATAACAATAACCTCATCGCTCAGATCAACCTCCCGCGGGCTCCCAAACGCGAGCCTCTCGCTGAATATGTGGAAGATGCCAATGGCGCTCATGAGCATTGCCCAGGCCATCGCAATCTTCATCTCCGGCGCATGATATTTCGTGTACTGCGCGCGCAGGCACAAGACGAGGATCCAAGACGTCCAGGGATGGAACAGCGTGTACCCGAGCACGTACCAGATCAGGTCGATGGTGAGGTAGTGGTGCCATCGTTCGCTGGAGCGGTCGAGTCTCTTGGGCAGGCTGACGGTGACTTTCTTCAGCTCTGGGCTGCTCATGGTGGGCGAGCTGCAGGAGTTGGTGGGAAGCATCGAGGCGGTCGGCGGGGCGGGCGCGTATTTGAGCCTTGATAGGTCGGGCGCCAATTATGCGATTCGATCAGGGTTTAACGGCGAGAAAGCTATTCAGGAGCCGGAGAGGAGGAAGTAGAGAGTGTAAGAGCAAACGAGTAGGAGAAGGAGACATGGTGGCTTTATTTTGAAGCTCGCGAGCCGTTCGGTCCTGAGGTGCAGTGCGTTTCATCCTCAGGCACTTTTCGGAGTTGTAATGGGGCTGCTCCATATGAGGCTTAGTCTTTTCCGCATTCGGCTTAGTGTGCTCCAGATCCCGATGACTAATCTCGCAGATCTACTTCATCCACCACTTCAACACCAAAAGCTTATGGCCAAGCAACTTCCGAGAAACTGCCCATCTCATTATGGAACGCTGCTTACTCGAACAGCCGGTCGAGCTGTGCGGACTTTTCGAAAGCCTAGCGCAGCCCAAAAGAAAAACACACACCGCTAACGTCTTTTGCTTGCATTCGGGTCATGCCTGCCATACATCTATATCGTTGCTCTCCGCCTGTATCCGCTCAATACTGAGAGAAGCGAGTGCCACGCTGGATGGAAGCAGCGCCTTTATTAGCCGAGTATGGAAGCAGCGTGCGACGACTGAGGGCTAGAGCCGCACCCGCGACCGGTCTCACAACGCCACCTCGGAGAAAGATACCGGGCGAGGCGGATTCCACAACCCGAAAATAAGGGCTAATAGTAGAAGGTTCGCCCCTAGATACACGTGCTCGCACCCGGCATGCCTCCCAGATAGGTGAGTGTGGCGGCTTCGCGCTTCCCTTCCGCTTGCCTCACCTTCCCCTAACAACAATATTCAACGCCCACCCGGAAAGATGCGCCCGCGATACTGCCTCGCATCGTCGCGGAGCAACAGCGGCCCTCAGCTCTCCTTAAAAGCTTTTCTTTCGTCCCGACTCTCCATTTCTTCTTCACCCCACTCATCAACCAGCAACATTCTTCTGGCGGTCAATCCTTCTTGTCTCATCCATACCCCTTCATCTTCATCCCTTTATCTCAGCCCATGCTCCACCTTAGGTCACCCGCCGGCAACATGGTCGGCCAGGTCCTCACGCTCAGCGCTCTCGTGGTCCTCACACATGCCAAGGCCATCGTCACCAACCAGTGCAAGGACGACGTCTACATCTGGTCCGTCCCCGTCAAGCCCGATTACCCCGAGAACATACCCATCCCATCTGGCAGGCGATACGAGGAGCCCTGGCGCTATGGCACGTCGGTGAATCCCGGAATTGCCATCAAGGTGTCCCCCGAAGACAACGGCATCAACAATGACAAGAGCGAGATCGACTTCCAGTACAGTATCGACCCTGTCGACCCCAAGAAGATCTGGATCAATCTCTCGACTGTTCGTGGCCATGCCTTCGGCGAGAATGTCACGCTTCACACCTGTCACGGCCCGTACAAAGGGCCCGACGTTCCGACCCGCCAGTGCAGCGATACCGACGACATCGAGCTGGTTCTCTGCGGCACTGAGCGCACGACTCCGCTTCATGACTCCACGTCTTTGGAAGTCCTCGCCAAATGCACCGAAAAGTTGAAGGAGCGCCACGCTGAGGACTCCCCTCGGCCACAACTGTGCCGCGCTCGCGTCATTGGACCGCGCCAGCCGAAGCGCAAGTCACAGCCCCAGGGTGGAAGTACCAATAACTCTCATGATGGACTTCCTGCCACGGTTCCGCTTAAGGATGTCCTTCGCCAGGAAGCCGCCAAGCACGCCGCAACCAAGACTGCTGAAGGCCCTACCTGCGACAAATGTCCCAATCCCAACCTCATCCCGCCGAGCGAGAAGGCAGTCGGTATTCCATATGCCGAGCCAACTGATACGAATAACAAGGCTCCTCTTTGCGATCTCCTTCGCAAGAGCTTTCCCGGCGCCATGTGCGACGAAGCCACGGCAGAGCACAACGCGAGGCTTTTCTACGCTGACGGCTGCGGCGACAAGACCAAGCGGATGTTTCCCGGGAACGACTGCCAGGAAATTCGCAAAGAGATGAAAAAGGTGTTCCCAGGCGTCGATAAGGCTGTGATCCGGGGCGAGGATGAGCATACGGACTATAGCACCGCCTTTTCGAAGCGCCGCGATCTCCGCGAGGTCTGCATCTTCGAGACTCACACGGAGCTCGGCAAATACTGGGGCAGCCTCGATAATACCAGGGACATGCTGGAGGATATCTTCGAGGAAATTCCCTTCTCGCTTGAGACCCAAGACTGTACGAAGAAGGCCATCAAGGACACCAAGAAGTACTATCACAAGCTTGTTCCCGGGAGGAGGACCCAGCGCTGCGTCATGCCCTACTGCCGACCCGTGTTTCCGGACGCGAAATGCAGCGACGTTGAAGATGTACTTGAGAAGGTTTCCAAGGACCTTGGCCACTACGACGACTGGACCACTGATGACGATGCCTGTGGCGAATGGGTCAAACGAAGATCCAACGACACCAGTGCAGCCAAGCGCGATGTTCGCAACGTCTGTTCCCTGGAAGCACACAGGGAACTGGGCAAGTACTGGGGAAATATGGACGACACTGAAAGCTTGCTGAACGCCATCTTTCCGGATAGTTACTTTACTGACGGGGAGAGCGAATGCGAGTCGGATGCCATCAAAAGATCAAGGGACTACTACCACAAGCTTATTCCCAAGAAGAAGACCAAGAAGTGCGTCTTGCCGTACTGCCAGCCCGTCATTCACGGAGCAAAGTGCAGGAAGGTCAAAAAGGCCCTCGAGAAGGTTTCCAAAGACGTCGGCAAGCACTACGACTGGACCAGCGATAACGAGGCCTGCGGCGAGTGGGCCCAGTGGGCCGGCAACCACACCAGCGTTGCCAGGGCTCAGAAGCCGAAGGACTGCATCAAGGCCTTCTGTGATCCAATCATCCCCATGGACTGCAGCGATGCCGAAGACCTCTTTGAGGAGCTGTTCCGCGAAGAGGGCGTTGACATGGACTGGACCACCGATGACGACGTCTGCCGCGATTTCAAGGCTCGCGCCGCCAAGGCTACCATCCTCGATAAGCGTGGAAGACCCAAGGTTTGCATCAAACCTGTGTGCAACTTTTTGGATGCCAATGGCAAGGATTGTGAGAGGGTAGAGGACGTCTGGGAGCAGTCAGCCAAGGATAGGTTTGGCCTTAAGATCGATTATACCACTGACGACGACGTGTGCTGAGAGCTGGAAGCTTAGCTGAGAGAATTGCGGGGACGGGTTAGGCTTCATTGTTTCCTTGTTGCTGAGCTGATGGGCGGGGGATGATTTTATTGGTAGTCTTGTTTCCCTCTGCTTGAATTGGAGTTACCAGTGCTTTCCTAGCTTCCTCATCTTCACATGGCCTAATCTACTGAGCTGGTGTTTGTTTGGCTCATTGTGGCCTCTTCACGGGATCCACCTCATCTCTTGTTCGACCTCAACTCCAACCCACCTTGTCCGCCTCGGCCGTAAAACCGCTAGCGTCCACCATGGACCGCTTGCATCATATCGAAAGATTGCTCGTGCATCTCACTGCTCCGCCATGAGCAACGTCGGATCAAGCATACTATTGAAGCTGTGTGAGTTCCGCACCTGAGACTTTAGCAATGTACATGCTGATAGGATTCAAAGACTATCAGATCACGCCGTCGCAACTGACCGCCATCGCCATCCCAGTACCACCCTGTCGCCTGGCAGCCACAACATGGCTGCGGGGTACATGTCGATACTGCGGTCCAACCGAACCAAAAATGGTCCCCCGTTTCACCAACTCCGCCTTCTTCGGATCAGCACGCCGTCCTCGGATTGGCTGCCAATGCACTAGCTTACGATCATCTGACGGGCTAGAGTAGTAGGCAATTGATGACGGCTTGTGGTTTGCTGTCCCTCAGCATTATTGGAGGAACTGAAATCAGAGCTTGAGCGACGTTGAGATGCAGCTGCCCGAGGTCTTCACACCGGTGAGGAGAGACTTACGGCCCCGACAGAGGGCCATTGCTTCGATGCATGGCAGCAATAGGTAATCCATGGAGGAATGACTTGCAGATAGAAGTCGTGATTCGGTGACTGGACGCCCGAGGGAAGCATATAAGGAGCTGGACGGGCAGATCTCCGAGTCCACCATCGGCGGCTGAGACACCTCTTCGAAGCGCCCTCCAAACCATACAGCTCTGCTCGGCTTACCTCGCATTCTACGATGCTCTTCGTCATTCTCTTTGCGCTTCTCGCGCCCCTCCTCCGCGCCCAGGAGCTCACCATCCGCAACTACTGCGACTACACGGTCTACGCCTGGCATAATGGCGGCGACATCGCGAGCCTCGGCCCCGTCCAGCCGAACCAATACACGCAAGCGTACCTCGTTCCCGACCCTGTGACCGGAGGCAAGGACATTGTCCTCAGCGCCAACCCCAACGGCCTGTACGACGGCTCGCCGACCCTGCATTTTAACTACAACAAACCAGGCGCGGATCTGTGGTATTCGATGGTCAATCTCAACGGAGCGCCGTTCGGTGGACACAGTGTGTCGGTCATGGGACAGGGCTGTCCGAATATTCTTTGGCCAGCTGGCGTGGGGCAGAGCGGGACCTTGTTCTGCCCGGCATTCCAGTGGTTGGAGATGTATCTTTGTCAAAACTTACGGGAGGCGGAGGCCCAGACGGACGGAATGGTTGCCAGAGCTTTCGAAGGATGATCGAGAAGGATGGGAGTAGGACGCAAGGCGCGAGAAGAGGAGTTGCTGATGGAGAGGTTGTTTGAGACTGCCTTTGGTGTATCATCCAATCCGACCTCGACTTGAGCAGCTACGAATGAATAACATGTTCTATTGGATGATTTTCGGTCCTTTGGCGTGCGTGATGACGCCCGCACGTGTGAGGGAGAGGTACCTGCCAAGACATCGGCGCAAGATCGGGGGTCGGCGATTAGATGCTGGCGCTATGCCCGATTCGTTTGCCATGATCATCCGCCCGATTGTGGTCCCCAAATCCAATCCACCACCCACACAGCCAAACCCTTCACTGTACACCCTTCACACTCCGTCCGCATGTCGCCTGCGCTCTAGCGATCCATCGCTGAACAAAGGGCGCCCTGCCGTCAAGCATTCCCCAAGTTCTACCTCACCCTTCCATTATTCGCATTTCCCTGCACTTTGGCCCAGCTCCCAGCGGCTGGACGCACGCCTGACACCGTTTGAGCTGTCCCCCACTGAACAAACCTCACAGAGACGTTCCACTGCCTCGCAGCCTCGCTATGGCGCGAAATCGAAGCCCATCGCCGGCGGACAACTTCCCGCTTGGCCATTCTGCGACCTCCCCGCAGCCGCAGGTCTCGAAGCGCGACAAGCGGCGCAACATGCTGGCCGAAAAGCTCTCCGACATGATGGCGTCCTTCTCCGACAACAGGGACGGCCACTACAGAGCTCAGCTTGCTGCGCTGCAGGCTGACATCAACCTCATCCTCAAAGCCGATCCGTATGCCAACAAGCCGCTCGAGGACGGCGGAGAGGAGGCCTCCGAGCTCATCACGCAGATTATGGGCAGCAACGTGCCTTCCGCACCCAGCGCGGGGACCGACTACATCGCACAGTGTGGAAAACACTATGCGCGCTTCGTCGACGCCGTCAATGATGCCATGGAGGAGCGCGACTACAACCTCACCATGCTCTGGGTAAGGAGGCCCCCGCTCTCGGCCCGTGTGCCAATCAAAAGCTGACCTTAAACTTCATTGTAGAACAAGAACGAGAACACGAAGAACGAAATTGAGAATTCGCACTTCTACAAAGTCCAGATCGCCGAGGAGGAGCACAAGCTGCTCGCCGCCACGATCCGCGAGCGACTCATGGCGAGCATACAGACGCGGACGGCCAGGCTGAAGCGTGAGAAGGAGCAATTGGACCTCTCCGACAGCAATGCGATGCTGCTCCACCCTAACCAGTTCGGCATCGGCCATCCCGCTAGCCCGGGCGGACCGCAAGCGCCGCGCAAGACCCGCAGAACGGGACACAAGTTTGGCGATGCGGATGACATGGCAGAGAACAAGCGGAAGCGGAAGCTCTTCGAGGACAATGACAACGACTCGCCTGGCCCGTCTGGCCGCAACCTGGAGCTCGGCGTGGGCTCGCCCTTCCGAGAGGCCAAAGCACGGACAATCCACGCGCAGTTTGAAGCCTCAGCCTACTCGCTAGAGCGTCTCTTCACCGAGAAGGAGCTCAACATGGCCATGAACCAGGCCACGACCGCGGCATCGCACTTCTTCGCCAAGATGAAGAACAACGATCCCAGCCAAGAGCCTACCACCAACGGCACAGCTCACACAAACGGCGACCATGCCTCCGAGAACGGTGACGCTGGCGATGCAGACGACTCTGATGACGTACCAGGTGCGCTAGAAATGACCCGCCAGGTCTCCTCGAACCCACACGCCACCCGTGGCGCGACCCGCTCAGCCCTCAACCTCGCGAGCGGCCAAATACCCTTTATCTACAACCCACCCTTCGTCCTCGATGCAAAGATCTTCCAGAAGAACAACGCTTCTGCACCGACGCCGCCTGCCCTCTCCACACAAGACGTCGAGCAAGACCTCAAGCTCATGCTTCGCGACGCCCGACCGGACGACGAGCTCAACGAGAAACTACTGCAAGCTGCCGTGAATCCGATGCGCGCGCGAGAATATCAGGTGCAGCCCCCGGACTACCGCGAGCCCGTCAATGAGACCACCACTCTGGTGCGGGCTGTGGTGCCACACCTCGAGGTCGGTGGGGTGGGTGCGGGCCAGATGGGCGGTGTTCCGATGAGCGCGCAGAGTAGTATGGGTGGGTATAGCGATACCGGCGGAGCGAACACGCCAATGGGCAGGTTCGCAGAGAGTGGGTTGAGTGTTGGAGGTGTTGGCATGGTGAGGACGGCCAGTGGGAGTGGGAGGAGGGGCGGAAGAAGGGGTGGGTGATACCGGTCGCCTTCTCCTCTATTCTCGATCTCTTCCGTCATACTGTTATATACCCACGTTGGCGTTGGGCAGGGATAAAGGCATTGCATAGCGCTTCTCGGCTGGGCTTAGTCATCCGGTTTGGCATCTTCCGGGGTTCGAATTTTTGTTCCTTTCCCACTTGCATTCGTACCTGGCGTTAGATATCTGGCTCTGTACGCCCCGCTCGGTCATGGTCTCGGGTCACAGTATTTGAGTCCTCGGCTTTACATATATTCCATCTACCTAGATGGGCTTTAAGGTTTGCGAAGCCCAATTCACATTGGTTGTCATACTTCCCCGTGCAAGAAAGCATCTAGCCATTGAGGTGGGAAGACACCGCAATCGTCGTAGAAGCGGTGAAACGGTTGTTTACGTGCATGTGGTCACGCTCTGACGCGAAGCACCTCGGGATAAACAAGGGGGAAGCAATAGTCCCAAAAAGACATGAATGAACATCGTGTATTACTTTTGCGTGAAGCGAGCGTGAGTTAGAAACAAATAATTATCAACTACAACACTTTGCACCGGCTATTGCGCTCCTCCCGGACCTTGTATTCTCAACTAGTGCGCTCCGTCCCCCTTTCGCCTTTTCCCATCCCAGTCCATCAGTCCGGCCCACTGCCCACCGCCCACCAATCTTTTCTCCTCCGAGATGCGGACATACGGATCCCTAAGCGGCGCACAAGTCAAGCACCAAATCCGTCTGCGCAAAGTAGGCCCTCGTATCCTGGTGGCCCGGCGGCGCTCCATCCCACGTAATCACGGGCACATCGCCATTGCTTCCACCACCCAGCGTGATCTTCTGGCCGGAGAAGGAGAAGCCCTTGATGGAGTTCAAGTCGTAGTAGACGCTGTTCTCGTTATACGTGTAGCCGAAGTTGAGGATAGGCGCGTCGGAGTAGAAGCCGCCGTCGGAGGTCACGATCTGGATGGAGGTGCCCGTGCCGTCGAAGTATTCGGGCTCGACCCAGTTGCCCGAGGCGGGGACTTTGACGACGGGCTTGGCGCTGTTGGAGACGGAGGTTATCCAGATGGGGAAGGAGCAGTGGTTTTTGACGATGGCGAAGGTACTGCCTGTTGGGGCGGCGAGGGTGCTGCTGGCGCAGAGGGCGAGGGCGGTGGTGAGGGTGGTGAGGCGCATTGTGGCGGTGGTGGTGTTGATGGGAAGTTTCTTGACGAAAACGACAGTGAAGAGGGAGAAGCTGGGGTTTGCTAATGATTATGGAGGCTTGATGAGGTGGGCTGCGAGCTGGCGGAGTGGAGTCTCTCGATATCGTCCTCCTCTTTATACCCTACTTTGACCTTACCTTGGATTGCGCGGCGCTAAAATCATGCCATCACGGCTACTCCTCCACTAGATTGCCCTCAAGATTGCAAATAGACAAAATATTGAAAGTGCCTTGTACACCTGAGGCAGCAACACCATTGGAAGCAAGGATTTGCTTCGAACTCTCACAAGCGACCGCAGTACGGCAGCACGATGCGGGTACCCCGGCACCAGCAACGTGAGGGAAGCGTTTTCTGGGCTACAGTCCAGATATGCGTCCAAGGCAAGGTGGATATGTTAATTTTTCCGGAGTAGTACAGTGCACCTGCCGTGGCACCAGGGGCTACTGCAGGTACCGTCGAGTTGCCTCCGGCCATTTGGGCTGCTTGAAAGACGCGATCGGGCCAATGAAAATGTGGGAAACGTGGTACTTTGACTGTAGAGAAGGTGATGTTGATAGAGAGGACAAGGCGGAGACGTCAGGAGACAGAGAAGTTCGGCGAGTGAAAACTGTTGAGTTGTCAATACTGCTGTGGAAAGAAACATTTGGGGGCCGGGTAGGTGGGAGTATTGACGGGTGTTGCCCGTCTGGCTGCGACCAACCTGTCAACTGTCAACATCGTGTTCCTTGTGGTAGCCGTCTATATGATCCGATTACGACGCATGGGGAGCTGGAAGGTTCATATCCTATTGTTTGCTGGCCAGAGCAAGGCACCTGAAGCACCTGCGAGACTCAAGGTGACACCAGTAAAGGCGGTCTGGACGTGTCCCATTCTGCCGGTTGTGAAGAAATTGACGAAACGTGAGGGTGAGGTACGAGGGCTGTGTTCGGGATTAGCTAGTGAGCGATGCGAGGGCGTGATCAATCAAGCAGATGTTGTTCAAACGAGGCAGTGCTAGCTTGTGGCTATGGTCCCATGATGAAGTGGGAGACACCCGTGGACATTAGAACCTTGGAAGGATTGAAGAGTCGAGGGAAGGAAACCGCAAATGGGTCCAGATGACTAATACATACACGTGATGCGGATCTGCAGCAGGGATTCTTCCCTTAAGCCGCCACGGGCCGAACTATCTCCTGCCTCGGCTCAAGCCGTCTCCGCATTCCGACATCGACGTCAAACGTCCAGTAAGCTGCAGCGCCATTTTCGCCATGTGAAAGCCGCACTTCTACTCGCAAGAGCCTCCACTTCTCTATTTCTCTTTCTCTCGCCGATCACCCCTCTCCGCCTAAACAATGTCGACCGCCGCTGCTCGCACATCCTTCAGAATGGCGTCCCGCCCGCAACAGCGCCTCGCTAGCATACAAAGACAGTTTAGCACATCGAGCCCGCAGAGGAGGGAGATCCGGGATGCCTATATTATTAGTGGGAGTCGGACGCCTTCCGGAATGGTAAGCTGAGCTTGTTGTAGGATTCCTTTGGAGCTGTGCTGAAAACCATAGTTCAATGGCGCGTTCACGACCGTGCCCGCGACCCAGCTCGGCGCCACGGCCATCAAGTCCGCCCTCGAGAAGTCTAAAGTGCCAATCTCCTCGATAGATGCCGTGTACATGGGAAACGTGCTCAGTGCAGGTGTGGGTCAAGCGCCAGCCCGACAGGCTGCCATATTCGCCGGTCTGCCTACCACCATCGAAGCTACCACCATCAACAAGGTGTGCGCCTCAGGTCTCAAGGCGGTGAGCATCGCTGCTCAGGATATCGAGCTTGGCAAGGCCGAAGCACAAGTCGCAGGAGGCTTCGAGAACATGACGCGGGTGCCATACTACCTCAACCGAGCAAGCCAGCAACCACCCTTCGGACACCAGCAGCTGCAGGACGGCCTGATTGGTGATGGACTGTGGGATGTATACAACCAGATCCACATGGGCAACTGCGCAGAGAACACAGCCAAGAAGTACGAGATCTCGCGACAAGAACAGGACGATTTTGCTATCCTGACATACAAGCGCGCACAGGAGGCGTGGAAAGCAGGGCTTTTCAAGGATGAGGTTGCACCCGTTACAGTCAAGTCAAAGAAGGGCGAGGTCATAGTCTCCGAGGATGAGGGTTACAATAAGCTCAAACTGGAGAAGGTGCCGACACTGAAGCCAGCATTTGTTAAAGGCCCGGATGGCACAGTGACCGCCGCCAACAGCTCATCCTTCAGCGACGGCGCATCGGCACTAGTGCTGGGGAGCAAGGAGATTGCACAGCAGTACGGCAAGGACAGTCGGGTCCTTGCAAAGATCATCACGTACGCTGATGCTGCTCAAGGTACGCGAACCCCATTCCATTACCGCCCCCTGAGACCGTAGAACTAACGCATCCCAGACCCCATCGACTTCCCCATCGCACCCTCCGCCGTTGTCGAAAAGCTCTTCAAGCAATCCGGTCTCTCAAAATCCGACATCGCCGTCTGGGAATTCAACGAAGCCTTTGCCGCCGTCATCAAGGCCAATGCCAAGATCCTCGGTCTAGGCACCGAGAACGTTAACCCAAGAGGCGGCGCCATTGCGCTAGGACACGCGCTTGGTAGCTCTGGCAGTAGGATATTGGTGACACTACTACATCAGCTAGAAGTCGGGCAGTACGGCGCTGCTGCTATTTGCAATGGTGGAGGCGCGGCGACAGGCATGATTGTGCAGAGAATCTCGCCTAGCGATCTATGATGGTAATCTATGATGGTAAGCATCCCTAATCTGAAAAGATGTTTGAATAGTTAGGGGAATTGTACTGTTACATAAGCCATGCAAGAGCTTGAAGTTCCCTCCTCGACCTGCCTTCCTGTACCATCGTCACAAGCATTACATCACCAACAGCGCCGCCAAAGACCCCAGGGAAGCAAAAATATATATCGACGTGGACCAGATTCGAACTGGCGCTCCCGAAGGAACAAGATTTCAAGTCTTGCGCGATAACCAACTCCGCCACCACGCCTCCTGATAGATGAGATATCATTCTTTGCCGATAGTTTACCCTATATGTTCAGTCATCAGTTGCGGGGAGAGGGCGGGAAAGGTGCAGGGGGATAAGTGAGGTGGGGAGGTCTGGCGGGTGCGTACAGTGTTGGGGCGGCCAGGTGCATGAGATGTGTTACTGTGACGTGACGAAGCGGGGAAGGAAGTAGATTGAGCTTTTACTAGGCTGTCCAACTCTATTTGTTAAACCCCCGATGAAGGAGCACTCGGATCAGCATCATTGAGATACGGTGCTTGCCATCGTCCTACTTCCCATCATCCGCATGTAAACTTTTGACCCTCTCCTGTGAATGCTGACATGAACTCCTGGTAGACCGGTTTTGGATCAAGACCAGCAGCAGACATACAGGTCGACTACCTTCTGTTTTAGTCAATGGCAAGATAGACCACAGTCCATGAATGCGCCCCGGAAGGAATTTGTCGAACAACCCCGCCCATACATCCAGGTTTCGACCATTTTGGACAGCAAATCGCAACGATTGTAGGGTGGTAGGAAGGAAGCAGGAAAGGAGGCTTTTATACACTGACGGAACAGCCACACTCCACTATCTGGGATGGGAGCTGGATTCACAATTCATGGCTCCTGAGGCTTTCCATCTCCTCATTTGAGCATAGGTCTGGGACTTTGAAGGAGATAGCTTGTTGTTTTGATTGCTTCGCAGGACGAGGACAGTATGACAGAGCGTCGCTCTTGTTTTCAGATGTATACCCAAATACGGCCAGATCAGCCGAACATGACTTCCTTCTGAGGAGTTCTTCATCGAGGTTAAGTCCATGGGGTTGTCGCTTTGCGCTTTTGCTTCGCAGCGCACGGCCGCGCTATGGACTTAAGCAAATCGGGAATTTTGGTCGCGCAACGCCGGGAGTGCCGCACATCATTCTAAGCTATTCGCTTTTTAGGAGACTCACTCCATCGAACTCTTCCATCGGAACTTTTCGAGCTGTGGCCGTGATACGGGTGGAATGGAGGACGGAGAGAAATTTATACCCGCGGGGACTGCTCGCCCACACTTGCCCCCAGTTTCGGCTCAAGATCGCACCGGTTGGAGAAGTCCACCATGAGCGCTCGCTTCGTTGGATTTCGGGACTCCTATGCCTTTTTGGAGAGCTGCCACACTGAGAGGAGCGCCCTGACAACGAATTCCGTTCCTTTCAAAGTTTTGGAAGTCGACGACGCGGACATCAAGACATGAATCTGTATAATTCCAAACCCACTCGTCCCTATGTCTTCTTCTATAGGACATTCCGGACCACCTGGGACGCATGGGGGAAGATCCTTGACACTTTTAGACCGCTTCTGCTAGTAAGAAACACATCGAACGTGCCTTTCTCGACTTTTGGAGAGCGCAGTCTCCAAGCAAAACACATGAAGTCTTACCATTCTGATTTTAGGCGTTGCATGTTTCGATCAATGTGCCGGAGAAGGAATCCCCCGAGCCAAAGCATGAGATAAAATAGGTGACAAATGTTGACTGAGTCCATTAGCGCCTGCACTAGACGGCTTTCGTTAGCGCGCCGGAGAACATGCGTAGATATGGGAACGATGTGCTTATATCTACGCCTATATCAGGCTGGCATTATCAAAGACACTCTCCGAGCAGCGGCTCAAAATATGGTAACTGCATGACGGTGATAGCAAAAGTATCATCACCTCGTCACTCAAATAGCTTTGGTATAAATTGACCAATGGTACAGGGAACGCTCTCAGAAATACGATAATTGGCATCCCTTGCATTCCGTGGACTTGGGAGAAATGTATGGCATCTACGTTGCCAACGAGTGGTCTGCAGCCGTTGGTTTCTTTTCAAAGCAAGCGACGTCCCGTAATGTACAGGGAAGGCGAGGAATACGGGAAGCATGCGTGGATCCCTTCCAATATTCGGGTACACTGCATGCCAGCTTTCCTGGTGGGAATTTTCAACGAACCCATCTTCTTCTCCGTGATCATCGCAACCCCGTGTGAAGACGGGGAGAATTCCCTCAACTATTTGCTGAATTCCAGTGGCGTCATAGTTCAATGTAATGAAGACACCGAGTCCGGAAGGCACACGTGTGCCGTCTGACTTCCGTCTGAAGTCCCAAGGGTCTGGTTCTGTTATCTGAATCCACACCACTCAATCCCCGGTATGTGGTCCTCCCGACCCAGCGCTGGGCTCGGACTGTGCCTCGTCTGTATTTTCGTTTGCCTTTTGCTGACAGACACCGCTCGCGAGACGGCCTGCTTGCGGAAAACCAAAGGAACGCGATTCCACCAATTCCACAGACATGTTTGCGAATTGCAGTTTCGCTCGCGAAAAATGTGATGTATGGCCTTGCTCTCTCGCAGGTCGGGACGAACTCTATTTCAGCGAAGGTCAAGGTCATGCGCAGCGCCACACGGCGTCCTCGGTGTGCCGACTCTTTGTTCTCGTTCAGCCCTCCAATGTCAGATCAGGGCCTCCGATCGGTCTGGTAGCTCCCATAAGTGGCTTGCGCAGTCCCCGGTGTGTGGTCTGGATTCGGCAAATGGCGAGGGCGTGCCGCCCTCCAGGACGGAGCTGTGCCGCTTGCATCCTCACCGTTTACGCAAAGCATTATTCCTCGCCACTGATGTTTGCATGTCGATGTTTGGCACCGTATGACTCGGTTGCATCGATCGGGCAAATGCATAGGTATGCTTGGGTCTATTGCGCTTGGGTGCCAGATGCCTAGTACGCCTTGTAAGAAAATGCTGGGTCGTGGATTCCTAATTATCATCTCGCTTTCCTAACGTAGATGGCAATCGCACCTTCTAATGCTATCTCAATAGCCACTCAATTGTTGATTAATTAAGATCAGGCTGTGGTTTTGAGACAATTGAACTTCCTCAACCCACACATCCCTCCATAAGGGAGATCGATCCACGACCGCCTTTAGTGGCGCCAGCAGCGTAACGATACTTCGCACGAAATGAACGCAGCAGCAAACATACGATATCCAAATGCGACGTATGAGCAGGATGTATGGCATGGATGGCCTTGCTGGATCTTCGACAGGTGGCAGGTAGCTCCAGGGTTGACGTTGCGCCTGGTGTCAACGCTGGTAAGTACACGACAATGGTCTTGCAAGTAAATCGGTTCTGATCCAACGCAGTTCATAGCATACGTGATCGGCCAGTTGCTCTACAACTTGTACTTCCACCCGCTTCGAAAGTATCCTGGTTCTTTCTGGGCAAGAGCATCCTTGGTGAGACCCCCGAAGCATCTCGTGTTTTAGTGCGCGATGAACTCAACCTCTTTAGCTATGGCGCTTCTACCATTCCATGGGCGGCCGCTTCCATCTCGTCATTGACAAATGCCACAAACGATATGGTGAGAACTATGGACGTTCAGAACAAAACCGCGAAGGTAAACCAGGCTGACGGCCATGTCTAGGTGACGTCTTCCGCGTAAGCCCCAACGAACTCTCATTTGCTAGCGCCGGTGCCTGGCGAGCCATCTACGGTCCTCGCTCCCAAGGAGGCGTCGCCAAAATCCCCAAGAACGAGCTATACGACATGTTCGGTGCGGGCTTCGAAGTCGCCTCCGTGGGTGTCGAGAGGGATCCACGTCTGGCGGCGCAGAAGCGAGAGCTATTCGCCGCAGCATTTTCAGCTAAAGGATTGGCGCAACAGGAGGCAGTAATCCGGAGGCAAGTCGATGAGTGGGTACAGAAGCTAGGGCAGCTAGGCGATACTGAGCAGGGCATTGACATGACCAAGTGGTTCATTTATCTGGGGTTCGATCTGGTTGGAGAGATGTCCTTCGGCGAGTCCTTTGGATGCGTCCGGAGAGGTAAGCTTGCTGGTATCCCAATGAGCAAAGTCCAGAAGCTGACTAAAAACCGTAGGAGCCTCGCATGACTGGCTCGACCTAATGCTTGGACACATGTTGGTCATTACGCTCATGGATAACCTGCGACGCATCCCTCTATGTCTCACGATTGCTCGATGTATTCCTTCCAAGTGGACAGTCGGTATCCGGGATAAAATGGTACGATATGCCAAGGATAAGACTGCCGCGTGAGTGCTTCTCCATTAGGTTATCATAGTTGTGGCTGACATATCGCTGCCCACGGCAGTCGACTCCGAAACACAACCGAGCAACGAGACTTCCTGAACGCAGTCGTTGAAAAGGTCCGAAAAGGCGAAATGTCCGAGGAGGAAATGGCGGCCACCTCGTCAAACTTGGCGTAAGAGCATACACTCTCCTTCAGACCTCGTAGGTGACGTACGATTGACTCTTGAGCAGAATGGCCGGAGGCGAGACCACCGGCACCGTCATGACCACAACCACCTACTACCTGCTCAAGAACCCGAGTGTGCACGAGACACTGAAAAAGGAGATCCGCACGGCCTATAAGAACTTTAGCGATATTGACTACGCATCAGCCACGCAGTTGCCTTACCTGATGGGGGTGCTCAAGGAGGTGATGCGCATCTTTCCTGTGGCTGCTCAGGGCGTCCCCCGCGAGTCACCTGGGGTGATGGTTGAGAGACACTACGTTCCCAAAGGGGTCAGTTAATGGTGGCCCGGAGTGATGCACGGTTCTATGGCTGAGTAGCAATCCAGACTGAGTTCTACGTCTCCCCGTGGACTACCAACCACGACGAGCGTTATTGGAACAAGCCATACGCTTTCAAGCCGGAGCGTTGGGTCGATCCGGAGTGCAAGGACACCAAGGAGGCTAGTCAGCCGTTCTTGCTGGGACCGCGTGCTTGCCTCGGGAGGCTGTGAGTTATTGCTCCCCTTTCTAGCGAGATCAAAGACCCGAATATTTATGTAGCTGACTTCTAGCAGCTTCGCCTATGCGCAGATGTCCGTCCAACTTGCGAAGATGGTCTATGTGTATGACATGGAGCTCGTGGACCAAGACCTTGACTGGGAACAATCCTGCCGGATGCACTTTCTATGGTGGAAGCCGGAGTTGTATGTCCGATTTCGGCGACGCGGGATGCAAACCTAAGCGAAAGTACCGCACTTATAAGAGCGGTTCTAGAGAAGACACCTGGCCATACTCTCGGTCTTGGATCATGTCCAGCAGGCTCTGATGGAAATTCCGGTCCATGACTACATCTCGCTCGGCCTGTGTCGTTGCCATCCAGCGGTCTGCCACATCTTGCCCTTTGTATGTAATCAGAAGGATTAATCCAAAATCATCCAGCTCGTTCCCATTCCCTTCTTGTAGAAACTGATCGAACTGCATTTTCGAAATCCAGTGAGGGTTATAGCTCAGTTTCGCTTGTTCCCATTCAACCGGGCCCGAAGCCTCCCACAGCTGACGCTGGGCGGTGAACGAGTTTGCAGTAACCTGATCCCCAAGAGTACAAAAGCCTTGCTTGACCAACGAGTAGATGCCGGCCAGGAAGACGCTCATTGTAACGGTCCGTCGCACGGACTCACTGAAAATCCACGACCGCCATGACGGTGAAGTCTCAGTCGTATATTCTCGCTCTTTGGTCGTCCGAGCCTTGAGCTGCTGGCTCCAAGCTTCCAATACAGGCTCAGCCTTCTCCGCAAGCGCACGTTGTCGGATATCACCATCGAACAATCGTATAAATTGGAATATGAGAAGGGCTTGGACCGCTGCCAACAGATCCAAAGGAGTCCAAGACGCCTGATCTGCGGCGTGTAGTAGCCCATTGGCTTTTGCTTCAATAACGGTGAACGCAACGAATTCGTTGAGGTCCGTCTTAGTCGAGTATATAGCGCACGCTGCATATGCGTCTTGGAGAACCTTTGGCATACTGGAGGCGTACAAGCTAGGATGGATGAAGGGCGCTTTGCCTTGCTTGACCCACTTTTCTGGCCACGTCTTGAAGCGGTGGAGCGCCGCTTCTGTCTCCGCTCGGGCGAGAGTTGATTTTGTCGGAACCGGCGTGCCCAGTAAGTAGTCTGGCTCTTCTCGTGGAAAGGATAGAATATCAGAGTCGGAGCGTCTAGAGAGAGTGCCTTGTGATGAGGCGTCGAGCTGAGGCTGGAGCGAGCCGGACCATGGCATCATATCCGGATCCCGCATGAGGTCGTCCAGCCATTGGAACTCCAACTCAGGAAACGTCGTGTTTGCCATACTGGATCTGCTGTTGGGATAGGCGCAGACGATATTCTTCTTTGCGCATCTCTTGCATCTGGGCAGTTCCATCCCGCACTTCCGCTTTGCCTTTGCGCACTCGCTGCACGACCTGCGCTTTGAGATTGGCTCTGCAGCCATCTTGAGTGAGATGGTTGGAGGGATATCGATGGCAGGTAGAATTTGTGGCGCGGGAGGGACCAGCCGTCCAAAGATGAAGATGAGATGACAAATCTGAGGAAGGAAGAGACTACACCGAATGCAGACTAGCGCGCGCTAACCGAGTTCGGCAGCACTTAGGCCTACCTCGCGGCGTGGGCTACGAGGGTGCGCGCAAACGGGTTCACGAGAGACGAACAGTAAGAAAAACGCTGTCTCCCCTGCTTCTTCTCCCGTTCGCCATCACCAGCCGTCGCATCGTCCCCTTTGTGTAGCGACACTAGAAGTGCGCCAGGGTTCATCGTTCACCGGGCCAATCACCATCATCGCGCTTCGGCCATCCGCGTAAGGCTAGCCTTTATCCGGAGCCGCCCCGGCGCCTGGGCAACAAACGCGAGCCAAAACAAGCCCGCGACGCTTCAAAACACGCTCTCTTCAGCTGTCGCCCCACTACAACAAAGCCATCCTTTCGTTTTTTCCAGGTCAACTCCGCGCGAACTGGGCTCCCTCGCCCTCTTACCCTTCTTTCTGTCCTGCGGGACTTGCCAATTGACCGCGCGTCGCCATGGACGACTCTCTCATGGATTCGGTCTTCGACGAGGGCGAGAGCTCTGACTTCGCGCCCGTTAAACCCGTCAAAGCTGCCAAACCGAAGGCTGCAGCTCCCAAGAAGCCCGCAGCCGCCGGCAAGCCCCGAGGCCGCCCGCCAAAGGACCCGTCGCAGCCGCCGAAACCGAAGGCAAAGGCGGCGCCGAAGAAGAAGAAACGCAAAGACGACTCGGAGGACGAGAACTCGGACGTCGATATGGATAACGACCCGCTCGGCGATGACGAGTCGCTGCTCGCAGACACGCCTCCGAAGCAGAAGAAGGCGCCCGGCCCCAAGAAGACCAGCGGCAAGCCCCTGGCAGACATCGCGAACGAGAGCTTCAGCATGGACGGCATGGAGGAAGCTCCGGCGTCAAAGGGGACGAAGGCCGCTGGCGGCGCAAGCAGCAAATACCAGATGGTACGTCCCCAAACAGCAGCTAAAGATGCGCACATGGCTAACAATCAGGCAGCTGACCCATTTGGAACACATCATGAAGCGCCCCGATACTTACATTGGCTCCGTCGAGCGCATGAGCGACAAGATGTGGGTCTACAACTCGACCACCGAGTCCATGGAGTACCGCGAGGTGTCCTATGTCCCGGGACTCTACAAGATCTTCGACGAAATCCTCGTGAACGCCGCAGACAACAAGGCAAACGACAAGAACATGAGCGAGATTCGGGTGACATTGGACCGCGATACCGGCGAGATCTCGGTGAGAAACGACGGCAAGGGTATTCCAATCGAGATACACAAAGAACATGGCATCTATGTCCCGGAGATGATCTTCGGCCACTTGCTCACTTCCTCCAATTATAATGACGAGCAGCAGAAGATCACCGGTGGTCGCAACGGTTACGGTGCGAAGCTCTGCAACGTCTTCAGTACCGAGTTCACACTCGAAACGGTCGACTCGAAACACAAGAAGAAGTATAAGCAGACATGGACCGACAACATGAGCAAGATGGGCAAGGCCAAGATCACCGACATCAAGACGGACGACTACACCAAAGTCACCTACAAGGCCGATTTTAAGAAGTTCGGCATGACAGGCATCGACGACGATTTCGAGGCGCTCGTCAAGCGTCGGACCTACGACATGGCGGGTACGCTGAGGGGCGTCAAGGTCTACCTCAACGGTGACCGCGTCAAGGTCAACAGCTTCGCCAAGTACATGGAGATGTACACCAAAGCCATCCGCAGCGAGCAGGGCAAGAGCGAGGACGACAAGGACGTCATCATCACCGACCGGCACGAACGATGGGATATCGGATTTGCTGTCTCTGACGGCGCTTTCAACCAGGTGTCGTTCGTGAACTCGATCGCCACCACGTCTGGCGGTACGCACGTCAACTATATCGCCGACCAGATTGTTGAAAAGCTCCTAGCCATCGTGAACAAGAAAAACAAGGGCGGCGTCAAGCTCAAGCCTGCGCAGATCAAGAACCACATCTTCCTCTTCGTCAACTGCCAAATCGTCAACCCCGCGTTCACCTCGCAGACCAAGGAGCAGTTGACGACCAAGGCCAGCCAGTTCGGCAGCAAACCCGTCTTGAGCGACAAGTTCCTCAAGCAGATCGAGAAGACCGAGGTCATCCAGAACATTATGCATTTCGCTCAGCAGAAGGCAGACCAGCTGCTGAAGAAGACGGATGGCAACAAGCGGAGCCGCATGAGCAACTCCAAGCTCACTGACGCAAACAAGGCTGGTACCAAGGATGGCCACTTGTGCACTCTCATCCTGACTGAGGGTGACTCAGCCGCCCTGCTCGCTTTGGCCGGACGCGCTGTAGTGAACCCGGATTACTTCGGCGTCTTCCCACTCCGAGGTAAGCTGCTGAATGTGCGAGATGCCTCTATCGACCAGATTTCCAAGAATCAGGAAATTCAGAATATCAAGAAGTTCATTGGCCTGCAGCACAAAAAGGAGTATACCGACACCAAGGGTCTCCGCTACGGTCACATCATGATCATGACCGACCAGGATCACGATGGCAGCCATATCAAGGGTCTGCTCATCAACTTCCTTCAGTGCCAGTTCCCGAGCTTGCTGAAGATCCCCAACTTCCTCATGGAGTTCATCACGCCCATCGTCAAGGTCTGGAAAGGCGATATTAAGCAGCCAAAGAAGCTGATCAGCTTCTTCTCCATGCCCGAATGGGAGGAATGGAAAGAGCAGCACAAGAATGAGAAGGGTTGGGATCACAAGTACTACAAGGGATTGGGTACCAGCAGCCCATCTGATGCCCAAATCTACTTCAAGGATCTCGACACCCATATGAAGGCGTTCCACACTATGCGTGCACAAGAGGAACAGCTGATCGAACTTGCCTTCTCGAAGAAGAAGGCCGATGCCCGCAAAGAGTGGCTGCGGGAATTCATTCCCGGAAACCATCTCGATCTCACCACGAAGGAGATTACCTACGACGACTTCGTCAACAAGGAATTGATTCTTTTCAGCATCGCCGATAACCTTCGATCGATTCCTTCAGTCGTCGACGGCTTCAAACCTGGTCAACGCAAAGTCATGTACACTTGCTTCCGTCGAAACCTCAAGAAGGACGTCAAGGTCGTGGATCTCGCCGGTTCCGTGTCCGGAACTACAGACTACGCCTATGGTGAAGCCTCGATGCAAGGCACCATTGTCGGTCTTGCCCAGAATTTCGTGGGCTCCAACAATATCAACTGCTTGGAACCTAGTGGAAACTTTGGATCCCGTCTTCAGGGTGGTGCAGATGCGGCCAGCGCTAGGTATATCTATACCCGGCTGTCGCCGTTCGCGCGAAGGATTTTTCATCCTCAGGACGACGCCCTCCTCAAGTACGGCGAGTCCGACACCAAAAAGATCGAGCCTGAAATGTACGTCCCTATCCTACCAATGGTATTGGTCAACGGCGCAGACGGTATCGGTACGGGTTGGAGCTCTTCAATTCCGAACTACAACCCGCTTGATATTGTCGAGAACATTAGAATCCGCATGGCCGAAGGCGCGTGTAAGGAAGATATGAAGTCGATGACGCCTTGGTTCCGTGGGTTCACCGGTACAACTGAAGACATGGGCAACGACCGGTTCAAGTTCACGGGTACCGTACGGCAGGTCAGCGACAATGAAGTGGAGATCACGGAATTGCCCGTGCGCTATTGGTCTCAGGACTTCAAGGACAAGCTCGAAGATATCATCAAGGCTGAGAAGACTCCTTCCTTCATCAAAGATTACACCGACTACAACACACCGGACAAGGTCCACTTCATCATTAAGTTGGAGGACAAGCACATGGCTAATGCACTTGCGAAAGGCCTCGAAGAGGCTTTCAAGCTCTACAAGACCATGGCTACTTCCAACCTGGTTGCTTTCGATCATCAGGGCCGCATCCACAAGTACGCCTCAGTGCTTGACATCATGGAGGAGTTCTACCACATCCGCCTGAGGTACTATGAGAAGCGCAAGGTAAGTTATATGCAATCATATGCAAAGTTCCCTCTAACATTATACAGGCACACCAGCTAGACGAGATGCAGAAGGAGCTCGAGAAGATGACCAACCAGTCCCGTTTCATTCAGATGATCATCGACGGAAAACTTGTTGTAGCAAAGAAGAAAAAGGCTGTACTCGTCGAAGAATTGAAGAAGCTTGGTTTCAAGCCCTTCCCGAAGGTCTCGGACGCCAAGAAAGCTGGTGAGCTAGAGGAAGCTTTCGAAGATGACAACGAAGAGAGCGAGGGTGCGGTTGGCGCAAATGACTTCGACTACCTCCTGGGTGTAAGTGAATCGCCATATTACGATTCAGGAATCGAGCTAATTGCATATAGATGGCTATCTGGTCGTTGACTACAGAGCGTGTCGAGAAGCTCCTGAGGCAGATCGGCGACAAGGAGATGGAGATTGACGCCCTTCTCAAGCTCTCGCCAAAGGATATCTGGAAGATGGACCTTGATGCCTTTGTCGAGGAGTGGAACACCCAGCTCGATGAAGAAGCGAAGCGCGCCAAGAAGATTGCCAATACCGGTCGTCGTGCATCCCACAAGCTAGGCATCGCTCCTTCCAAAGGCAAGAAGAAGAAGAGGAAGATGGACGACAACGACTCTGACGATTCTGGCTCTGACTTTGGTCCTGTTAAGAAGAAGGCCAAGCCCAAGACCGGCGGTCTGCTCAGCTACCTCCACAAGGAGGATGAGCCTAAGAAGCCGAGCGCGACCGCTGCCCTCAAGGGCGGAGCTGCATTGGGTTCGACGGCAACAAAGCAGGCGGGTATGCTTGGCTATCTGAAGAAGGCGGCGCCAAAGGAGATACCGCTTGACAGCGATAGTGCAATGGACGTTGATGAGCCTGCTCCCGTGTCAGCACCTGCAGCTGCAACGAAGAAAAGCCGTCCTGCTGCCAAGAACGTCAAGAAGCCAGCAGCAAAACCAGACCCTGTCGACTCGGAGTCTGATTCAGACGTCTTTGCTGCCGTTGCTAAAGAAGCGGAGAAGAAGCCCGCAGAGACTATCACCACTTCCCGCACTGCTCGAGGCGCAGCCAAGAAGGCTACGAACTATGTGGTTGACAATGACAGCGAGAGTGATAGCATGGGCGACGATCTTCTCGATGTTAGCACCATGGTGAAGACGATCGGAGGTAGCAGCAACGACCGTCCTCTGTTCTCGACTGCTCGCCCTGGTAGCGGAAGCGGTGCCCGCCCGAATAGCGCCACTGGGGCGACTTCGAAGGCTCGCGCTGGTGCTCAGAAGAGCAGCCCCATCGACCTGGATGACGACGTGACCAACTACGAAGGCCTCATGCCTCAGGGTTCTCCCCATAAACCCGCTCCTCGCAACGTCAACGACACGATCATGGGCTCCGACGATGACGATGACTTCGGCTTCGGCATCAAGAAGTCCAAGCCCGCTGCGAAGCCCGTCGCAAAGGCTGCTCCTAAAGCCAAGCCGGCACCGAAATCGAAGGCTGCACCCGCCGCTGTCGTGGCAAAGAAGACGACACAGCTCAGCCCAGCGGCAAAGGCTTACGCCGCCCGCCTCGGCAAGGCCAAGGATCTCGCCGCACCGAAGGCCGCTCCGAAGGCCGCAGCCAAGCCAAAGCAGCCTATCACCATCGAGTCGGACGACGAGATGGAGGATGCGGACCAGCTGGCCAACGAACTCCTCTCGGATGACGACGAGCCGACGCCCAAGCCCGCTGCTGCGCGACCGGGTCGGAGGGCTGCGGCTAGGCCGGCTAAGTATGTGGTTAGCGATGACGAGGAGAGCGATGAGGCGTCTGAGCCGAGCTTTGAGGAGGATGAGAGCGAGTAAACTCTCCCGTCGGCTTGCTCTGGTGATGTTTATGACATGGTGAATATGGGGAGATACCCAAGGGCACGGTGCCGGGGCGTTTAAGGATCATGTGGTGGTGATGAGCATCACTGCGAGTCCCCTTCTCACAGACACCTCTGGCTGTTTCATTCACGGAGTCACCTATTGGGCCACGGGACACTGGGTACGGAATGGAGTTTTGGACATCGTTCTCCGTAATATTAGGTAGTCTCACGATTGAGCGGCGCCAAATTGAAGTGGCGCTTTGTTTCCTCTGCCTTCTCCCTCAGATGCTTGGATATGTGGATGTGCTACGTACGCGTCCCCGCGTCCTTTGGGTGGGATAAACTATCCCCGCAAGGAACTGACAGCAAGGGTGATGAGAGCAGTGCGGTCTTCATTCTGTCTGCTACGTATACAGCCATTGGCTACATATGCTACGGCCAAACAGAGGCGGATAGTTCGAACGCATAGTGGGAGACGAGTGTCTCCTGGAAACAGTGGAAGCCAAACGGATGGATAGAGTTGCACTGAAAGCCCGCAAGTCCGCTAGCCATACCATATCCACGGCCCGCCTGTGATGTAGACTTTGAGAGTCTCCCGTGCGATCGACGCGCAATACGTCCTGTCCTGAACACACCAAGTGAGCTAGCTAGCAGCTCCCCACAGTGCACTGGAGTGCGGAGATGGCGTGCGCGGGAAGGAAAGCCGGAGCACGAAGAGGCGAAGCGCATACATAGCATAGCTCCCGCTGTCAAAATCGCGCTCCTGGCCGGCTGGGAGAGATGGGGACACGGTATTGGAAGAGCGAAGCGAAACGAGACGGCAGGTTGGACGGACGGACGGGCAGGTGCTCCTGGTTACGGTGGTGTATCATTGACATGTGCTGCGCTAGATTAGTCCAGTGTGGACGGTGGAGCGAAGAAGACTGAGACGGGGGAGGAGGGGAAAGGAAAGGAAGGGTACGTACCGTTCGCGCTTAGCCGCTAGCTGAGCGCCGACTGCAGGCTAGGTGAAAGCATGACGTCGTGAACGAACGATGAGCGAGAGGGTATCTACATCGTTCGGTACGAGCGGAGCCAGTGGGGAGGCGGGGAGGCGGAGGCTGTGGAGCGCGGATCCGCCGCGCTTTGCTCCGCCTCTTGTACGACGATGTGCGTTGGCTGGGAGTCGGTGCCTCTATAGAATTATTCGATGGAGGAGACGAAAAAAAGTTGAAGATTCTTTTTGGAAGAGGCGTCACAGACGCATGTAAATATAGCCCCCTCAAAAGAAGTGAGGCTGGCCTGTCCTCCTTTGGGCATTGCCTCTCAGCAGAACTGGTGTTCGCGGTCTTGCACGACGCAAATCAGCCTACCTCGCACCAAGCGGCTGCTAGAACCTGTCAGCCAAGTCCATGGCCCCCTTCCTCTCTCTCGTTCCCTCCAATGACACCCGCATCTGACCCACAGGGCCAGCGTGGTGCGGACCACAACAGGAAATCAGTATCGATATGCTACCGTCCGGAACCGATCGGTGTGGAGCGAGCGAATTGCGGAGATGACTGCGTGTCTGAGTGGTGCACGACAGATTCGGCCGCAAGTCCAGAATGCGCGTACAGCAGACGTGGTATTGGGACGTTTAGCGCGGAGGGGAGAGCGACACGACTGGAGGGTAGGCTTAGGGGAAGATACTAGCAATGGCAAGGTGGTTTAGTTCGAAGGACGGCATGTGGAATAGCCTTGAGAATAGGGCGACATACCTCGCGCGGAATAGGGCACAACGAAATGCTCCGAAATCGCCATTCCCAAAGTGCCTTCGTCGTACACCGTGCTCAAGCGAGGCGACTGCCCACCTAACTCTCGATATACACCCCTCCGTTCTGGGACACTGCGTAGCAACCAGAGTAGACGAAAGCGGATGCCTTCGAGGTGATGCCAGGAGGCATCCTCCGGAAGCAGCAAACCAGGAATGATCCTTCAACCGCTTGCCTCGTCTACCGAGCTACAGTAACATAGTCTCGAGGGCAACGCCCTTGTTCAACGCAGCCAAAAGCGCCACAAAAGCTTAAACGCTCCACAACAGCTGTCAGGCAGGGCGCTCTGTAGAAGTCGCGATACACCGTCCTCGAAACCACTGCAGGCTTCAGCCTTCGTGCCCATCGCTTGCAGACGTTGTGTCTCCCCCAAACGTCATCCGTGTCGCCTGTTCGCAGCAGTCCCTTCCTGCGAATGGACACTGTGCCTTTGAAAGGAAGGGAAATTCGGTGCCTGCGGGTGTCCGACCTCAGAGCATTGATAAGGTCAAAGCTCGTGATTTACATGTTGCGTGTGAGAGGATTGTTCGACGACAGCGACATGATAGTGGGACATAGGGAGCATTCCGAGTGGCACAATAGCCCAAGGCGCTAACATGTCTCGTCGGTATTGCCTTTGAACGCCGTTAGAGCGTAACCACTACTTAGCGCCGTTGCAGTTGTAGATTTTGACAAGCTGGTCGCACCCTCTGCAGGATTCCACCCTCCCCTCTGCTTGTTGGGCATCGGCTGTCAGGCCGAACATGTCGTGCTCAGCCGTCAAGGAGCACTGGGCATGCGCATACATGGTGGATGGCGACTGCGGGGCGAGGAGAGCTCCCGTTCTGTGCGTCTGTCGATGGCGATTTCCGGACAGTAGAGGAACACGAGAGAGATGCCTGTGTGGCGTGGAAGCCTAGAGGACGGCCCAATGTGGGATCGCCAATCAAATATGGAGGTTTGCTCCTGGAAACCAGTATTCGTGGCATAGTTGGCGTTGCGGGAGAGATTTCAATAGGCTGCCCATCCGTTTGTGGCCTGAGTGCGATACCAGATGGTGGGTTTTAGTCTCTTGGGAATGGGCGATGAACTTTGCTAATATGGTCCGATCATTTGTACGGAAGGTTCGTTTAGCGGCAATGGTAGCGGCGGTGGATAGCGGCGATGTATGGCGAACTGCGTCGCGCTCTCTCGCCTTGCGCAAGATAGCTGTGGCCCCACGCTCTCGTGCGACCTACACGCCAAACGTTATTGAACCACTAGTTGCACCAGTATGCTTTGTACTTGCCTCTCTACTGAGTCCTCCGACTTGGAGTAGTGGTTCTGGCAGCCTTTCTCTCTGAGTCAGGGTGGTGCATGGCTGGCGCACTGCAGACAACACTGCAGCGGAAGAGAGCCATAGGCGAGTTTCTGATGATGCGTGCTCCATTTGCAGAACCACGGTTCATCGTCCCATTCAGATCTTGACAGCTGCGTCGTACGAGAGCAGACGCTGAGTGAACGCAAGCCGTGCAGCCTTTCTTTGTGCCGTTGCCAAAACCGCACGAAGTCCCTGCTGCGCGAAGTTACTTCTTGTGAGTCTGAAACCCGGTCAATTACAGACTCCACGGTGTCCTTACCTGATCATCAGCGGCTTGGCTCCATTTTCACCCCCTGATCCACCATCCCGTATGCGTTGATTTCAAAACAAGATCGCACGCTGCATTATCGATGGATCTCCTTTGCCGTGATAATCGCCTCCGAGTGGACAGTCACAAGTTGCGGTGGGCTTGTATCACGCTTCCCAGGTTCAATTTACCTGAAGGGTCTGTCATCCCAGCGTGACGGCTCTGTGTAGCCGGTGCGGAAACGGAAAGGAACCCCAGCAGCATGCTCGATAGCAGACGCACACCGCATGTCGCCCTTCTCCACCTTTAGCATTGCTCAAATGACCTTGAGTCTCAAAGGTGCATGCAGTATTGGCTTCGACCAGTGGAGATCCATGCGTGGGCGAGCCCAGATACAAGCCTCTGACCGGACGATGGCGGCAGAAGTATGTGTTGTCGAATCCGCCACCGCCGGTCGAGCGCAGTGACAGCGGGATCGTGATTATGACCACTGGAAACCCACATCAGGGCGCCGCCGCAGCCCGATTTTGAGACCTTTTCAGCCCACTGGCTTCAGCTTCGTCCCTCACCCACCATCCTGCGCCCAGGTTTGAGATAGCAGCGTTCCAGAAGAGTTTGGAAGGGCAGCTCTGAACATTCCTCAATCAGAGCTGTACGGGTCGCGGCAGTGTGTGCTGCACGCACCTTTGACAAGGAGCTGCAGTGTGGCCTGCGGAGTCTTGAGGCGGTCAAAACTGAGACAGTAAACACCGCTCTTTCCCTTTCACGTCCAGACGCCTGAAAAGCGGTCAATGCTGCATGTTCGCAAGCCTGAAACGCATTTTCTTTGTCCGATGGGCGTCCTGTGAGACACGGTCCAAGAAAATGCTCACGCGTATGCCAACAACTGAAGAGGCTTGGACTAGGAAGCGCCTTGTCTTGCTCAGAGGGAGTGCAGCTAGCCTTCAGTGCGAAGGGTGATGCCTTGCAAGATTTTTGGCCGTTGCGGATGGTGAGGCTGGTCCGTCTTGGTGAACCGGGATAGCAAGCAGCCAGGGGATGAGAGCCTCGAGTATTCTGGCCAGCAAATGGTACCTCACCGACAAAAGCACAACCAACCAATTTCTCTTCCAGGCTTGCAATTGCGCGAGCGGCCGAAGTGCGCATGCCACAAGGGGAAATGCGACCACGTTTGCCTGTGCGGGTCGGCCAAGATAGGTACGTGCGCTTGTGCGAGCGGATTGCTGCATGTAAACAACGTACCGATTCGTTCCCTCACACGCCATACCGACAGGAAGCATGACAGGCTTGACTGTCCCCGCGAAGGCTACTGGCTAGCGAGGGTGCTGGCTAAGAGGTATGGTGGCAATCGCATAGGTTGCGTGAGACCAGGTGAATATCTGGGCGAGTTTTTTTCGATCTGTAGTAGGAACAGACTCCCCAATGCCACGAGGGCCTTTCTCCTTTCAAAGAGCAGTCGCGATTGCAGGACATTATACGCCTTGCCACTTTGGAACGGATTTAGGTTTCGTTCCGGGTTAGTATACTGAATGGCTGGCAGGTGGCGTCATTGCTGCGCGCTTGCACCGCCCCGGCAAGCTCGTATTTGTTTTGATGGAGGCCGATTGAAATGTTTAGGACAAAGAGAGGTCATAGAGCTCCCGGTCAAGATGCAGGGTTCTGCGCGGGAGGAGTGTTTGACGCAGTGCAACAAGGTCTCCCTCGATCCTTTCCCCCCACTATTGCACGCTCATTAACCCTGTGGGCCTTCTGCCGGTAACCGGCGTTTGGTCCAATGAGTGGGCCTCCCGTCTCGCAACCTGTCAAGCCATTTAGTGTGTGTTCTGAAACCCAGCATATGGCCTTCTTGCACACCGGAAGACCATCTGCAGGAAGCTTTGACAAGCTTTGGGGACGCCTGTCGGGTAGGTGTAGCAGCTAGCGGCCCGTGGAAAAGAAGAGGACACACCTGATAAAGGGAATCGGGACGGCGCAATGTCCCATCGCTAGCCTTCGATCCGCTTCGGTCCTATCTTCTTGAACTGGACTCCTCCGACCTTCGCGTGGTTGTTGACACGCTTCTATCGAACTTCATCCTGCGGGGTGGTTCTACCGTCCGAAACCGGTAATTCCAACAGCTCATTCGATCTTATTTTCTCTTGACGTGTGCTGGCTTGTCACTACCCCACAGTCAAAAGTCACTGGTCGAGCTGTCCTCCCACGATAGCCGAACTGAAAATCCGTTGGACACGAAGCGAGAAGGCAGCTATCGCCACGGGGCTCTCCCGTTTGCCGGGCGATCACCTCCAGACTAGGGCCGGCCGGAGTGGAACGCTCGTTCTTCTCGCTGCAAGATTCCTCAGGTCCATCAGACATCCGTTCGTTGAATCTGCCGTCCGAACACAGTACGTACGTACCATGTGCAAGCTATTCATCCAGTGCTGGAGTCTAACGGAAGTCCAGGTTGTATCTCCAGGTGGTGGGGCTCTTGTTCAGCGATATCGCTGGCTCGTATAAGGTGGTCATTCCGTCCTCGTGGACAGTCCGCAAACGCTGCGCAGGTCAGCCTCTTTTTCTGCTGCCTACTGCCACCAAACTTGATTCTCCCCAAACCGGTCTCTCGTTCCACAGCAGCTTAGTCCTGCTACCCGTCCTGGTCTTTGCTTCAAGTCCATCCTTGCCAGGTACGCTGAGGCAAGGATCGAAGCACACAGCTCGAACCTCGGACAAGAAACCCCAACGATCCAATTCGCTTGCGGAGCACCATGAAGATACAATCTTTGCTCAATCCTTTCTGCGGCGACCACCATGGTTACCGCAGTTCGGAGTCGCCCACTCCTGCATCAATGCCTCGTTCCGCAGCCCCATTTATCTCCGTCCCGAAGCGACAAAGGATCCCGAAAGACGCTCCCATCTTCTCAGAAGGAAACAAGATAGTGGGTTTTGTCAACTACCCACCATACGAGGCCGGCGACGATATGGATCTCGCGGCTCAGCATCGCAGGTTCCAGATATACCCTATGGGCGAGATCTTGAGGAAGGGTGTACGTCACATCCCCTACAACAGTGACAAGAAAGACTTCCTGGAAAAGACCGGGAGAGACGCTTTTGAGAGTAGGTGCAGTTCCATTGGCAGTAACATGCCGCTGACGAAGCCATAGTGTTCCAGTACACGTACAAGATACCGGGAGAAGACAAGGAGTACGTCGTGGTGTGGGACTATAACGTCGGGCTCGTCCGCATGACGCCGTTCTTCAAATCCTTGAAGTACTCAAAAGTCAGCAAGTCGGTCCCCTGGTTAGAACATATACTGACGGTGGTAGACAATACCAGCCAAGGCTCTGCGGGAGAATCTGGGGCTGAAAGACATCAGCTACAGTATAACAGGAGGCGCTCTCGTGTGCCAAGGTCAGTACCTGTCCGTATGATGGGGTCCGAGCGCACTTACTGACAATCGCAGGATACTGGATGCCTTATCAAGCGGCCAAGGCCATAGCGGCGACCTTTTGCTACAACATCCGATGGGCTCTCACGCCCGTCTTCGGTAACGACTTTCCGACGATGTGCGTCCATCCGACGGATCCCAACTATGCTAAGTTTCTCATCGATCCGGATATCGTGCGGGAATGCACCGAGGAAACAAACCGGTTCCGGAGAGAGGGTCCCTCCTACAAGACTGCAGCTCCGCAGCCATCGGCCGAGCCATACAGTCCAAAGCTGCAATTTGGATGCCCGCCTTGGGGGGTCAAGGTCGATAAAGCTCAGCATCAAAGAACCTCGGAGGAGGAAAGCGGATACGCGAGTGATACTCGGACAGATCGAAGCGGAGACGATGGGCCTCTCTTCTCACCACAAGTGTCTCCTCGAAGTCAGACGTGGAGGTCGGTCAACCGCTCTCAGTCTCCCGCATCGCCAACCACCACATTACACTCTCCGACTTTCGGTTCTCCACCAAGATCTCTGCCACCTCTTCATCAGCTGTTTCCGACTTCGGTGCCGGATGGATATTACGGTGAGCCGTTTCGGACAAAGCGAACTCACTCGAAGGTCGCTTTCTGCGATGAGCACGACGATGAAGCAAGCCGTCTTCCGACAGAAGTCGCTACTGCAGACTCAGATTCAGAGCAGAGGCAAGAAGATGGCGGGGATGGTCTTCACACGAGGCGAGAGCTCGATGCTGCTAAGATAATCCTGCAGCTCAGTGCGGCCGATAAGGCGCTCCCACCTACGAAGCGAACCCGCAGAAGCTCCAGGTACTGAACGAGACATGCTCCAAACATGAAGAACTAAAGCAGGAGGCGCGTTCCCTTTCCGTCACGCTCTGAGCATCACTGCGCGACGTTTCTGGCGTTTCAACGTACTCAGCATGTCGGCAAACTCGATACACATCATTGCACGAGGCTAGGCTGTCTCTTTTCTTTTCCATATCGGCTGCAGGCGCTGGGGTTCGCCGCAGCGGTGTTTGGGAGTGGTTTATTGGATCTTGCGTTTCGTTTTGACGTTTGTGATTCCCCAAAATCATGACCAAGCCTACCTGCCAAAGGACTGAGGGTTATCGAACAGCATCAGCATCAGCATCAGCATCAGCATACACAACGACATAGATAGAATTTCTTTGGGAACGGAGTGGGTCATTGGGATAAATAATTATACTTTGCTCGTCAGAACGTACCCGGTCATAGTGTGACTTGTTCACTTGCTCTGAGCTTTCATTTTCGCGATCCTCTTTTTCGTTCCCTCCACGGTCGTTTCCTCGTTCCATATGTACGTCACGCTGTCTTGCTTGATGACTTCGGCGGCCCACTTTGAGAAGTTGGGTAGGGTATTGAAGCCCGCGATGACAGATTGCGGGAGGATGCCGTGCTTGGCGTAGGCGTAGGTGCGGAGGATGAACGGTGCGGTGATGGCCTGGCTCGTCATTAGCACTGTCCATGAGACAGATGTACAGCGTATATACCTCGGCCAAGGTGACCTTGCTGCTCCCTCCAAAGAAGGGAGACGCATCCTTGAGCAACGGCTCGATCTCCTTGCTCACAATGCCCACAAACTCCTTAGCAAGAGCTTCCTTCTCCTCGTCCGTATCCTTCTTCGTAATCTGAAGCCAGTAGCTGTTGCACTTCGTATTCCAAGTATCGATGAAAAAATTGATGCGTGCGCGCTTCAGGGCGGCGTCCACGCCGCCGGTGGCAGGAAGCAGAGGCGACGGGTATACATCAGCGAGGAATTGAGAGACGATGGCGGACTCGGTAATGATCTCGCCGTTGAACTTGATGGAGGGGACGAGGCCACGCTGCGAATGATCATGTCAGTGGGGGAGGCGGGTTGTTGAGGGGCTTTGGGATAGACGGAAGGAACGAGACGCAGCAAGAGGCAAGAACTACGCAGGAGCGCAGCATGACCCTCAATCGAACTGCTTTGCATCTTCAAATGGATATTTTCTCAGGGCTGTCTCTCGCACCGCTGATGAAATACACAATTCCACCATGAACAGAAGAACCACATACCGGATTGACCTCCAAATACCAAGGATCCCTCGGCCTCTCCAGATCGATAATGACCTCCTCATACGGCAGTCCCAGCTCCTTCAGCACAATATGCGCACGATGCGCATACGGGCAGCGGTGATTTGTGTAGAGCGTGATCTTCGGAGCGTCGCCATTCGTAGCCGCCATGTTGAAGCTCGAGGTTGCGTGCAGCACGCGAGTTAGGGGAGCTCGGGTATGGCGTCAGGAATGACTAGCGCTGGATAGATGCTCGAGGATGGTGGGGTGTGTATGAATGAATGATAGCTCGAGATTACCTGTGGTTATCGACGTGTTTTGAACGTGGACTATGTACGAAGATGTTAGGCGCGAAGCCGAAGGGTGCTTAGAAATCAGCGATTGCGTCAACCGTCTCGGAATCTCACAATCAAGGGGGGTTTTCTCCCAAACGCGGAGACGCACGTCTTCCCCGCACTACGCTAGGTAGGCTTATTACTGTGGCCGGACAAAGATTCGCGGCACTTGAAAACGAGCATAGACACAATTGTTGGTATGCGATGAATGTGACCCACGCCTCTAGTACCTATCTTGCGATACTACGAACCGGATGTGGGTATCTACCAAACGCCAGAAATGCTCGATCCGCTTTTCGTCCAGGTCCGCAACTTCGGATCCTTCCCCATGCCATAGTCCTCCAGTGCGATGCACTACTCATGTAGGGCCCTTGCCGTGACCACAGTGCTTTCTATCACGGAAACCAAAAGACCAGCGCTGCTCTCGTTTGCCTCCACCCTACGAACCGGTGGAGACGCAGCTCACCAGTCATCCTGCTGCTTCTTCGACCTCCGCTTCTCGTTCCGCTTCCTTCGCTTCTCCTCCCGTTCCCGCTCCTCCTCTTCCTTGTGCTTCTCTAACCTCTTATCTAGATCCGTCTCATCCACCCTGGATTCCTCCTTCCTCTTCCTGCTGAGATATCGTAGCCGTTCCCTCACATCGTCCAGTGTGGCCTTCACCACTTCGGCGGACTGCCCACTCCTCGCCAAGTGTCCCGGAGAATTAATGTGTTCGATGTACTCGTGGTTATTGAAGAAGGAGAGGTCGCATATCTAAGGTAATCAGCGTCAGCATCGCCTCTCATATAGATATTCGAACCTTTACGTACCGAACAAACGAAGCCAACTCCGCTCTTACGACCCACCCCGCCACCTGTTACAATCTGTGTTGTTCCTATTCGTGACTGGACGTCTAGCCTGGCTTCTCGCGCTGTCGTCATGCGCACATCCTCAGGCGTAGAAGCCCGGCGGTGGTACTTCTTGCCAGCCATCTTGGCTTCATATCTGGCCTTCGATTCTTCCTTCTCCTTCGCTTCTCGTTCTTTCGCGCGGCGGGCATATTCTTCGCGGTCGTATGTCTTGCGGAAATCTGTGTCGCCGCCGCCTCCGCCGTACGCGCCCTTGCGGTCCGCCATGCTGTGTAATTTGAAGGAAGTGCAGTCGAAGAGGCGATTCGGAACACGAAACGGACGCGTCTGTCTCTTTTTGAATAATAGGTATACGGTGGATGCGGTGGGCTGGAAGTGTGGTCGGCGAACCCGCAAGAGTCGAATGTCGAAAGTTTGGAGCTTGGGCCAGGCGGGAGGTAGCCTGTTTCGGACTAGCTCGTAATGACGAGCAAGGTGAATGCTTTCAAGGTCTTGTGTGTTGAGTTAAACTTCATTGTCGGTATCTCGGGAAAGATGCAGAGGAGAATAATTGTTTCATTCCATTAGGACTTTTCTATCTTGCGGTAGATATTGGATTGAATATTCATTCCCTTCCACTCCAAAAACTGGACTTCAGCTGGAAAGAGCATATCTGACCACCGAAGGAACCGAAAACTCCTCGCTATGCTTGATACCTCATAAGCAGCATGCCCGCCAAAACCCCAGAAGCTCTGACCTGGCTGGTCTGAGGGGAGAAGGGTAAAACGCCATGATAATGCTGAGTCGTCCGATGTTTTGCCGTCTTCCGCTACGCTCGTGAAATGAATGATAGCGCTTGTCGATGGTGCGAGCAGGAGAGCCGTCTAGCAGAAAGGAAAGCTGCTGGGTAAAGGGAGAGTCCATCAAAAAGGATACATCCCCGGCGGACGAGGATACCCACCACCAATAGGCGGGGTTGGCACTGGCGGCGGCCCTCTCATCACTCGCCCTACAACGGCATGCATTGGCTCTTCCCTATGCCGTCCCCGTTCTGGTGGTGCAGCGGATGCCTCTCGCCTCTTCTTCTTCTTCTCCTTCCCCAGCCTCGAATGGTCCATGTATCCCCTATCCGCGTACCCCGCAGCAGCGAATGGCGGCTCTATTACTCTGGGCGACCTTTCGCTCGGCAGCCGCAGCTCCACTAGGCTGTAAAAGTAGTCCAGGACTTCCGGGTAGCGCAACACGGATGCGCGCCAGTCGGCGTCGATTCCCCGCTTCAGCTCGGCGTGCGCTTCTGCGATCTGCCGCTGAAGCTGGTCGATGTACGCCGGGTGTATGGGCGGATGGCCCGAGTATTGCATGTAGATGCTGTAATTAGGGAGGGATGCGAGGTAGGCGGAATGCGCTTGCTTGCGCGTCGATGTTAGGCGTTCGAAGGCGTTGAGGATGTGCTGCCGCGCATGCGAAATCACCCAGTCGCTGCCCACTTATCAGTTCCAACAGAGCCGAGATGAAGATTGAGGGGGGCGCACCGTATCTCCGCCAGCTTCTCCTCCATCGCCCGCTGCTCGGCCTGCTTGACCGCAATCTGCAAGCGCTCCGACTCGCAGGGACATTCTGGATAGGCGGGCGCATTACAAATGGCACAGTTCGGGGCCGCGTCCATCTCAGCACGATGTCAACGAAGTTGCTCTGGCATTATTACCGAACATGCAGTGTGCGCAAAACAGTGCGATAGAAGCCCGCTGGTGGAGAGACGGGGCACAGCGGTTGAAGGAGTGGAGTGAGGTTTCGTCTGAACCCAAGCGGTTTCACGGCAAACGTTGAGGCGAATCGCAGGCCTTAAGCTGGAGGACGGCAGAGGCGAAGGCGGTGACGGGATACATGATACATGATGCTGTGGAGGGACGAGGCGAACAGGAATTGGCTAGCTGTGCGGCTTATGGAATGCCATTCTGTATTGGACAGCTGTGCGATGCGTGGATGCGTTGGCAGACCGCTAGCCTGCCGGACAGACGTTCGCGCGGGGACGCCAAGGCGGGTATCTCATCTCGAGGGGACGACGATGATCGATTAATCCCAGACAGAGAGCATTGCAGAGCCTCTTTCAGCACGGTCATTACGATATCCTGCTTGGGGGGTTAGTATGGTGTCTTATCGGAGGACGACGTTGGCGAACTCACCCCGCCCCCCGGCCTTTCGCACCAGAACGCACCACATCCCGACGCATGCATGACCGGTTGAGCGCCAATCAGGTTCGAAGCACCCGGTGGCGAGGTAAGACGTTGAGAACGAGCTTCTAGAGAAGAGAAAGAGCACGGCAAGTCGGCCGCACAAGAAGCACTGCCGTTCTTATAGCGAGCGCTGCTTCAGGCATCAACGTTTCGCGAAGGATTTGGCCCAAGTAGGGCCTAAGGCAGCCACACTTCTTCTTTCCTCCTGTATTACCTATAGCCCTCCCGTTCGGTTTGACCTCGTCCTCGGCTCTGTCACTATAGAACCCACCGTCCCCATCCTACTACGCCTACCAGAAGAGCTTCGCCACTAGGTGCTTTCCTATTGCGACTCCTCTGCTGTCTTGCATCTCTGCCTAACATCCAAGGCGGTATACGATGTTTGCGTAAGCACCACCTGAGCAGGCCCCTCTCTATCTGCTGAAGGCCTCCGGGACTGGCTTTACTCCGCTAACGTTCCACAATAGATCCATTCCCTGTTCCACACCCTTGACCTTAGCTTCCACAACAGCGAGGAATGGGGAACACATAGGACGTATTGCAACAGCAAAGTTCCATCCGACCACATAAAGCTTTGCCTGGAGGACCGAGAAGCGTCTGTTACCTGGAGGCAGCGAAAGCTGTTGGAACTGCTCAATGACCATCTCGACCTGGGACGCCGGGGCCGCGTTCTCCGCTGGACGCTGGCGAACACCGATGACCGCTACTCCGATCGGGATGACATTCGGAACTCTCGTGACGGCTTCAATCATGGAACATGTAGGCTCTCTCCTTTCAGATAGTAGTCATACTGACGATAGAAGATGATCTCTGGGGAGCGTTTACATGCTTTACTAGGATTACTACGATTGATCTCGCCTTCATGACGTGCGTTACCACCCCAATGCTGCTCGAACGTTGAGACGCTAATAGAGCCTCCGGGCAGTGCACGCGGCGAATTTGATCCTCCACCTCCATCGCTCTTCAGCACTGCAACCTCCGTCAGTCTAAGTGGCATTGCATCGATTACGGTGATCTCCACGATCCTTAACTCTATCGACCCGTCGAAGCTCCGTCACCTCCGCTTCAACAACCTCCAAACATTCCAAGACCCACCTCAGAATTTAGGCATCTTAAGCGACAGCGAAATTGCATCTCACCGACGCCATCGCCACGGAGTAGCTCAAGGCTTCCTCGCCGACTTGACGGGACGCTGCACAGTTCTCAGAAGCTTCCATCTGCTAACTACAGCCGAGCTCGTCGAGGGCTCGACTATTTGGTTTATGCGACGCTCGAGATCCTGGCTAGATGATGTAGCGGACGATAACCGTTGGTACGCAGAAATCGGCGCCTTCATCGATTCCGTTAAACCTACCCTGCGCGAGCTGCTTTTCGAGCACGGGCCAGACATTGATTACGCGCCCTACAGACAGTGCCATCCCGTCTTTGCTGGGCCGAGTCACGATGCGCGTCTGCCGATGGATATATATTTCGACAGTCATATCCTACCGGTGCTGGTATCCAGGCCGTGGCCGAGCTTGCGAAGGATGACTGTGAAGGGGATGGGGCACTGGAAGCCGATTGATCCCTGGAAGGAGGACGCGACGCCGGATGAGATAAGATGGCTTCATAAGAAAACCAGAGAGTTCCGGGACAAGGTTGTGATGCTATGGGATGCGGTTGGAGAGGGTTGTGAGGTGGTTGTTGAGGATGAGGCTAGTCGGCCGTTCTACAGGTTTCAGTCGGATAGGACCGTGAGCGGCAGGGCGCATAATGATGATTGACATGCCATACGTGCTATTGGAGTATTACCATCATTGGCCCCAGGGAAGAACGGCTCGTCCATACAAGTACCCTCCATCAGCTACAGAGCATCACACAATCTGCATATCTACAATCTAGCGAAAGTTTCGCACTTTACAAATATCCTGAAGCCTCTCAAGGCCCTTGCCGCCGGCCTATCCGCGGATGCACTTTAACGCTTCAAAGCTGGGAAGCCGCCCCTACGCGCCTGCCTTGCTGGTCAATTCTGTCTCGCTAAACTCCTCCAGGCTTTCTCCCCACACTCATAACTTCTGACCGTACTCCGGCATGACATCAAATTTCATCCCTTCTATTCTTCCATACTCCCATCAGCCTGGCATGATTCGAACACTATAGCGCGTAAGCGGCTACCATCGGACCGACACCCACCGATCCCATCCGTAAACCTCGCATTCAATACCTTACCCTCCGATAAACGGCGCCCGCGACGTCATCTCACTCCTCATCTATGCAAGTCGCTGCTGACGGCTAGACCTGCCGGATGCGCCTGGCACGCGTCCTCGCAAACTGCTGCCCCAACCACCCCACAAAGGCGGCGTTTAGCGGTCGACCAGCTTCTAGAAGAATACCGGCCAATGAAGGAATTATCCGGCGATGACTGTGCAGTTGGTGCAAATGCCAAGTGTGGGTTTGTCAGCCGATGAACAGCTGTGGAGGGGTAGCCGGCTTTTGGGAGGGATAGGCGAGGGGTATTAGAAGGGTAAGAAACAGCACATGTCGAGATATATTTCGAAATCCTCTTCCAAGTCCAGGGGATAGAAAAGAGCGCGCACCTCGGGCAATGATCCAAGTCGTCGAATTTCAGTTTATGGAACTGCGACGACTGACAGCACATCCACAGTAACGTCTTTCTCAAAGCATTTCCCACCCCGGGACACGAACAGCCGTCAATCGCGCTGCTCGACGGATAGTGTACCGCGGTAAGAATCACCTTACTCAGCGGTTAAGCTTAAGATCCTTTGACAGCCGCGTGTTCCCTCGGAAAAGCCTAGCATAGAAGCTCGGGCCACCGCGCCCTTCAACTTGATCAGTTGTCCCAAATTAGCTAGTAGCTGCGCCTTACTCGTTTGGGACGAAGAGTCACAGGCATGGCGTCCTAACTCTCGTCTTCAGGCTCACTTTTCTCACGGCACCTCCATGTTTCTTACATATCACCTATTTCCCCCGCATTATCGTCATTCCGGAGGGCGCAATTGTTTCGAATCAATCATCCACAGGGCGGGTCGTTGATAGCCCTCGCTTGTCGGCGTGGTCGATTGACGCCGCCATTATGGCTACTCCCAACGTAGCCTCTGATATGGCTCAATTCTTCGATTTTGGGGAAGCTGCCATGCCGAATACGTCCCAGCAGCCGAGCGGGCAAGTTCTGGCGACGGAAGACCACCGTGTTGGATGTCCCGCTCATGGCCAAGATGGTAATGAAGGGTAAGTCTGATTTCCGAACACCAATGCATTTTTTGGTCTTGAGTCCACGGCATCCTCCTCAACTCTGTGGACGCCAATTAGTCTCCCACTTTTTAGCCCTCTGCTCCTGCTAGCACCCCATCCAGTTCTTTCCTGTTGTTCCGGCAGAGCTTGGATAAGGAGCGGGGCAATTCAATCTTCCTTGGTCCATCTTGATCTTTCCCCATAAGTTCTCAATACGTTCTCTGGAATATTCACCGTCGATGAGTCTTCATCGCTCGTCCTCTGAATGGAGCGTCTAATGATAGCTCGGTCCCACAGCGGACTTGCTCTTCTTTTTTCGAATATCATTCTGATTATCTTCAGGTGTCTCTGTCGCGTCTTCGACGAGGACTTCGCTCTCCTGGACCAAATCCCAGATGGAGTGCCGGTGACAGAAGAGTTCATCACCGACTTTTCTAGTTGGCTGCCTCGATACCACAAGCCTGCCCAGCCTTGCGACTACTGTCGTTCGAAGTCCCTCGAATGCTTTATCTACAATGCTAAGGACGGAACATCCTCCGGATGTTCACCCTGCAACGCCCTGTTCCGGCCGTGTAGCTTCAGCAACCCCGAAAAGATGCCCCTGCAAAAGTCGAAGACGGCACTTGACACATTAGACGTTGTGACCGAGAACAACGAGCACCTCTTCGGCGGCCTTACGGGCAAGAAGCCCATGCGCTGTCTGGGTCACATGGGCCCAATAGAAGATGATGGGCCGCCGGATAAGCCTAAGAAGGGTGCCGCAGCTGCTCGATTTCCTCGTGCAGCAGTCAAGATCCTGAAAGACTGGATGATCGAGCATATTGACCACCCATACCCCACCGACGAGGTACGTACGTCGCGGTACGCCTTTCGCATGTCTCAGCTTTCAACTACGAAAAGCTCCTCCTGGAGGTTTTTAACCCGTACACGCCTAAGGCATGCTAGGGTGTTAACTTTCGTTCCCCTTATTCTATGACATTTGCTAAATGGATCGCCATCTTTACAGGAGAAAGAAGCACTGAAGCTGGAAACTGGGCTTACCCTCAGCCAAATTTCGAACTGGATGGCGAACACTCGGCGAAGGCAGAAGGCTCGCCCGAAGCGAAGCGCATCGCCAAGTATCAGACCGTCAACAGAAGCGATCAATATACCACCGGGCCGAACCTGGGAATCTCTGAGTACGTATACCTCTGAGCCTGGCAGAGCCCCACCTCCGACGAGCAACGGAGCCTTCATCAAGTTCCGCCTTGATAGTCGAGGCGGCCTTCCGCCCATTAACCCACAGAGCTCACACACGGCCCCAATTAGCCGTGTACCCGCCCTACAGCAAAAGGAGTGTATCGGTTAACTCGCGACAGATCCCTTCGAACGATGGAAGCACTCTCCCCCCGAGAACGAACCAGCTCCTATGACAGCTATCGTGCGCGCCGTTGAGACATTCGATCCACCGGAACCGCTCAGCTCGTCGAGCAGCTACCGCAAAGACCATTCAAACGACAGTACCGGCAGCTTCTCGGTCTTCCGTGCTCCGTCTACGACCTCTCTGGAAACTGGTCTCACAGGCATGTCGTCTGGAACGACCGGCTCCCATAACTCCGCTTACTCGCACGGTTCAAAACATTCTTTCGGTTCTATGAACAGCTTGAAGTCCAAGGAGAGGCGCCGACGCCGACGTATGCCAACTCGAACGCCCAAGCACTCCCTAGATGAGGGCCCAAGGTTGTTTCAGTGCACATTCTGCACCGACCGCTTCAAGTCTAAGTACGACTGGTCTCGCCACGAGAAGTCACTCCACCTGTCGCTCGAGGTAAGGAGGTCGCGATACATTCTACTCTGTCTTATTTCAATCGCGGAAAGCCCCACTCATGGGCCTCCCGCAGGCAAAAGAAATACCACAGGGTTTACTCAGTATGTCTCAGCTTTCACCTATAGAAAGCTCTTCCTCAAGGCCTTCAACAGGTAATGACCTGAGACGTACTAGAGTGTCAACTTTCCTCCTGCCCCTTGATCTGAGACCTCAGCTAATTGTACCACCAGAAATGGATCTGCGCTCCTTTGGGTGAGGTCATCACTTGTTCGGCATCTGGGCAGCGTAAGTGCGTATATTGCGATACCCTCGACCCCAGCAAGGAGCACCTCGAGATTCACAACTATCGATCCTGCGAAGAGAAGGGCTTGGAATCGCGAACGTTCTACCGGAAGGATCACTTAAGGCAGCATTTGCGGTTGATGTGAGTATTCTCTTTATCCGACAGAGGAAAGCCATCCCTGAAGGCATTCATGGGATAGCGTACTGCAACCCAGCTCTCCATACTAACGTTCCACTCCCAGGCACGGCTGCAAGATGCTCCCCAGCATGGATTCATGGAAGTCGGAAGCGCAGTACGTCAAGTCGCGCTGCGGATTCTGCGGCATGAACTTCGACAAGTGGCAGGACAGGGCAGATCACTTAGCGAAAGAATTCAGGAACGGAGCAACTATGAAAGATTGGAAGGGATGCAGGGGCCTGGACCCGCACGTCGCCGCCCATGTCACCAACGCGATGCCACCCTACCTCATCTCCAATGAGAGCAAATCGCCCTTCCCCTTCTCTGCTTCCAACTCGGCCTCAATGAAGCACCCCACCTTGGATATCCAACAAACTGATCTCGAGTTCCTCCTACCGGGGGATACGATCAACCACATGCCCGGTGTTTACATGCCTTCTTCAGGGAATTTGAGCGGTGTGGGCATGGACAATTCCTCTTCCGTCAGCCCAAGGGGACCAAACAACACGCCTCAGACTGCTGCCACCTCCTCTTCGGTATCTCCGAACCTCAGTAATGTTGCGACATGTTGGGAGATCTTGACCCTCCGGCTAGGCCGCTTTGCGCGACAGCATATTGAACAGAATGGTCCCAGATCCGTCACCGACAGCATGCTTCAACGTGAGGCCCGCCTGATTCTCTACGAGGAGGACGACCCATGGCACCAGACCGCTGCCGACAACCCTGAGTGGCTCAATCTGTTCAAGAAGGCCCATGGCATTGATGACTCGCTTCCGCTGCCTGGCGTTGCTTCCCAGCATGAGATTTTCGAGGACCTCGGGGTAAGGCCTGATGCACGATTGGATCAGAGCTTCAATCTCGGCAACTTCGAATGTGTACGCAAGAACCAGGACAATCCTGCGACTCGCTCCTTTGCTTTTGAGTGCTCGCTCTCGGGGAGTATGGCGATGTCGAGGGCTGGCCAGGGGACAGTTCCATTCAGCCTTCCCACTCTCACTACTTCGACCACGACATCTGGTGCTTCCAATTTGCCTACGACTACTTTTGCTGACCTGCAAGGGCTCAATGGCCCCATCTCCGAGCTAGAGTGTGTAGACGCTCCAGGCGGTCTCTGCATTGGCGAAGATGGCGAGCTGGGTCTTGCAACAGCTCAGGGAACCTGTGCCCGGTCTACTTCCGCCCAAGAACTCACTGCCACAAAAGCACTCGATTCCTTCATGACGCCTATCACCGAGACGTCTTGCACTGCCGCTGGTGAGCCCATCCAAGCAGACTTTGGATTCCCAGCTTGGGATCAGCTCGGTGACGATTTCGATCTTAGTACCACAAGTGCTGGTCTGAGCTCTAGCGTCCCCGTGACTTCCGGCTTTGGGGGGGTGCTCGCGAGCGGAGCGGAAGCCATCCAAGGTCGCATGGGCAGTCCACAGGTTATGCGCTGGGACGACCACGAGCTCGGGTTCAACTTTGATATAGACATGGATCTAGATAACAGCGTGGATATTTTGAACTTGATGGGGGCTAATTAGGGAGTCGGGATTCTTTTCTTTCTGGCGCTTTCCCCTTCAGCAGCATACCGGCGCTTGCCGCATTGTCGTATTTTTGCCTTCTGCAACGCGTCTGGGATAAAGGGGCATGGATGGCGGGGGGCGTCTCTGGAAATTTCAAAAATGATGTCACGGTCGCTTGGGATGGGGTTCGACGTATGAGCTCGACGCGAAATTGGTAGTTGTAATGCTAATCAACGGACACATCTACTCTCATCACGCATTTTGGGCGTTAAGTGACGCAGCTCCAGAATACTGTTTCTCTCTGTGTCCCGGTTATAGCTCCACAAGTGAGCTGACGCGTGCTTGAAGTGGGCCTTTTGGTCTTCATCCCGGTTTAGTTTAATGCTGTGATATATCTTAGGGTATATATAAACCTCGCCTTCCTTCCAGAATCCCACACGGTGCCACTGCGCTCAGTATGTGCTCCCGGCGTACAAGAAGCTTGATCTGGGACTATGTATGCAGCTCTCCAAAAGCCTTCTATGATCGCTACGGTGGTACAAATGAGTAGGAGCCATTAGTGGATGAAGGAAAAATCACAGCGCAAATCATCCATGAGTGCAGCCCCGAACCTGTTTATTGAGGTCTAGAAGGGTGCTTATCAAAAGGGAATGAGTGATGAGCTTCTTTCATCTACTGGCCTGTTTCTCTGTTTAAAGGAGGAGGGAGAGGGGGGTTTGAAGGGAAGTTGAGGTATATAATGCACTTCACGCATCCTCATCATCCCCCACAGGAAATTCCTTCCCTGTTTCTAAAAAGACCACAGGAACAGTTCCATGGAGCGATCTTGGTTCAAAAAATTGCATTCCGGGTCTATGCTCCGTCTTCCTTCTCCCGCCAGAGGTACATATTCCCCTTCCTTCCTCTCTACCTCTGGCATTCCCACATAATCGCGGTCGTTCGCACTAAAAAGACGATGCCAAGTTCGACATGGAGCAGTTTGTGGTCAAAAAGTCGCAGCAATGGCACGCTATGGTGCCTGTCTAAAAGGATTCGATTCATCATACACGCTGCAAAAAGTTCCACCTTTTGGATATGTGGGGTGTGAAGATCACCGCTGCTAACGCACAGCACAGGGGCATTTCAAGAACGGGGACGGGACGCGTGTGTCGTCGAAACAAAACACAAGTCGGTAGAGAAGCCATGAGTGAGTGACCAACGCGCCGTGAAGCCTTCAACGCCCTAGAAAGCACATTGGATACTCACTCCGCATCGCACGCCCACTTCTCAACCCACCTTTCTTACTCGCTGCAGACGCTACTGACGACGATGAGTTCCGCATTCTCCTCGCTATTAGTCTCCCCGCAAACTCTTAACCCTCAGCCGCGCACTAAAACCAGTGGAAGCCGACTTTAATGGAGACCGTGTGTCCTAAAAGCCTTACGTGAGCATCCTATGCCCCGGTGCGTGGATCTGGGAGTCTGTCTAAAAGCCGCGGATACCTTTTTTGATGAGCAGCCTCCCGCCTGGTCACCGAGCAAAACATGCCGTACAGAACGGCTATGTTTTAGAAAACGTACGCTGTTGGGCATACATCAGTTCGGCATCGTCGAGCGGCAGTCAGTACGAAGATGTTCGCCACGATACCCAGCACTTCCTCAACCACATCCACTCGCCATGGAAGATACACGAAGCGCCCAGACTCCACCTTCGGCCAGCTCCGCGCCCTACCTACCTACCGCCTCCCGTATCCCCATCCCCATCCCCATCCGGCTCCAGACCCATCAGTGCGGAGTGCATACACGTCGCCGTCGCCCGCCCGCAAAAATAAAGCCCCTAGAACCTTCCAATCACCTCATGCGGAAAGGGGAAAAATCACCCCAAAAGTAACCTGACCTGACATCAGTCGACTTCCTTCCCCCAACCCAAACGCGACAACTCATCGCGTGCTCGCCCGCCCGCCACATCCGGCCGCGAAAGCCGTGGTTTGTAATTGGCTGGACACGAGGAAAAGGAAGGGAGGGAAGGTAGGATTGCGCGGGAGTTCTCGGAAGGAAGGGACTTGATGCCGCACCGCGCCGCAGCGCACCCCTGATCCGATCGCGCGCGAGCTCGAGCTCGGGCTGTAGGGCTGAAGAATAAATGTAAGGGAGGGGAAGGGATGTAGCGAGTGCGGATCCTTGTCTTGCTGAAACGTTGATTTTACTGGAGGGCGTTAACCTGGGGTACGGCAAGGGTGGGTTTGTGGGCAAGGCCGGCGATGATGAATTGCATGGTGACGTGAGGGCTTGGCGTGGGTGAGTACTTCGTATGGACTTCGTATGTACCGGGCTTGTGGGATGGGATGGGAATGAGGCGAAGAATGGTGGTGGTGGGTGCGCTTCGCCCTCTACAGGGCTGAGATTGAAAGCGATGCGTTTCCGGGAGTTCAGGAGAATGACGCCTTATCGAACGCGCGTTCTGTCCGGTGAGCAACAAGATGATCTAGGGGAGTGCTGATTGGCTAGCGCTTTCCAATGGCAGGTCCTCCACTCTAGTCCCGACTTTCCAATCCAAACTCCATTTCCAGCCTTGCCTTGAAGCTTTTGTACAGCGCTCAACTCAACTCAAGTCCACAGGGGCTCGCCCGTTACCTCCAAAAAAAAAAAAACCTACACCGCGTTCTGCACTCGCTGTCCACCCGTCACCGCCAGATGTCCCAACTGGGCACTACGTATGTAACACAGCGCCGGTGAGTGAACGACCCCCAACGTCCCGCCTGCCCCATTCGTACGCGACGTCAGCAGGACCGCAGTATCTTCCAGGCGAAGAAAAAAACGATCTGCCCTGCCTAGGTGGGTGGGATCAAGCTTCGCTGGAAAAAGCGCCCGCATGAAAAGGCAGAAAGCAGGCTGAGAGCCTCAATTAAGGCAAACGAGGGAAAAAAAGGCGTCTTTGAGAAACCTTGGCTGGCGTGTGTCATGAATGGATAGAGTTGGCTGAATCAACGAGCGGTGGATGAACGCGTCGCACAGAAAGTTTATTCTCCGATGGATGGGACTGTTGGGATTGCTATGTTGTTGGTTTCGTGAAGAGCCGATCTGCCGGCAGGTCAATTGCACCTCGTTCTGGGATGTATTGGACTGGTCTATGCGCCGGATTCGCTGCACACAGCCAAACAGTGCGGAGGAAGAAACAACGCGAGTAGCGTCGTCGTCTACTATGGCGTTTGTGAGTTATGACCCCCGCCCGGTACATACAAGTCCGCCTACCTCAAACCCGCGACCGATCCAGCCACATCCCCAAATCGCAACCTACACCCCATACCACCAATCACAGCGAGGGGCGTCAGGTCACGCAAAATGCATCTGCATCTGCATCTGCAGCTGCAGGCGTTGGTGTCGAGGCTAGCGTTGTGGGGATGTGGATGCGGATGCGATGTGGAGGAGGCAAGTCAGGCACAGGCTGCGATTCGACTCCACCCGCGCGACTACAGCGTATGCCGTATGGGACGGAATGAATTCCTCACTCACTTTGCCATGGAACTTCACGAATGGACGGACGGAATCCTGAAGCTTTCGACTGTGTGTTTGGGTGGTCTGCTGGGGTGAGGCAGAAACACAGTAGAGTGTATGCCTCGCTCTCGCTCTCGCTCTCGCTGTCCAGCATCCAGTTCAGCATCCAGTTCAGCAAGGCATCTCTCTTCCCCATCCCAACGCCCTTCCCAAACTCCATCCCATTCCATCCCATCCCGTCCTCCTCAACTGCACTCGTCCTCAACCGGGTCGCCTCCGCACCTTACCTTAAGATACAGAACAGTATGTTACCTGTCGCGAAGCGGAAACGGCCGTGCATGAGACATTTTCGCCATTGGCGCAGCACGTCCAACGCGATACTGCAGCGCGACAGCAGCGCCGCTAATTCGTTCGTCGGCGCAGGCCGCGACCCCGATGGGAGGCTGTGCTTGCTGTCCTGCTCGTTGCTTGCTTGCGTCCTGTCCTGGGACTCGAGTCCGGCCGGCGTGCGTGGGTGGCCGAGTGGTCACGCTGGAAATCCTGCCGGCTGGCTGGATGCCGCCTGTACCGTAAGCTGGATGACAATGACATAGCTGAAGGGCGTCGGCTGCAACGCCGTCGTGGGAATAAAACTTTGCCTTCTGTCCGCGAATGAACCGGTGGGTTGCGCAGTTGGTAGTGCATTTTGGGGGTGTTCGTGGTGTAGGGTGGTGGTGGCTGGCTAGACGTCCATGGCCGCAAAAAGCAGCGCGGAAGGCGAAAGGGTGCTGTGCCTGCGCCGCCGTCGCGAGCTGGACGGGTAGTGATAGGATAATTGTCGGCGGCACCTGCACGAGGAAGCGGTAAGATCGCTGGCAGGGTCGCTGGCAGTAACGACAGTCAAATCACGGTTCGTGCAGAAAACTCTGCTGCAGCATCTGGGACCGTGAATGGCGGAGGGTGGGATTTGTGCATCGACTTTCCGCGTCAGCCCTGCAGCGATGGACGTCACTGCATCGCATCAGCGACACCCATGAGCGCCAACGGCTTAGCGATTGCTGCTCCGCTGCACCTCAGCAGATGGAATATTCTGCACCTGCATTTACGGCGAGCGACAATATGTGAGAACATGTTATAATATTCCGAATCAGGAATTTCCAAACGATATGCAACGCCAAATGCCCGGTCTATAGTTTTGAGCACCCCCACCATGCAGGCTAACCCACCCACTCTTGAGAAAGGAACACCGCCGACATGTTATGTACGAATATGCTCGCTGGTGCCAACCAGAAGCAAGCGACGAAAGAAACGAGGTGCTATGGAACAGGGCCTCGAACGCGGAAAGCGGAACAAGGTTCGGGCCGGGTGTGGAATATACACAGGCGACCGAGGTCGGAAAGGTGCCGTGTCGGCGGTAAAGGTTGCTAACTAGAAATAACGATTGTGAAGTCCAAGTAGGTGGATAAAGTGCACCGGGCGTCATGACTCATGGCGTCGTGAGAGTGACTGCGCGGGGGCAGTACACAGTAGCTGGGGGCGAACTACTGCAGGAAGGAGAAGTCGTACGGAGCGAAGCCGGCGAATGCGGCGGTGTTGTTCTCGTACAACCAGGGGTCGTTCGAGGCGACATCGTCGATGTTATTTGGCATGGCAATGGCCTGCGTCTCGCTATAGTTGGTCAGACCGCTGCTGGCCGCTGAAATTGACGTTGCGCTCATAGCCTTCGAAAAGTCAAGCTCGAGCGCCTGGGAATCTGGAGTAGAGCTTTGCGGGGCCGATGTAGGCGTGCGATTCTCAATAGCCGCCGATGTTGCCAGACGGTACACAGGACTGTCTTCCCAGAACAGGGACTCGCTGGTTGTGGACTGCGGGGCTCTGAAGTCGACATCACCAAACAATGCCGGATCACCCATCTCGGACGGCGATGAGGAGGATGCCGTCAGACCAGGAGCACTCTGTTTAGACTCGCCGCTCTGCGAAATAGGCTGTACGAAGCTGTCGGCTAGCTTGCTGGGATTAAGCGGGAGATCGGTGGCAGACCAGGTCGGATTGGTCAATCCAGCGGATGGAATTGCCCACTCGGTGTCGAGGTTAGGGAGACAGTCTTGCGACGGCGACGTTGAGAGACTTCCGAGGCCGAAGTTGCGGTTTGTAGACGTGAGACTGCTTGCCCAGGGCCACTGCGATGCAGCCATGGACTCGCTCAGCTGGCTCTCGGTAGGCGAATGACCACCCTGACCAAACGCCGAGTTCTGGCTGGTGAACAGCGAGTCCTGGGTGCCGTTGACGTCCAAGCTTCCCGTGACCGGCGTCGGGGGCAAACCGTTCTCTGCAGCGTTTGTACCGGAACCAAACATGGCGTAGAAGTCGGTATTCGACAGGGAGAGCGTGTCCATAGAGCGTGCAGCTGCGGCGCCTCCCTGCCCGTAGCCGTTGCCCTGTCCGAGAGCGGCAAAATCAGCATGGCCGTGGAGCGTATGCGGTCGCGGAATCTTGTAGGGCATGCCTGAGACGTGGGCGGTGTTGTTGTTGCGGTGGCACGGCTTGTGGTGGCCATTCGCGAAGACGGTCAGGGTGCTTTCCGAGTGGGTTGAGGTGAGCTTTGGCTTCGCACGCGCGTCGTGGAGAGTTTGCCTGCTGGTGTCGAGGCGGAGGTCGAGGCGGAGGTCGATGGGCTCTTTCTTGATGCCGCAGATGCATTTGGCGCCCGAGTGGCAGTTGCAGCGGTTGTCATGGGCTGTGTCATCATTAGAGGCCTCGTCGGAATCGGAACCGGCTCGCAGCATACCCTTCGCGTCGCCCTTGTCTTTGTGCTTGTCCTTCTTGTCGCCACAATCGCACTTGGCGTGGTGGGACTTGGACTTGCGCGCGCCGCGACAGTGCTCGCATTGCTTGACAGGACGACCCTTGGGGTTGATGTGATGCAGTTCTCGATCTGTGGCGGGTGGGGTTAGCATGCGGTTTCGTTTTCGCAGAGGCGTCGGGCTGGGACAGGGACATACCAGTGTGGTTGCAGCCGCTCACGCGGTGGCCCTTGATGCAGGAAGAGCATGCGAATTTCTCGCCATCGATCAGAGGCATGCCGGGGCAGTCACGGCCGGTCGCGGTCGTCGCACGAGGCTAGCGGCAGCCGAGCGGTGGTGGTGGTGCAGCACGAGGCCAACAGGCTAAAGACGAAGCAGAAGGAAGGTAGACGGCGCGGCGCAGAAGGCTGCGGACGGGCGGACAAAGAGCGAACAAGAACGAACAGCGCGAGAGTTGGTCGAAGCAAACGCCGGAGGGTATCTCTTCCAATGGTAAGAATAGGCCGCGAGGGCTAGCTGGACGAAGACCGTGAACGCCGGGAACGACACCGAGTGGAGGGCAGAGTGGAGAGCGGAGACGGGGAGAGAGAGGTAGGGAGACCGAGCCGTGCACCAAGAGGCGCTGGCCGTACGCGTGGGAGCTGGGCTACCGTGAAGAGGCCAAAACGGCAGATTTGCGTTGGGTATTCGGCGGTGGAGGAGGTGTCTGGAGGAGAGGATGGGAGTGCGGCGAGAGAGAGCCGCTAAGTACGCGACGACCCGCCAGTTGCGACGAGCTATGCCGGCCTGGGCAAGATGACCTCGAGCTGCATGCACGGGCCCCGCCGCCGATTCTTTTTCTTTACGACGACGCCCGGCCGAGCTGGCAGTGGTCAGGCCTCGCGAACCCTGCTGCTGCGGGCTGCCTTGATCAGACGCCTAGCGTGGGAGGTGGTGGCATGCAGCGAGGCGGCCGCCCTCCAGCGCTCCCCAGCCGCTCGCTCGCTGGCCGCCTTTCACCGCCGCGCCGCTCGCCGTCTCGCTCGCCGCGCACTGTCGCTGGAGCGCCGATGACTTGCAGCCCTGGAGTCGCTGCCGAGTACGAGATCGCGCTTCGACACTGGACAGCTTCGCGCCAGGGCCGCATCCGACGACGACGGCTGCGAGCCTGCCTCTCGACGCTGGAGACGCCGCGGGCACAGTGTTTCGTGACAGACCGCAAACCCGCGGGCGCTTCATGTCGCCCTTCGTGACAGCGGGCGTGACGGGCGGCCATCCCTGGCCCGTTGCCAAGGCGAAGATCGAGTTATTGTGTGCAGCAATAGTGCCCAGTGGATATGAGCCTCCTAGCCACGACCACTGCTTTCAGGTACATTACATTGCGGGCTTGTCTATCGCCGTGCACCAGCCCCGGAGCGCGACACGCTGAGCCGCCATCGTCAAGCCTCACTGATTGCCATGCTGGATGGTGCACAGAACCCGGCTGCAGCGTCAAGACGGAAGATAATGTCGATCGACGGACAAGCCTATTGCCAATCTTTGGCACCGCTCAGCGTGAAACATTCGCTATATCGATTGTCCGTGATAGTTTGGTCGCTATCCGGCTCGCTATATGATGCTAGATTCGAGTTTCCTTGCGCCTGTCGTGGCAGCCTTGGGGGAGCTTTGTATGGCCACAATAAGGTGCCGAGCTGGTAGAGGAGACAGGTGACGCGAAGAAGCACCAGAAACACTATTCGGCAGCCGGGCAATCTTGTGCTCGAAGACTGATATTGCCGTGGTGTCTGGACGTCCGGTGAAGCTGATGTCTGTGGCACCTCAACCAGGCAGAGTGTGCTACCTACGGCCATGTTCGAAGCGCTTGAATGGGCATGCCATCTGACCAAACAACTGCAGTGCTATTAGGAGCCACACAGAGACCAAATATAAGCGGGTGTACTTTGCAGAAGTACCGGTAGAGAAACGGAGGGTGGTCAACAGAGCCCAGGCACGGCGCGTCGCCTCTTTGCCGGGTAGGGCGATGGATAAATCGAGCGACGTCGGCCACGGTGCTTAATCTCGTGCACTGTGGATGCGTTTCGGTCTCCTGTAGATAGGACCGCACGATTGCAGTCTCATAGGCCAAGCGCAATGAATACGCTGATCATGGTGATGGTAGCGCAGGGCCGCTCTTCTTCGGAGGCTCAGGTTGTTCCGACAGCGACTTCATCGCCCGCCCAAAGGGCCTGCTCCGGACGAACAGAGCATGCAAAAACATGCCGGATTGCCCATTGACCTGTAGCAACCACAATCATGTCCACCCGCAGCCCCAGCGTACCTGGGAGTTGTTCCCATTTTTCCCGCGCTAGTACGAAACCTGTAAAGTGCCGCTCGCGCAGGACCCTCGGCCCTCCAACTGCACGTCCTCGCTCACAACACCACCGAACCCGCCTGGCAGCGCGCCATCACCACCGCCCCCGCACACCATCCCCCGGCAGTCGCGTCGCAGCGCACGCTCACTGTCGCCCCCGCGGCACCCCTCGAGATGGCCTCCAGCGGTCACTACGGCGATCCGGACGCGCAGATGGGCGGCGGGTCCGGTCTGTACGTGAATCAGAACGGCGGCACGCCGCCCGCGCAACAGCATCAACAGCACATGTCCACCGACCCCGACCTGCAATTGCGCGAGAACCTGCAGCAGCAGCTGCATCAGAGCACCGAGATGATGCACCCAGGCCCGTCGCAGGGCCACCCGATGGGCGCGTTGGGACCGCATCACCAGTTCCACACTCCCCCGCGGCCGGCGCACTCGCCCCAGCAGATGGCCCAGTCGGTCATGAGCTTGGAGGGACACCACGCGTATGGCGACCCTGATAGCGCGAGCCGAAAGCGCTCCAAGGTCTCGCGCGCCTGCGACGAGTGCCGGCGCAAGAAGGTACGAACCGGCTGCCGATCCGGAAGGCGCGCATGGCTTATGGCATACAGATTCGATGCGACGCGACGAGCGAGAACGGGCCAGAGGCTTGTTCAAGCTGCAAGCGGACGGGTGCGCGTTGTCAGTTCAGCAGACAGCCGATGAAGCGTGGGCCAAGCAAAGGGTAGGCGACACTGCGCACCGAAGGCACCCAGCTAACACGCAAGCCCAGATATATCAAAGAGCTGGCCGACCGTCTGAACTCGCTAGAGAGTCAGATCCAGCATCCCCATACTTCATCGCAGGGCTACGATTTGGGGGTTAGCGACCCGAGCCTGGGTGACGCTCAGACGCCCCAGTTCACCCGAAAGCGCACCCATTCTATGTCTGAGGGATTTCAAGATGCGTACATGCGGCCGAACTGGTCTGGCCAAGACCGCGGTACATACGATACCTGCGACTCGCGTATGCTCAATTCGCTGACTAGTCAAGAACACCCAGTCAACGGCGCTAGTTCAGTGGCCAACCGACGTGTCTCCTTCGGGGAGATGATACTTGCCGGTAACCTCATTACTGGATCAAATGAAGCAACTATCAAGGCGTCAGTATACCCCTCTCCATTGGTGGTGCCCTTACGTGTGCTGCTTAAAGCCGGTAATATCGACCTTTTACTAACCAAACCGCAGGTATTACAACATCATACATCCAACATTACCCCTTTTGCCTCAGGACTCATCCTCTCTGAATCGACTATCACACTGTCCTGCAAAGCTGCGAGAAGGTTTCTTCCTATCGCTGGAGTGCAGTGTACGCTCCTTTGCTTCTCGGGCGCTTCCGCCAACCGAGCTGAGCGTGAACCAATTGCTGCTTCAATGCTTCGACACCGTGGATGCCGCAAAGCATATTTTGAGTGACGCGGACAGCGCCCGTCAATTCTATAATAGCCTGGTGTATTGTCAATCGCTGGCATTCTTGACAATCGCGTCCGACAGACCCGGCCCAAACACTATAGGCAACCCAGCTGAGCTGCTCGGCCGGCTTGCTGGCTGTATAACCGACATGGGTCTGAACGACTCCAAAGTCGTCACGGCTCTACGGGAACAGGACCACGAGCTGTATGAGGCTGCTCGCCGAACATTTTGGGTTGCTTTCATATTGGATCGATTTCATGCCTCCAGCAGATCGAAAGATATCATAATGCCGCTGCATTCTGGATCAGTCTCGCGCGATGATTACGATGCGCTCGGCGAAGTGGGCTACCATCTGACGCGTGAGTGCTCCCATCATGTTGTTTTGGCCCCTTGCTAAACTGTTCGTAGGTGCCGCAGACATCGTCGGACAAGTAGCATACATTACGCGCGCAGGTAATGTACCGAGTATGGACCCATCATCGCCTTATGCTTTCGCGACGTTGACTGCTACCTCACCTTCATCTCTATACCTCCATGGACAACTCACTCGCTTCCGAGAGTCTCTTGAGATCACCAACCTGTCCAGCAACTCTCCGCCCCACCTCGCTTATCAGTATCTTCGCATCTTTGTCGCTCGACTTTCGGAGTATGGTGCGTCGAACGACATTCTCAGCCTGACGAAGGACCTACTTGGCAATCTCACGGCTGGACCAATTACGCCTCTACATCACATATTTGCCAGCCTCGTTGCAACATCCCTGACCGACCTCTCTGATCGCGTAGAGACGCAAGTCGAAGCGCATGCCAGCATCAAGGAGATGAATGACGCCCTCGCAAACGGGCACGTCATCCACAGGAGCACGGACGCCCTTGGCTGGGATGCCGCCATTCGAGACCTGCTACGTCAGAAGAAAGCCCCAACGCCGGCTCCCGAGCAGACCAGTCCCGCCGTTCGGCCGAACATGGCTGGCCTTCAGCACCTCGCCGCCGCAGCAGTTGGGGAACGAGAGGGGGCCGATGCCAGACCCGCTAGCAGCGGAGGTCCCGGCGCAACCACTTCAAACCCACCAAAAGTCGAACATGATCTTCAAGCTGCCGTCGCCGCCGCGAACGAAGCCGCCAAAGCTCAAGCCACAGCCGCTGCTGCGCAGCAGCAGATGCAGAGCACGTCCACAAATGGAAACAACTACGACTCCAGTGCGTTAGTAAAAGATGGATTTATGTCTGCTTTGACGTAGTCATGTTCTTGTTGTTGATGTTTTAGGTATACCTATACTAATTTGGGGGTGTACAGTGAACAAGCTCTTGTCCCAACGAAATTATGGGTACTTCCGCCAAAGCTACAGTCGGATCAACCCGTGGTGACCATCGGCAGGACAGCACCTCCATGTCGTCAACACTATCGAAAATGTTCTTCCATTTAGACTTCGGTCACAGTTCGGGCTTGATTTCGTGTTCCGGTGATAGGCGAGCCGCTTTGGCAAAGAAATAATTTTCTCGGCTTTTGCTCGGCTCCGTGCAAGCCGGTACACCCTTAGCCCCTTATATGGTTTTTTTATCTTGTTTCTGTCTTTTCCGTTCGAAGAAACTTATACCCCTTTTTCTTTACTTCAGCAGGAGGAGCCTGCTTTGACGTACACGCGAGCAAGATTCGCCGAAGGAGGAGCTGTCGGGGACATGCGAATGCAAAGGTTGATGGGACTATGCCGGCAGTAGCACAGGATGCGCTTTTGTAGGAATAGAGGAAATCAGACGACGCACAACTCAAGAGACACTTGCCATCCTCTCACGTATTACATTACATTACATCACATCCTCACACTATTTCTCAATCATAGTATACATTCAATATTCTCCCAACCTACAACGCAAGTCCAAACAATGCCACCACAATAACACCACCAACACCAACACCAACCTTCGACGCCGCACCTGTAAACATCGGCGGCCCGCCCGTGGACGTCCCTGACGGCATCGGCATACTCATCGACCCGGTCGCAGTCGGCATCGTCCCATTTCCACTCCCACTCCCACCCCCAACCATCTCAAAATTCGCACACGTCAACCTCGTCGTATTCCCGGTGTGAACCACAAAGCCCAGCCCGCCGAAGAAAGCCGCGCTGCTCGGATCCGTGCTCAAATACGCATCCGTAAACGCCGTCTGGAACTCCGACGCCGTCGTAATCTTCCCCCCGTGCTTGCCTGCCAAATCGCCCACCTAGCACGTCGCCGGCGCCGCGGCGTCGCACATGTACAGCTCCCCGCGGTTCGTCGGGTCCAGGTGGCCCAGCGTGCCCGTGCAGTTCCCGTCCGCCGGCACCGGCTGGTTGTGGATGTGCCACGCGAACGGGCCGTACAGGCCTTGGTCCGGCAGCCCTGTTAGATTGACGCGGAACTGCACGCCGGTGTCTGTTCCGACGACGACGATGGATCCGCGGATCACGCTGTCGGCGTACGGGTCGAACATCGTGTCCGGCAGGTCCGCGCGGTAGGTTGCGGCGGGGAGGTTGGATTGCGTTGTTGCGGTGCCGCCGGGGCCGAGGAAGCCCGGGACGATGGGGCCGGGGTTGATGATGGCGCCGTCGAGGGTGTCGACGCCGGTGAAGGGTGTGTTGGTTGGGAGGATGGGGAGGACGCCGGATTTTGTGGTGCTAAGGACGATGGGGGGTGGAGGGGGGCGTTGGGCGCGGGAGGGGGATTGCGTGGTGAGAGAGAGGAGGGCCGCTGTTGTTGTGGCAAGGAGGGCGGTGGAGCGAGGCATGGTAGAGGGATGTTTCGTGGTGGGTGTGAGGGTTTGAGATTTGCGATTTGCGATTTGCGAGTGGTGATTACGGAGAGGGGATGGATAGATAGGTAGAGCATCTTCCTTTGTCCATCCCCATCCCCATCCCCCATACATCACAAACGAGAGAACAAACAAGCCCACTCACTTACCGCCCGCGACATCAAGACTCCGATCCCTTCCTTCCTTCCCACCTTCTCTCCCCTCCCCTTGCCCTCCCTACCCCAGCCCCGTCCCGTCATCGAATCTCGCATCCGCGCCCCAGAGATCTCCCCGTCTCATCGAAAACATGGCAAGCACGTCACGTTTACCCTACGCTAGTGCCGCCTTAGCACCAGCACTTCTTTTAGCAGAATGCGGGGAGCCCAAGGACGAATGCAGAGCGCGACTAGGGGTGACGGGTTACTACAACAGATAGCGTGCCTGGCATGAGTAGTCTAGTGGAGAAGGGCGATCTGGCCGGGCTGGCACCGGGAATCGTGATTGTGTCGTGGTAAGAGTGCGGTATTGGAGTGGACTTGACGGATGGGGGCTAGTCTAGTTGCGTCTAAGCGAGGTGAGGGAGGTACGGGGATTGTAACAGTAACTGTACTGTAACTGTGCTATATGTTCTGTGAACTTGTATCTGGGATTCGAATACTGCTAGAGGAGAATTAGGACTGTTTGACTAGTGGGAGGTGTTGTGGAAGAGGAAAAGTTCGCTTGGACGCATACACGAGGGCAAGAAGCCGAGGAAGGAGAAACCGCAAGCCTGTCTAAAAACCAGCCCTAGTAACCTCTCTCATGCACCTTCATCTATTGCACTTGACGTGTAGCCGGAAAACAAAGAGAGCCGAGAAGCTTGCACCGTGTTCCTGGCAGATCTATGCAACGAAACCTAGCTCCAACCAAAAAAAAAAAAAAGGACTACAAGAAGGCGCTCTGCACCGTACATAGGCGTGTATGTACTGCACAACCAAGGCTCTCTCACACGACGCCAAAGCCCTTCGAATTCTGAATCGCCAGGCCCAACTTCGTTTTCAACTTCTCCTTGCTCGCATACTCGGGCAACACCAGCTTGCCAAAACAGGTCGAGCTCGTCGGCAACCTCTCGGTATCATCGCCCGCCCTCACGATAACAAAGTTCATGCTCTCGAAGCCCGTCACCGGCACCCTCTCGCTGGCCGTGACAAACTCAAGCAAGCGCCTCTTGTCTTCATCCGAGTACTTCTCCACAATGTCCCAGAAGTCGGTGATGGTGTGGTGAGTTGCGGAGTAGCCTTCTTCGTAGTGCGTCGCCTTTCTGAGGGCGGGGATGGAGATCTCTTGCGTGCCTTCGATAAGCGCTTTGAGGGATGAGGCGCTGAACAAGTGGAGAGACTTCGGGTGGAGGCAGGTAAGGAAGCCTTCTCGGAAGGCCTCGAGTTGAGGCTCAACTGATCGGTAAGTGAGCCAGTGGATGTAGTCTCGCACAAACTTTTCTCGGTTCGCGTTGGTCACCATAGGCGTCTCTGTGCTAGAGCTGCTTTCTGAATGGGGGACTCTCGGTCGTTGCCATGCGATATCGTTGAGGGCCAGACGCTGCTTCTCGGATGAGCGAACTGAACCCGAGGTTGCCGGTTTGGACGGTCCGGCCACATCTTCGTACTCTGCAGGCCACGGCCGCCCGTCAAACGCTTGCATATCCACATCGATCTTGCTACCGAATGCGTCGAAGCTGAAAGTGTACTCCCTCATAATGATGTCCTTCACGTCGCCGTCTTTCCACGCGAGCAGCTCGTCCAGAGCTTTGGCCAGCGCCGGCCACCCATCATATATGACGTCGGTCGTCAACCGGTCGCGAAGATTAATGCCAGATGCACGAGGATGGTCCGGTCCGAGAAGGTGTTTATAGAAAATCAGCGGAAAGGTGACAGGAAGGGTGATTCCGTTGTACACGGCGAGAGAGAAAAGGACGCCGAGCATTCGGAATTTCCATAGTGGCTCGAGGGATGCAGGTTGGAACCATATTATGCTTGCTTGTGGGTCGATGGTGAACATCCCTGAAGAGGATTAGTACAGGAATTTAGGTAGGGTTGCGACAACTTACCTTTGTCAGGCATGAACGCTTCATTAAGAACAAGGCGGAAGAACTCGTAGGTAACACCGCCCTGATCTAATCCGACTTCACCTTCTTGCATACCCATCCTCACCTTAAGTGGTTTGAGGAGCATGCGCTTCTGTTGTTTCCACAACTGATCAAGCGTCTGCCTGAGGGAGTCTTCGCGGCTGATGTCCAGGACGAGGTAATCGCTAAGCGCGACTTTGAGCTCTGATCGGATCGTCCACCAATATGGCTCCCTCAACAGGAACTCCATTTGTCTCTCCAGCCTGGCAGTGCGTTCGGTGCGCTCGAATTGTTGCAGCATGCTGGTGAAGTTGATCGTGCGGAAATACCCCACAAGGTATTCCCGTGGGAACAGAAAGGGATGTTGGAGTATATGAAACGAGTTAGGGCGATCCTCCCAGCTTAGGAATTCGACGGGCTCATGAGTGCTGTCAATGCGTTCGTTCAAGTATGGGAAATAGAACATGTGTGGGCGCAGATTAAGAGATTGGCCGTTCCGATCTACTGCCGTTAGTGATGGCTATCGCAGCCTAGGACGGGTCACATACAGAAACTCTCGAGAAGCATTATCGCGGTACCAACGCTGCCCCATTTGTGGATCTCAGGTTTGCCATCCCACTTCTTGATGATTATAGTCCGCAGCCACTCCATGAATATAGCGGTTGTAGTCCCGCCTGGATCTTCCTCTGTATCGATGTTGACTCTCATTTTCTTCTTACTAGCAATACCAACCCGCTCGACTTCTCTCAGGTGTCTGATCAGGACCCCTAGTAGAGGGCTGGACCCGATTAGAGGGCCGAATTTGTCTCTTGAGTTAACTCCATGTCCCAAGCTTGTAAGCACGTGTTCAAAGCATATGCGTGCGCCAATGCCTCGGAGTAAGCGGTCCGCTAGGCGAATAGCAGGCTCGTACTCCAGCTCGTCGATAATACTGAGCCAAGGATCCATGAAGGCATCCGTGGAATCTGTATGCGGGGGCGCATTTGGCATAGCAATGCCCCATGACCGGAACTTGCGTAGTTGTGTCCACGTGTGAGTCCATCCAACAGGAACCAAAGACGTCAGTGCGTGAATGCATATCATGATTATGTGAGCAGCTTCTTGGTCGGAAAGATAACGGCCGGGTGCGGCTTGTGAAGCGGTCGAGGCGGGCTGGTGTTCCGGGCCCATATGCATTGCAGCATCTTTACGTGAGGGCTTCAGACGCGGGCTCTTTTGGGTGTCTAGCTCAGGTGGAGGCCTGAACAAGGCTTCGACAGAAGCCCACAAGCTGTCAAAGATCAACGCACCATTCCGCTGGTTCCAGTCTCTGAACGCGTACGTCAAACGTCTGGAATCGAGATGAGGCAGCGGCGAGTTCTTGAATTCGACGTCGTATTGATCATGAAAGGATTTAAGCAGTGCCTCTGGATCGCTGAGAGCGAAGAACATGGATCTGTTAACGAATGGTTTGGTGGGCCGATACCTTCGATTCGTATCGTAGTCGATGACAAAGTTGAAATCGGAAGACTGGTCGTTGCGATGGTGGTAAACTTCCTCCTTTAGTTGATCCATGATGTCGCAGGTCAGGTGGGCGACTACGGGCAAGGTCGGGCGCTTTTCTTTTGACTTTAATGCTTTGCTCGCATCTTTCGGTGCCGCAGCAGACGTCGGAGTCAACAAGCTCATTGTGGATGCCAGATGTAAATCTAAGCTTGCGGCTTTCGATCTCATTTTGTGCTTTCCTATGAGGGTGTGCTCCAGCGTGCCATCAAGGGGTGAAAGGCCAAGAGGCTTGAACCAAGGATGCCCGTTGCTGGCGGAATCGGGGAGTGGGTGCCTGATTTTGTGGATTTGTTCGCCATTAGCTAAGACTTCGGAGCTAATATGCAACATGTTTGATTTGCGAGGCGTCTTCGTATTGGAATGTGGATCATGCGGGGGAGCTTCCGCTGGTGTACAGCTTCCATTCACAGTGGGTGGTACAGCATGACCGTTAGCGTGACCCGTGAATGCCGCGTCCGATGACTCTCGACGGGCAGGCGGCCTCGACCCGTTGATTGTCATATTGTACATAGCGGACTCAACGGACGCTTCGCTATCTGACGGAGAACGGAGCGAGGCGAAGATAGTTTGCGGACTGGGAATTTGCTTTGAGTAGGAGAATATCATAGTCACGGTGTCGTAAAGGCTCTGCCCGAGCGACTTCGGATCTTTCCTGGCCTGGTGGCGCTTGTTGACCGCATCTAAGATGCTCTGTACTTGATTGCGCTCTCCACCGTCGCCCAGACGCTCGTCGATGGAGTCGCGCTGGCTCAAAGCGGTGTATGCTCCTAGTCCCCGCGCCACGGGCAAGACATTGTACAGCTGTGTCGCTCCATCGTGTGCCTGTCGGAATCCAACCCCCCGGGCGCCGTCGATCCGTAACGAGCGCGGCGCAATCTTCAACGGGTGGGGGCACAGCCCGCGATGTGGGTTATCTTGGCTGGCGAGGTAGTAGGCTAAGGCGCGCGCGGTGAGCTGTGTTGGTGCGCGGTAGGGTCGGGAGACAAGGCGCTTGTTGCAGGTAAGGCATGTGGGCGTAGTGCAATAGGCGTTCGTGCAGCCATAAAGTATCTGGGAGAGATAGCTGGGACTAGTTAGCTGAAGAAGCGGGCATTGAGAGGGAAACCAACCGTCGGACTAAATACTGGAACTGCAGCTGTCGGTCTATCTGGGCGCATTCTACCAGCCGCCCGGCATCCTCAACGTCCACGACATTCTCCAGGCGGTCCTGCAGAGGGAGTGACGAACGGCGCCGACGCGGGCCCGTCATATCATTAGTGGTGGGTATTGTCGCTATCGAAGGCTACAAGGAATGCGCGGCGGTTGCGCCGGTCGGTGGTGAATGAATGATAGATGGGGTCTGGGGGACGGTGCATGGACGGCGACATGGCGTGGGGTACATTCACCGTCGAGGCAGCAGACGTCGACGCGGCAGCAGCGACCGAGATGACTGCTTTAAAGGCCCATACATAGACCAGGCTGGCGGAAGGCGTAGGGCTGGGTGCCGAGTGCAGGCCGGGGGTGAAGCCGTCGGGCAGCGGCCGGAAAAGTGCTAGTCGGCGGCTGCAGGGCCGGCAGGGGTCCGTGCTTGGCCGCCCGACGTCACCAGCCCACGGTCAGTCACCCAATATTCGCCGCTCATTCCACCGTTCCACGTGAGTCCCACGTCCCCTATGCCCGACGCCGCGATTATTTCGGACTCCTATTCTAGAGCCTTCACAGCGAGACTTCCGTAAGCAGCGGCCAAGCCAGCTATAAATTTGGCCTGTCGCCGCACGCTTTCCTACCCTGCCCCACTCCCTGCGTCTTCTTCTTACTGGCAATCGACAACCGGCACCATGGCGTCTCAAGTCGCTGCCCAGGCCTCGATTCAATCGACACATCCCTTTACGTGCAACACCTGCCAGGTCGCCTTCCGATCCAGCGAGCTGCAGAGGGCCCATATGCAAACCGACTGGCAGTGAGTACACGCCCTTGAAGCCTTGAGAATCCCAGATGCTGATTAGAGCGCAGTCGGTACAACCTCAAGCGCCGGGTAGCCACGCTTCCTCCAATTTCCTCCGACATCTTCACCGACAAAGTCCTCGCGAACAAGGCCTCTGCCGCCGCCACCGCTGCGAGGGCGTCCTTCGAGAAGTCGTGCCCCGCGTGCCAGAAGACGTACTACAGCGAGAACGCGTACAATAACCACTTGAACAGTCAGAAACACAGGAGCAATGCCGCTAGGGCCGGCAGCGGTCATCTTGATGACTCTGCCTCGGTGACGGGGTCCGTGATGAGCTCGGCCGTCTTCTCGTTGGGAGAGTCCATGGCGGAAGCTGACCTCAATGGCATCGACCACGAGGCCGAAAAGGAGTTCTCCGAGGTGGTGGATAGCATGAAGAACACGAGCAAAGAGCCAAAGGAGCCTCTGTCGCGGCGGCCAACGCGCCCACACCACTCAGCGCCTAGGGAGAGACCTGATCATCCGCTTTCGCCTAGTACTACGAACGGCAGCCCCCACAACGACGACAAGGAATCCGTAGCTTCGTCCACGAAGCCTAGGGCCGACCCGCTCCTCGACTGTCTCTTCTGCAATTACAAGTCTCCGAGCTTTTCGCTCAACGTCCATCACATGGGCCAATTCCACGGCATGTTCATCCCAGAGAAGGATTTCTTAGTAGAGCCAGAAAATCTCGTTAAATACCTACATCGGAAGATCCATGAGCATCACCAATGTCTAAAGTGTCACAAGGCCGTCCACTCGGCGTCTGGCATCCAGACACATATGCGCGATCGCGGCCACTGCATGATTGGCTATGAGTCGGAGGCTGAGCTTGTCGAGATTGGTCAATTCTACGATTTCCGGAGCTCCTACCCAGATGCGGACGAGTTCGAGGCTATGGAAGAGGAAGCCGAGGATGACTCAGACGATTCAACTTCAACTGCCAGCGGAGGAGTCAAATTGGGAGCGCCTAGAAAGGCTGTCACTACCACGGAGGATGACGCTGTAATGTCTGGCGATGAAGATGATGAGGGCTGGGAGACCGATAGCACTGTGTCCAGCGTTCCCACAGACGAGATTACCGCAGTGCCCATTGACCGCTCTCATCGCCACAAGTTCCTTTCAAAATCTCGGCATCACGCTCATGGAGACCCTCGACCGCACCGCAATGCAGATGGCTTCCATTCTCACGCACATTCTACGCCGGTCGCCGTTTATCATGACGACTATGAGCTTCATCTTCCCTCTGGCCGCACAGCTGGTCATAGATCGCTGAACAAGTACTATCGCCAGAACCTGCGGAATTACCCTGGCGTCGCCGAGCGTATGGAGAGCCAGCGCATGATCACTGCAGCGACATCGGATTCTGACGGAGACGTCAATATGGAGCGCGATGATGCGGACCGTGGCCGCGGCCGACAGCAGCTTATCACCCGGGCGAATGGCGGACTAGGCATGGTTGGCGTCAGTGATGCCAAGAAGTCAGAGATACGTGCCGTGGAGAAGCGGGAGCAGAAGAGAGCGCAGCGTGCCAGGACGAAATATCAGGCCGGCAACGAAAAGCGCGCCAACTTCCAGAAGCACTTCCGAGACCCTCTATTGCAGTGAGCGGACCACTTTCTGTGCTCCCCATTCTGCTGGTTTTCGCGAATTTTCGGATGTTTATACAACCGGACCCTTGGTTAGGGCGTGTGTATCTACGATGTTATGACTTGCATGGCTGCCGCTAGTCTATAGATGAGCGGCCCGGTAAGGCGCCGTTGGAGAAGACGAAAAATCGGTTTGAGATCATATTCTTGAGGAGTTTTCAGTACGGTCGAATAGTTAAGCACGTGATTGGCTGGATTCACTAATCATGGAAATCCTGCCGAGGTATCTTTCGCTTGAGAGCTTCGTCTGACCCGCGTCTCGTCTTTGAAGAATCATACACGGGGTGGTTCATTTAATACTCCTGTCGCCTTGTGTTTCTTCCGCCTGTAAGGCTTTATTGATATCCTAATCTTTTTCAGCATTTTTTTCGCATCCGGTTGTCGTTCTATTGCAGCATGGTCGCATCATCGCCGCCGCGCTCCTTCACAGAAACCCTTGCTTTCGAAGAGCTTGGAGAAAATCAATGGCAGACTATCCATCCTCCGCAGCGGATGGGGAATGCTGCCAACATTGCATATGGCGGCTTCGCAGTTTCGGTAGCTGCGAAAGCAGCTTGTCTTTCCGTTCCTGACAGCTATCATCTCTACACGCTCATGGGCAACTTCCTCGGCCCAGCGCTCACTGACCGTCCTCTCCGAGCGTCTACCAGGCCCATTAGGAAGACGCGGACATTCGCTACGTGCCAGGTCGAAGTCAGCCAACTGCAGGATAACGGGGAGTCGCGGCCTTGCCTCGTCGCGCTCGCGGACTTTCAAGTCAAAGAGAAGGGCGTGTTATTGGAGTATTCCGCGCCCCCGCGCCTCCAGTACTCCCATTGGAAAGACTGCCTAAGCGCAAAAGACCGATTAGAGAAGATGCTGCGCGAGGGCAAGATATCCCCCGAAATGGCCGCCCGTTTCAAGCCCAGCTTCGGCATGGCAGACACCCTCTTCGAATCGCGGCACTGCCCCGAAGGCATCGCCGCGCAAAACTTAATGGGTCTCGCAAAGTCGCTTCCCACAACGCAAGACGCGCTCCCTCTGACGCAAAAATCCACGGCAGACTGGTCGCGCTGCCGCTCCGGTCTGCCCTCCGCAACCGACAACATCGCAGCGGTGGCGTTCTTGATGGACGGCGCGATTTCGTTTGCGCCGCTGATGTTTAGCCGCATGTTCTTGGGGGATAGCAAGGCGTGCTCGAGCTTGGATTTCGCGCTACGCGTGTTTAGGAACGAGGTACAGTTTGAGGAGTGGCATCTGAGGGAGATAGTGACGCATGTTGGCGCTGAGGGACGGACGTATAGCGAGAGTCGGCTGTGGGATGAAGGGGGTGCGTGTGTGGCGTGTATGACGCAGCAGAGTATTTTGAGGCCGTGGGGTGAGGAGAAGGGGAACGAGAGGGGGAAGTTGTGATGGAAGGGGAGGAGGTGGGTATGTCTCTTGGGAATGGCGTCGGTTGGGGTTCTGGGGAAGGGAGTGAGGGAGGAGCTTTTGTGTAGGTGGTAGAACTTGGAAGGAAGAAGATGAGTAGAGGACGTCTACGGATACGTAGACGCACAGTCAAAGGGCTCGAAGCGCACCTGCGTGTCTAGGAACAGATCTGCATTCAAAAGGTTATAGCTGTAAGCAGTGTACGTATCCAGTGGTTAGCTTCACGCCCGCGAGGTTCCGAGGTAACTCGCCGTGCGGCTTTTCTAGTTGTGGCCGAATGGCTGTTCCAGAGCAGTTGCCCAAGTCTCCAGACGTCTTGGATAGTGTTGGCGGAAGCCGCCATACGGCACCTGGCAGGAGGACTGGAACGTATTGTTTACTGTTGAGGATCACGTGTTGATCACGTGATCGCGCTAGCCTAGTGTATATAGCCAGAGCTTTCAGCTCTTATACAATTAACAATGTTACACTTTACTTTATTACTTTAACAGGTTATAAGCCTGGCGCTCTACTAACTACTATACTATAATAATTTGCTTTGCTTTTTATTATACCATAATAGCTTACTTATTCTTTAACGTACTTCACGGGCGAAAGCCCCACACGGGCGAACCCCCCACGATTTCTTGGCAAGGAAAATCAACGAAAATCAACCCGTTTTTCTTAAATAACTAAGCGAAACCTTAATATTTTTCTATAAAAATTTATATATATATTCTTTATAGTATATTACACCTGCTACTAAAGTTATACTAAGATATATTACGTAATTAAAAAGCTATACATATTTAAGTAACTTTTAAGAAAAAATCTACTTTTCTTCTAGTAAGTACTATTATATCTCTATAATAATCTATAAAACTTATAGTATATAGTATCTATAACCTAATAAAGGTTTCTAGAAAACTTCTATAGAGCTAGCTCTTCTAGGTATAGCGTAATAAGAGATAGAAGTTTAAAAAACTCTTTTTAGACTTTTCTTCTCTAACTATAGATATATATTAATAATCTAGCTATATAAAGTTATATATTATAAGCTAATATATATTATAAGCCTTCTATATATTTAGAAGTAATAATTTTAAGATAGTTTTAGTATATTTCTATCTTTTTATACTATACTATTGTAAGAGCTAGGTCCGCAGTCTCTACTACTGTAAGCGTCCCGGAACACCTAGCTAGGTAAGTCGGCTGTAGGCAGTACTATCTCTACGAGCTGTAAGAATAGAGTGCTAGCAGGGTAGGTTAGGTTAAATTCAGCTATCTAAAGGTAAGAAGTTAAAGAAAGGCTCTAAGAGGCTCTATATATAGAGGTGCTAAGCGCTAAGACGCTAGGTTAGGTTACGTAATTAGATTACGTAACCTAAGGTTATGTAACCTAAGGTAAATCCCTAAACTAGACTGTTACATTACCCTCTCTTACAGAAAGAGCTCGTTCTTAAGCTCTAAAATACGCCTTCTAGGTCTCTCTTCTTCTAAAACTCTTGCGTTATACTCTTAACTATCTCTTTTAGCTTGTAGTAAGTATATTTGTGTTAGTTTTAAACTAGAAGCGCTTTTATAGCTACTACCTTTCTTCTAGTTACTCTATTCTTATAGAGATTTAAGCTAGAAGGCTTGTTTTCGCGTCTATAGAGCGGCTTTGTCGTAGGCTCTCTTCTTAGTAGCGCCTTTGCGTTACTCTTATGTCTTCTACTCTTACAGGTTTTAAATTCTCCGCTATCTTCTCTAAAGTCTCCTCTTTTTTGTACGCCTTAATCTAAGCATCTAATTATAATAGCAGCTCTAGCTTATCTAGGTATACTATATAAAAGTCTTTTACCTTATAAGAAGTGTTAATAAAGCCTATAGTATTATACTAGGTAGAGTTAGAATTATAAGTAACCTATACAGCGCGGTATTAAAGGCGATTCTAATAAAGATAGCTATCTAGAATTTTATATATAGGCTATTCTAAATTACTATTAACTTTAATAGGTAGCTACTTAGGCTCTACCTACTCTAGTAATAGCTCTAAGACTTTTCTTAGCTAATTAGCGTAAAAGATGTTATGTATACGTATATACGCAGGTAGCTAGAGCTAGAAGAAGTAACTCTTTATAGTAATAATTAGGTAAGAGCTATATATCTATTAATCTAGCTTTACACTAGACTAATCTATTAAAAAGCTATAAGGTTTAATATAGACAAGGTCGCCTACTATAAAATTAGGTTCTTAGCGCTTTTTATTTACTTAGAGCGCCTGCCTAGCTTACGCTTTCGCGATATTACTTTATGTAATTTTAGTAGCTTTTTCTACAGCGTCGTATTACTCTCTAGCAAAATTCTAAGCTTTCTAGCGTAAGAGACGCTTACGTAAAGTAGAGGCTTTTATTATACACTTCTTCTAATTCTAGTAGTATATTAGCTAGTGTCTAAATTTAATTTTATACGCTATTAGTTCTATAGTTTTATATAGTAACGTAGCTTATACCTAATCTATATATAGTAGAAGATCTAACTAATTATTCTAGTAGTAGTTAACGAATAGACGTAGACGCTAATTAAGATATTAATTAATAATCTCTATATTTCTATTAGTTT